AAGCACCCATTGGGTACCGTGCGGCTATAGGGGGATACATGTGGAAGGGGGGGACGCCACACGGACTCTGGCGAGGGAACACGTGTGCATGCAACATGCACACATTCTGGCTCCGCCTACGAGAACCGCCGGGTGGTACCTCCGCGTTCGACAGTCAGAGACCATCTACCACCTACGGACAATGACAACATCCATAGCCAAGAGAAAAATTTCTCCTGGTACGGGACTCGAACCCGCACAGCGCACGGCGACTGATCAGGAGACCCAAGAGTCTACTACTGCGGCCACCGCTGCTGCCTATGGAAATATATATATCGAAATTTCGTCTTCAAATTGACCAAGGACTTAATGGTTGAAGTGTGTCTAGATACTTTACTAACATCCATTATACAGGGTGGCGCATCGAAAATGAAACAGACGCATTTACTGGCAGCTCAGTTTTTTTTTGAAAAACGCTCAGACCCGTTGATTTTGTTTTCGAGGGGGACACAAGTTTGGCAAAGAATCACGTTAGCACGTGCAGCCCCCTAAGCGGGGGTGACACTACCCCCAAAATCTTAAATGGAAAGGGGGGTCGAGTTATTTTAAAGGTCTTTCAATTCCCTTTATAACGATATAAAATTAATGTACTTCAGTTCAGTAGTTTTGAAGATTTATTGATTTAAAGCTTAACTGAAACTAATACATCATCATTAGTGGAGATCAATACATTTGGCAGCAAAGTAATTTAAACATGAAGAATGAACTGACCCGTTAGGCAAGTAAATTTTGAAAATAGCCACCATGACTCTACATGCAATAATAAAGATTTTGCTCAAAACGTTGCCGCATATTTTGCAATATTTGAGGAGTAATTTGAAGGCACTCATTCACAATTCTTTGTCGCAGGTCTTATAATGATGTTGGCTGAGTAGCATAGATTTTGCTTTTTAAATGACCCCACATAAAGAAATCCAAAGGTGATAAATCTGGCGATCTTGGGGGCCATTCAATGGCACCTCTTCTACCTAGCCATCGATCTGGAAACGTCTGATCTGAATCTTGTCGAACATGTAATGCGTAATGTGGTGGGACACCATCCTGTTGGAACATCAACCTATTCGTAATGTACCGCCGATCATTCTGATTTTCAATTATGGCTGTTAATGCAGGATCTATGGCGTCTTCCAGTAATTCCAAATAAATTTCACCTGTCAAATTTTCAGGTAAAAAAAAAGACCAACTAAATGATCGCCAAAAATACCAGCCCAAACATTTAATTTTTGTGGCTGCTGTGTATGAACCTCATGATAAATTCTGGGATGAGAATCGGACCAATATCGGCAGTTATGACGATTTACTACGCCATTTAAGAAAAAGGAACATTTGTCGGAAAAGCAAGTGTTGAATAGAAAATGTTCATCGTTTATAATTCGTTCACTCATATCTTCACAAAATTGTAGTCGTCGATCAAAATCGTCTTCATTAAGTTCTTGTACCAGGTGAATTTTATACGGATGAAAAGTATGGGCCTTTAGAATCCGTTGGACAGTACGTCGACTAACACCACACACAGTCTCCAATTTGCGGGTACTTAACGTAGGATCTACATAAACTTGCCCTTAAACCCCCACTTCTATTGCTTCGTTGCGTTTTTTATTGGCAACTGACCCAGTTTCCCGAAATTTAGCTACAAGTTCTAGAACATATTTTTGATGCACGTTATACTGTTCTCATGTCGCTCCTTAAATATTTCTGCTGTTCTATTAGCGCACTGAATATTTCCGAAAAATATTTCGATAATTTCAACTCTTTCTGCTGTGGAATATACCATGGTTCATTTATGTAATAAAGCATTACAAGTTATTTTAGCAACAAAGTTTGGTCAAATCAATCGCAAACTATGTACTAAATTCCTATTTAAAATAAGTACGAGATATTTCCTTATCTTTCTTCAAAAAATAACGTTTTTGCCACAAAAAAACGCTCCAATAGCTATTTTTAACACCAAAATTATAAACAAACCATGGGCGTAGTGAAGAAAGGCATTTACTTATAAACTAATTTTTTTTAGCCAAATTTCTTCTGAAAGTCGTACAAACTAATCTACCTATTAAAGTCTACTTTAAGCTTTAAATCGATAAATCTTCAAAACTACTAAATTGAAGCTCATGTATTTTACATCATTATAAAGGGAATTGAAAGACCTTTAAAATAAGGTATCACTCGACCCCCTTTCCATTTAAGTTTTTAGGGTTGGTGTCACCCCCGCCCAGGGGGTTGCACGTATTAACGTGATTTTTTGCCAAACTTGTGTCCCCCTCGAAAACAAAATCGACGAGTCTGAGCGTTTTTCCAAAAAAAAACTGAGCTGCCAGTAAATGCGTCTGTTTCGTTTTCGATGCGCCACCCTGTATATATATATATATATATATATATATGTATATGTATGTATTGGATAAATATATCTGGGAAATAAATAGTGGGACACATACATCTTTTTTATTTTGTCGACTTCTGTAATCAGTCCTGTTCGCCCACGAGGCTCTAAAGCTACGACAATTTTTTCAATCATCTAGATTCGTTTATGCAATAATCTTAGTCTTGTGACCTGCAAAAACTTGAATGTAATTTGAGACTATATAACGCTGAAATAGAGCTTAACTCAGTCGTAAATTATTTCCAAGGCTTATACAATAACTTCATTACCCAACTCTTCTGAACTGAGCTCGCAGAGCCGCAAACTTTTTTAACTATGATCGCAAGACTTTGAAACTTCGTTTTTAAACACCGGTGTGTTACGTTCAAAGTTTACAGATATACGAGGAGTATAATCACATCGCGGTCAAACCATAACTATTGCTAGCAGTAATAAAGATGACGGAGCTCGGCTGGAGCAACCGCTTTGACGAAACTGCCCGACGCTTAGAACAAATCTAATTTCTGAGAAGGTTGGCAACAGAACTTAAGAAGTCCAAACGTAGAGGGTTTCTTGGTCAGTTTCTTTGAGACTATAGTATGTATACTTTGCTATACAGGGTTATCCAAATTAAGTGTCCACCATTGGTAACTTTGTTATTAGTAAAAATACAAAGTTGTTTAAATTAGCAAACTAGTAGCATTTTTAACGCTGGTAAAAATGAGAAATAAAAAAAAACAATTGAGAGTCCTTATTTTGATTTTTTTCAGTAAAATAACATTTTTTTAAATGGAAACCCCTGTATATTATATTTTTTTCTGTTAAAGCATCAAATTTTAAACAAAAAAGTTCATAATGACTTTTCCGCTAAAGTCAAAAATAAAGTCAAAATAACGATAAATATTTTTAATTATTTGCAGTATTATAATATTAAGACGGCTATGAAAACAACATGGCGTTCGCGATTTGACAGCATTAAGATAGGCGACAAATTGTTAAACTGGACATACTCGCAACTAGAAGGCTTTGGAAAACAATGATAAAATCAAATAATGTCAAACATTAGTGTAAATACTTGTTTATAAGCTTTATTGTGTCATTAATTTAAAGAAAAATGTTCTCCCATGAAGAAAAGTGTGATATGTTAGAATGCTATTTAGTGTGCAGAAAATCCTCCTTGAGAGCAAGAGAATACTACAGTGAATTATATCCCGCTCGCATTCAACCGTATGAACGATATTTTCTGAGACTTTATCGAAAATTTAGGGGCAACGAAAATGTTTTTGCTAAAACAAGGGCAAAAAAAGAATTCATAATAAGCGAGGCCACGGAAATTGCAGTTATTGGATATTTTGAAGCTTATCGTGAGAATTCAATAGCAGATATTCTCAAGGACTCTAATTTCAGTTATGGTACTGGTCAAAGGATTTTAAAAAAATACAAATTTATTCCGTATAAGTACCGACCAGTTCAAACGCTTTTGGCAGGGGATCCAGAGAGAAAACTTGTTTTTTGCCATTGGTATCTTAGCTTCTGTCGCCAAAATGTAAATAACTTTCGTTACCTTTTATGGACAGATGAATCAAATTTTTCAAATTCTGGAATGTTTAATAGAAAAAACCACCATTATTGGTCAAGAGAAAATCTTTTGTTAGTACATCCAAGAGGCCCACAAGTCCGTTTCAGTTTCAACGTTTGGTGCGGTATAATTGGTTCAAAAATTGTTGGCCCGTTCTTTTATGAGGGAACCCTAACTGGTGAAAGATATGTGGAATTTATGTTAGAAATTCTGACTAATTTCTTAGACGAATTGGATCTTATAAGTAGACATCATCTGCATTTTCAGCAAGATGGCGCACCTACCCACAACTCCAGAGGTGCTTATCATTTTCTAAGTACTACTTTTAATGATCAGTGGATAGGAACAAATGGCCCAATACAGTGGCCTCCCAGATCACCAGATCTAAACCCACTTGATTACTTCTTGTGGGGGTTACTTAAAGAACCAAATTTACAAGCGAAGGTACGATAACCTTGACGCGTTAAAGACTGCAGTTAGGGAAAAGGTAACCCAGATAGATGGTAGGACCATACTTAAGACAGTTCGAGCAGTTGAAAAACGTGCCCAAAAATGTATTGAAGAACAAGGTGGTGTTTTCGAGCATCTTCTTTAAAAAAAATTGTTATTGTATTTTGTAAGATTATAAGTTGATGTTGAAAATAAAGTTTGTCGATACAATTTAATTGTTTCAGATTGGAGGCCATAACTCCAACAATTTGTAACCTAGGAGAAAAGTTATTGTAAGCTTTTTTGTTTAAAATTTGATGCTTTAACAGAAAAAATATAATATACAGGGGTTTCCATTTAAAAAAATGTTATTTTACTGAAAAAAATCAAAATAACGACTCTCAATTGTTTTTTTTTATTTCTCATTTTTACCAGCGTTAAAAATGCTACTAGTTTGCTAATTCAAACAACTTTGTATTTTCACTAATAACAAAGTTACTAATGGTGGACACTTAATTTGGATAACCCTGTAGACCGGGGAAGATTTTGATGACCAACGTTTTGTGATGTGAGATTGGTAATATTTTTTTGCAGATACTATCAAACCGTCCAGTGAGTATGGTGCTAGACATCTCCGAGATTCGAACTGCCTGGCAAGACAGCGACTTCATCACTGACTGTCTTTGCTGGCACAACGTCTACAGACAAAGACATGCTTCTCCACCTCTATCTATGTCAGCAGAGGTACCTTATACATTATTGTAACATTTAGGCCCGTATCGTCAGTCGTCCCTACAATTGTACTGCGCCTTTATGGCCTCCTTGATTGTCATAGTTTTATACTTCTCCGTGTCAGAACTCTATTTTGAGGTTATGTCACAAACATCTATTTGCATCAAATTGTGCCTGCTTTTGAGTTATATCATGTTTTATCAGCCTGAAATTTCATACAATCTAAAAAGAAAACATATCTTCACAATAGGAGAGCGCTGAGACTGACACGGGACCAGTGTAATCTAGAAATTTTTGAAGGAGAGAAAGGATTATGACAATCAAGGAGGCCATAAATGCGTCCTACAATTGTAGGGCGCGTTTATGGCCTGCTTGATTGTCATATTTTTCTACTTCTCCGTGTCAGAACTCTATTTTGAGGTTATGTCACAAACATCTATTTGCATCAAATTGTGCTTGCTTTTGAGTTATATCATGTTTTATCAGCCTGAAATTTCCAACAATTTAAAAGGAAAACATATCTTAACAATAGGAGAGCGCTGACACTGACACGGGACGAGTGTAATCTAGAAATTTTTGAAGGAGAGAAAAGAGTATGACAATCAAGGAGGCCATAAACGCGCCCTACAATTGTAGGGACGACTGACGATACGAGCCTTAACCTTGCTTACGGGTTATTTCGGTCATTATTTCACAGATGGAATATTGCCTTACAAGTTTGTCGCTAAAACAATCATCCATATCATTGTCGATTTTTTAAACAACTGCTGTACAATGATTTTTCGACATCGATATTTGAAATCAAAACATTACATTTGTTGACATTTTTTGTAAGGAAACTGAGTTTTCATTTATACTCACATATGTATGTATATGGAGGTATAGATAATTTGTAGGAAATTTATAAAATATTCAGTAAGAGTTCTTAAGTATTTCTCATCCATATTTTATTATGCAAACATCATTAGATCGTCTATGAGAAACAGTCATAATATAGATCATATTATCTGACTTTATATCCTCAAGTATTTACGATATATCTTTCATATTTCAGCTCTGTCACTTAGCTCAAACGTGGGCAAATCATTTGGCGCATACAAATAGATTTTACTATAGGAATGATAAAGACATTGGCCAAAATCTCTTTTGTAGGCCATCTAACGGTCTGGTGCAAGATGTCTCAGGTAAGTTACAATATTTTACTAATTATAGTATGAAACGTATTCGATTGAGTTGCTATGAAAGTTTTGAGATAGTTGCATATAATAATACATTTTTATTCCATTATCCCGGTAAATTTCTTTCTGCATCTACTGAATAAATGTCTTTATTTTTCAGGGCAAGAAGTGGCTACCTATTGGTATTCAGCAGTACGGCAGTATGACTTTGGAAGGGAACCAGATTGTTTACATGTGAACGTAAATGCAGGTATATTTACGTCGCAGCACAGTATAACACCAATAAAATCGCTAATATTTGTCAGACGACTGGATATTACTCGCACGCACAGCATCATATGTTGTCAGAATATACAGGGTGTTCCTTAATGATATGCAAATATTTAAGGGTGTGAGTCTATATGAAAAATTAATGTTAGTTTCCTTTATAAACTATGGTCCAAAAATGTTTCGTTACAAAAACTCGGGGTGTTGAAGTTTTAGGAAAAAAATGGAAATTAATTAATATTTTCAGAACCGCTTCAGATATTTCACTGATATTTAGTACATAGTGGAAGTTAATAAAGTTGCATATTTTTCAATGCAAAACCAATTTTTAGCTTTAACAGTGGCGTGCGTACGGGTATTGACTTCGATATTTTTTAAGAAAAAATGCTACGCCAATGGTTTTGCCAAATAAAAATTATTTTAGATTTCCCCGTTCAATTTAAAACAAATGATCTCTCTTGTTTCGTTTTTGTTAATTTAAGAATGCAAATTAGCAATAAATATCTAGTTGCTCAGGAATATGTCACTGGCTTTTGACATCTGACAAGTCTCTGTTATTCAAATCTGTTCACTGTGACATCTTTTTCATTATTTAGTTTTTACAATCTTGTTAATAATGGTGAATTATTCAAATGCAGAAATGGCGGAAATGCATTACGTATGTGGCCTTGCCGACGGTAATGGTAAGCAAGCCAGACGGATTTATCACCAGAGATATCCCGATCGTGCTTTGCTAGATAGTCGAACCTTTTCTAATATTCATCCTCGTCTTATTGAAACTGGTTCTGTCCGAAAAGGAACATCTGAAGGTAGATCTCTAACTGTGAGAACACCTGAAATGGAGGAAGCGGTGCTGCACGAAGTCGAAGAACATCCTGAAACGAGTACAAGGAAGATCGCTAGACACTTAAATATTTGCCATCAAATTGTTTGGAGAATTTTAGTGGATTTTTTGTTATATCCTTACCATATTTTAAGAGTACAGGCATTACTTCCCATTGATTTTCCAAGTGATATTTTCAAAAGTTACACAAAATCCGCAATTTGAATCAATGATTCTGTTCACGACGACGCTAATTTTTCTCGAAATGCCATTCAGAATTTCCACAATAATCATTTGTGGGCAGAAAAACATCCATGCCGTAACCGAAACCCATTTCCAACGCCAATTTTCGGTTAACGTATGGGCAGGAATTATTGGCAACCACTTCATTGGCCCATTCTTCTTGCGGACAGACGGACAGACTTACCTCAATTTCCTTCAACAACAGTTGCCTTTGCTGTTTGATGATGTTCCGTCAGTAATAAGAAAAAATATGTGGTACATGGACGATGGTGCACGAGCGCATTTCAGTGTAGCGGTTCGTAATTATTTACAAACTGTTTATCCAAATCCTTTGATTGGTCGCGGTGGGCCCCAAGAATGGCCACTAAGGTCCCCACACCTCAACAGTTTAGATTTCTTTTTGTGGGGCTATCTTAAGACACTAGTGTACGCAAGTCCCATTAACACTGTAAGAGAAAGAATAAAAGCAGCTTGTGATAGAATAAAAAACACTTTTTTTTTATACTCCAACTACCACGAAGGCCTAAGGCCTAAACACCCATTGGGTACCGTGGGACTATGGGGGATACAGGGGAAACGGGGAAAGCGGTTTTTATTTTTTTACTCAAAAATGGCGCATCGAAGGAAAACAATTCAAGAGAGATCATTTATTTTAAATTGAACGGAAAATTCAAATTCATTATTTTTATTTGGCAATAAATTACTGGCCTACCATTTTTTTTTAAATATCGAAGTCAATACCCGTGCGCATGCCACTGTTGAAGCTAAAAATTATTTCTGCATTGAAAAATATAGATCTTTATTAAGTTTCACTACGCGGATCTGAAAATATTTAATTTCCATTTTTTTCCTAAAACTTCAAAACCCCGAGTTTTTGTAAGAAAACATTTTTGGACCATAGTTTATAAAGCAAACTAACATTAATTTTTCTGGTAGATTTATACCCTTAAATATTCGCATATCATTAAGGAATATAGCACCAATATAACCCGAGGTGTCGACTAGAGCATGCAATTATCAAACTCTTCCGAAGCTCGATAAAAAAAAACTATCGTTTTTTCTTTAGATAAAAAAATAATCATCGGTTCTCCTTAAAAACTGATTTTTGACGTATAGTTTAGGGGTTCTATTTACTATCTAAGGGCCGTATAGTCAGTCCTTCATTTTAGGACGCCTTTTAGGCCTCCTTGCCTTACAGAATTTTGTTTTGAGCTTATGTTACAAATATCTACTTGCATCAAATTGTTCATGCTTTTGATTTTAATCATCTGTTTTATCAGCGTGAAATTTCTTACAATTCAAAAAGAAAACAGCCTCACAATAGAAGAGCGCTGACGCTGACATGGAACAGTAGAAATCTAGAAATAGCACACACAGCCTTTCTGAAGGAGAGGAAAGACTATGAAAATCAAGGAGGTCCTAAAGGCGTCCAACAATTATTGTAGAAACGACTGACGATACGGCGCTGAAATAAACCATGGAGAACAATCATTGTTCGGGTATACAGGGTGTTTCAGTTTATTGTTGCATAACTTTAAGATTCGACAGAACTTTTAAAAATTAATGCATAAAGTCTATATAAACATGGGTCGAAAAATGCGTGGCTTCCGAAATACAGAGTGTTTAAATTTACTTTCTAAAATAGTTTTTTTTAATTATTTTGAACAATATTTGATGTATAATAGTAAAAATTCGTATACAAGTGTTTTTTGGTACGAAAAAACGAACCATAGGTATAGTTTTACTGAAGCCGCTAGAGGGCGCTCTCTACTGTACCTGTAGTGTATTAAAATGACCGAAAATTTCTTCTTAGTGCAGTTTTTTGCTTTTTGAATAAAAAACTGATTCTTCGCACTTTTCAACATAAAAAAGCTCTCTTGTGAATTTTCGTTATAGTTAGCCGTTTTTGAGATATTTCGATTTTTAAGGTTCGATGCATTTTTAATTATTTATGATAAAATAACGTTAAAAAGTCTGTATCTTGATAATTTTTAGAAGTAGGCTGTGCCTGCAAATACTTTTGAAATTGAAAGCAGAATAAGGTTAAACGTAAATTAGTTGACAGTTAGTTTTGTGGTCTGTTTAAACGTTTTTTTGCAATTGTGAATGCACGAAATTTAGTTTCTTTTACCTGTTTTTTTTTGTAAGTTTTATAAAAATACCATTTTTATTCTCCAATCAAGAGTTAGCGGATATTCATTTTGTGTATGGCTTTGTAAATGGAAACGCAGCAGAAGCATCCAAAGAATACGCACGAAGATTTCCAAACAGACGACATCCAACTCGCTCAGTATTTGTAAGAGTGCATCGCCAAATAATTGAAAATGGTTTTGGAAATCTCCAAAGAGATCAAAACATAAATGTTCGTCAGCGCAGATTTACCCGTATGATTCTCCGTGAGATTGATAGAGATCCGTCCACAAGTCTTAGGAGAGTTTCTGGTGCCTTGGGAATTTCAGCAAGCCATGTTCACCGTGTTCTTAGAAATTACCATAGACGTCCTTACCATTTGCAACCTGTGCAAGGACTACAGCCAGGGGACGGAGAACGAAGAATCACATTTTGTCAATGGATTCTTCGTAGGGAGTTTTTAAATAACGTTTTATGGACCGATGAGTCATGCTTCACTAGACGTGGAATGGTAAATTTTCATAATCAACATATTTGGTCGCATGAAAATCCGCATGCAGTTCGGGAAAGAAATTTTCAGCATGAATTTAGTGTGAACGTGTGGATTGGTATCTACCGTAATCGACTATTTGGACCCTACCTTTTGCCTGCAAGGTTAAATGCTGCGACCTTCTTGGAATTTTTAAAGGCCGAACATGCAAATATGTGGGATGATATTATGTTAGATTTAAGAAGATTGGCCTGGTTCCAGCTTGATGGCTGTCCAGCTCATTATTCGAGACTAGTTAGAAACTGGCTGGACGAAAATTATCCAGAAAGATGGATCGGCCGTGGAGGACCAGTCGCCTGGCCTCCACGATCCCCTGACCTAAATCCGTTAGATTTCTTTGTGTGGGGATTTCTAAAAGAAAAAGAGTACCAGACTCCCGTAACCACAAGAGATATGCTAATAGACAGAATCAGGAATGGATGTGATGAAATAAGACCTTAGTTGAATAATGCTATACCACGTTCGATCATTCGTAGATGTTTAGTGTGTATTGAACAATTGGGTTTACATTTCGAGCAACTACTTTAGATTTTATATGTTTGTCCTAACTATCCAATAGCATTTTAGTTGTAAATAATTAATTTAATTTGTTAAAAATAATATTGGAAAATTAAACAAATTAATATTCTGTTTTTTTGTGTTTATTTGGAGTTAGGAATTATTGCTGTGTTTAAAAACACAATCTAAACGATCATCTTAATTACTTGTAATGCCCAAATCGAAAATGTAAAAAAATATTATTTTCCCATAAATAATTAAAAATGCATCGAACCTTAAATATCGAAATATCTCAAAAACGGCTAACTGTAACGAAAACTCACAGGAGAGCTTTTTTATGCAGAAAAGTGCGAAGAATAAGTTTTTTATTCAAAAAGCAAAAAATTGCACTAACAATAAATTTTCGGTCATTTTAATACACTACAGGTACAGTAGAGAGCGCCCTCTAGCGTCTACAGTAAAACTATGCACATGGTCCGTTTTGTCGTACCAAAAAACCCTTGTATACTAATTTTCACTGTTATAGATCAAATATTGTTCGAAATATTTAAAAAAAAACTATTTTAGAAAGTAAATTTAAACACCCTGTATTTCGGAAGCCATGCATTTTTCGATCCATGTTTATATAGACTTCATGCATTAATTTTAAAAGTTCTATCGAATCTTAAAGTTATGCAACAATAAACTGAAACACCCTGTATATCTATACGACTTTTCTTGGGTTAGCATTACGTATATGGATTCTAATAACGTATATTTGTATAGAATGAGAATCGGATAGTATTGTTCTTCAGGTATACTAAATTTGAACACTCTTTTTTTCAGGTCACTTCACTCAAATGGTGTGGGCCTCCTCCCGGTACTGCGGAGTGGGCAAAGCCCGATCTCGCTCGGGGAAAATAGTAGTTGTGGCACATTACTCCCCACCAGGCAATCAGTCTGGTGGTCACCTCACCAACGTGCTTCCCCCTGTGGAGGAGTTACCCAGATTGCCGCCACCACCTGCACAACCGCCCCTTATCGTACCCGCCAGTAGTACTACGTCTGGTTCTAGTTGCAGGAGTACGACTGGTAGCACGTAATTAAAGCAGGATGGGTATCGAGTTCTTAAAGTTTTAATATGCGGACTATTTTTTGATAAAAATGATTCACAGCCGCCAATGGTACCACGCCCGACTCAAGTTGTAGTAGTACCAGTGGAAGCACGAAATGTTAAAGTCAAGCAGGTTTGGAGATAGACAAGGGTAGGGGTCATTCAGATTTCGTTTTTGGACTAGCTATATCTTCCATATATTTTTTTAAAATGAATATGGCTGATAGGGATTCTACTGGCAGCACTAATCTTCAAGTCATTGGAGATGACGATATAAGTGGTTGGAGATGGAGTCATAAGATCAGATCAGATTTCATTTTGGCTTAAGTAATTTTTGAAGTTCCTTTACAAATTTTTTCATCACGAATATAGCAGTATGACGTCAGATTCATATGTGCCTACTTGCAGCACGTACTCTTCAAGCAGATGGTTGAGGATAGATGGGATAAACGATAAATGTAGCGGTAACACGTTGCATCTAGCTGTAGGAGTAGCACCTGTAGCACGTAATCGTCAAACAGATGGTTGGAGACAGCGAGAAATATAGAGATTGCTCAGGTGTTGTGTTCGGTCTAGCTATTTTTTGAGTTTCCTTATACAGGGTGTCCGCAAAGTTGGGGTTTTCCTTTTCAGAAACAACTACCCTTGAAATAAGAAAGGTAATGTGTAGTGAAACGAGGGCGACCAATTAAAAAAAATAAAGAAAAAAGTACTCACTCTCCAGTTGACGAGAAGGGCTAAGTACGTCTCTGCCCGAAATCATACCGCTCCAACAGAAAATGAAATCAGCTGATGCGCTACCGAGCAGACGCCGGCGGTGGTGCAGACCAGTAGACCACGAACAGAAGTAACAAATATGACCATCGTGCAGAAACCACATTGATTGTCTTACATTTAATGGCACATCTTCTAACAAGGAAGGCAAAATGTTGCGTAAAAAGTCTAGGTATTGCAACCCGTCCAATCGATTTGGGAGAATAAATGGTCCAATGAGCATACCGTTCACCATGCCAGCCCAAAGATTCACCGAAAATGTTTGTTGAAAATGTGCCCGACGGACAGCGTGCGGATTTTCTACTGACCAAACATGAGTGTTGCGAAAGTTATTCACCCCATTACGCGTGAACGTAGATTCGTCTGTCACCAATATGCACTTCAAAAAGTCCGGATTATTGTCATGTTGATGCAACAACCACTCACAAAACCGCACTCTTGCTGGAAAATCGTCAGGTTGAAGGGCTTGTACACGTTGGACGTGAAACGGATACAGCCCCTCTTCACGCAGCGTTTGCCACACTTTAGTTTTTGATACTTGCACTTCTCTAGCCACGTCTCTAGTGTTTGTTGTTTTTTGAAACGCAATCGATTATACGGGTTTGTTTACCTCTACACGCGTGACCGTAACCGTCGGTTGAAGGTTACATACTGACCTGACACACTGACCCCGACCCCCGACCCAGTTCTGTCATCGGGTTGAGCTAGTGTCCTAGTACCAGTTGGAGATGTCGCGAGTCGCGGCTGCAGGACGGTATTCAGATATTTTTGATGTTGCAGTGCCCTTTATCTCGGTTCCCTTAAGACATTGGTGTATATGGTACTAAGAAAAATTGCTTATGTTTTCAAGATCTACACGTCGTGTAAAGGAAAACCAAAACTTTGCGGACACCCTGTATATTCTTTACGAATGTACATACATCACGTCCAGTCTATTTGTAGTAGTACCGCTGGAACTAAGCAATCCTCTAGCAAGTGGTTGGAGAAATAATAATCGTAACCGTACCACATCGTATTGTACCAGATCAAGTTGCAGCAGTACCACTTACAGAACGTAATCGTCAAACGGTTGAAGACAACGAGAAATATAGAGATCACTCAGGTCTTGTGTTCGGACTAACTAGTTCTTGGGGATTTCCTTATATATTTTTTCACGAATGTAGTATGTAATATCACGTCCAGTCTACTTGCAGTAGTACCACTGGGAGTAAACAATCCTCTAGCAGATGGTTGGAGAAATAAGACAAGTGCTCGCTCAGATTTCGCTTTCAGCTAGCTATTATTTTATTACTGAATTTTATATTTATTTACAATATTAACAGTATCACACCGTATTGTACCGGATCAAGTTGCAGACGTACTACTGGCAGCAGTTAATCTTCAAACAGATGATAGGACAGTAAATAGGAAGATAATTTATTCAGATTTTGCTATCGGCCTAACTGATTTTGGGAATATCCTTATATTTCTTTTTATTGTGAATACAGAAGTACCACGTCTAACCCACGTAGAGCAGTGAATCGTTAGTAGTATGCAAACGTCCTGAAGTTGGAAGTCAATGATGACCTGTTATTAGTTAAAAGCTAACCTATCTATCTGATCTGTTTTGCTCAACAAAGTGGCATCGGATTTTTATTACAAACTCAGATCTATTCTCACGCAGAGAAGGCTTTGTTAAGTTGGAGGAGAATGTAACAATGCCAAAAATTATCTCTGAGATGACGTTAGAATTTTTTAATTTTGAATTTAAGCCTTTATAATTCTGACTGCTGGTACAGTATTTAAAATGTTCAAGCTTCTTGCTCTGACCTGCTTTTTTGCGACTAATATAAAATATAATTCCGAATCTGAATACATCCTCTTTTGTACTCCCAACAAATAGAACTATCTATTTGATATCATAATCTCTCAGAAAAGTTGACGCACCTACCCTGGTAACGTTGGTTGTGAATGATTGCCGCTCAAGCGTTATGCTGGTCTTCCACGGTTTATGATTGATATGCAATAATGATTGTAATCTATGTTCGGCGCGACGAGATGTTAGAATGACTGACTAGATCGCGCAATGACTGACGGATTGGGTCAAAGTCCGACATACTTTTGAGTCTCAAACTTCTATTTGGGTCAAACCTTAGGGTGATCGGCATACCTCGTCAAATTCCGATTTTTTAAGTGAAGAGTTGTAACAAATATATTTTAAAAGTAAGATAATCATTGCCTATTTCATATTGGTCTTCGAACAGGGCTGTCGCTCAATCCAGGGATTCACCGAAATGGCATAGTCGTGTAGAGTATTTGATAGATGTCTTATAGTCAAAGGTCCTAATTATTAGAAACGACCTTCAACATTTTGTTTGATGGATAGAAAGTAATTTATATCAAATTGAATATGTGAAAAAAAGTATCACGACTATGTTTGTTAGAAAAATCCTCGCAATCCAATGATTAAAAATTGAAAAAATACTTTTTATTAAACAAAATAATAATAATGTAACATCCTATATAGTGTGGTAGGTGACAGCTTGAGTTCTGTCATGTGTTGTCAAATACCAAATAATCTATGGTAGGTACATATTCCAACTCATGCTTATGTCTATGATCGTGTGATCATGTGTGAAAAAAAAAATGGTTAAAAAGTGTTTTTTATGTGACTCTGGCGATCTCTCAATTGACTTTAGTGATGAAATGTCCAAAAATTGTTCATTGATGTTAGCTTTTCGTAACGAAAAGAACTTTAAGTACAATGAGGTTGAGCTATTTAAAGCATCACTTGATTTTATTACGTAAAAACCTGAACAACGTAAAAAAACGAAGAAATGTCATCTTGCAGATGCTGACGTTTAACCAGCACGTACAGCTACAAAACGAGCTCGCAACAAATATAAAACATCTTGTAGGAAAACCTACGAAATGTCAAAAAACCGACGAAATGTCACTTTTTAAGTTACATAATACCCGTGACGGTTACAAAAAACTACTTTTGGAAATACAATGAAGGGTTTAGAATATTTTGTACCGAGAATACATATGACATATAAAATGTTACTTAGAAAGTATCACAATTTCGAGAATTTCACGAGATAGACGATAGAAACGGAATTTTCCCAAAATCGTTTTTATTTTAATTTTACTTAGTTAATCATAGTCTTGCTAAGAATTTTTTAGCAGACACCCTAGCGATATGTTTTTTAATATACTAAATTTGATATAACATACCCGATTAAACAAATTGGTGAAAGTCGTTTCTAATTCAGATCTTCTACTATTACGATTCGTAAAGGTTTGATCATGCTCTGGACTTTGACCATGATACAGTCAACAAGGGACAACATATTGATAAAGTATGAACAAGCAACAGGTAAAGAATAATGTGTGCATTTGCTATAATTGTGATGTGTACTTAAAAGATGTATTGCTGAACTTAAGTATATGGTGCTTATTCTGCGGCATGTAAGTGCAAAAGAATTCAACATTTGCCTAACTCTAGTGAGAATGAAGTTTGTTATAGTGAGTAATAGTTTTTTAAACAATTTGTTGCAAGTTCAAATGTAACTTATATGGCCTTTATTAGACAAGAGGATAATCATAATTGTTGTTTTATTATTGATACTAGTGTTATGAATGAATGGAAAATGTATTTGTACGTAAAATAGGCTTGTCGTCTATACTTGATGTGATGCAAAAAATCAATGTAGCGTTAAAGTATCAAAGCACCTATAATAGACTGATGTTTAGTGTCCACTACACAATACACCCATGTTGTTAATTTATAAAACGGTATATATGTAATTATTGAATGACTTTGTTGATCATAACCACAACTTCATCATGACATGTAAAAAAAATAAAAATCATTCAGAAATGGCGTCAAATTACAAAAAATGTCATAAGGCCACATTGAGGATTCAAAGACAAAAAAGAAATAAAAATCTGGCAACATGCTCATAACTAACCTTTAGAATTTAAAAGTCCACAAATCTACGAGGCTTATTGTAATATTTTAACTGTTTTGTGTAACGACTAATGCTTAGCCTCCAGCAATCGATATAAAATTCAGGGAAACAAAATTGGAATGTAAGCTTTTCATGCGGATATTTCTTTATTGGTTGTTTATTGGTTGCTTAGATTACTAGAAAATAATCCCTCGTGCGAGAACAGTGATTGGAAATGGAAAACTAAATTTTTATAACGGCTTGGTATATGAGAGAAGCTGGTGGAATCTTTGCCTTGGAATGTACGAGATACGGAGTTGCCAAGCGAACCAATGATGCAACGTTGCAGAATTTGTGGCGATCCTGATCTTTCATTTCGACCTAAAATGGAGCGTCGTCAAGACCGATCGGGAATCAATCCTAAACAGATTCGACACAATACACAATTCAAAAATGTGTACGGTCAAAATAAAACCAGTATTTGGGCGTAGAGATCAAGCTACCGCATACTTTCAATATGCATCTTAATTCAAGGAACTGGTGTAACATATTTACAACGCGGCAGACTGCCGCGTCAGCATTGCTAGGCAACGCGATGATGAGCTTCGCTATGCAGGCGGCTTCTATCCATTTCTAACATATGTGTCTATACGCACTTCTCTCGTACAAATTAAACTCACGCCGTCAGACAAATTTGGTTTTCAGTGTATGCGAAATATCGCAAATAATATACCTAGGATAAAAATTAGAATAAAACAGCATGATGCCAAATGTTGCAAAGTAAAATTCGCATTGCTGTCGCTCAATGTCCCCAAAATATTTAAAATCAAAAAAACATGATGCAATCAATGGCTTTTTGAACAATCATAATTATTGAATTTTGATACTCTCTTCTTACGGTAAATATGTAAATACAATCTTAGGTGATCTTTCAGGTTATTTTGGCTTGACAGACATATGATGTTGCTTTTTAGTGCTAAGAAATGCCTCATATTATGTGACGAATTTTTTAGGTATATATACAGTGGTCCTTCCTCTGTGTAAAGTTGTGTTTTGAATCAATTGCATTTTTTTAACTAACTAAAGTTGTTTCATGCATTAAACATTGGAAACGTAAACAAGCAAGAAAAAAGTTGTTTATATAAGTTTTGACAACCACTATTGAGCTGTACGAATTTGAAGGACGAAACTTCTATAGAATCGTATAATTTACTTCTTTTGCTCATTTGTAATTTTCAGCTGCATTGCGTCTTGTTAAAAAACGAGAGTAATTTTGTCATTCGACTTAGCTAGATTTTTTTGTACATTAGTCTGTAGATTCGAGATTCAAAGTTCTTATTTGAAGAAGAATTAATGAAAATACATTCAATGAGGTGATAAGCCAATAAATGTTCTTAGTAACCATCGGTAGAATGCATCAATAAATATTTGTTTTGACTAGACATCGTAAATAGAATATAATGCATTTTTTCAATCAACAGTATGCATTTTATATGTGTTTTAGATTTTATGAAGATCACTGTTGAAACTGTTAATATATTTGTTGTACCGTTGTTGCGAATAAATATTGACATGTATTTGGCTGTTTTTTCCCTAAAGCATCTAAGCATAGATGATGACGCTTCTAAATGCGCAATATTATTATTGTATAACCTAGCTGCAATAGAGTGCAGCGACACACGGCGATATTTTCAGTATGGCCCGGCTCATAAGAATTGAAGACAGAAGGTTAAACTCATATTGTGAAGCCAAAAGTGTCTAGAATGGAATGGTATAGTCGAAATCACGAAAGATGCCGATTACGTCATCATTTTAGTCTGTAGTAAAGACAAACGACAGCGATTTGTGAATATATTTAATGAAGTTTCTGATATGTTAGACAGAGACAAACAGAATTTTATTGTCTAAACAAACTGTATTGCTAATTTGCATGTATCCGACAAAGATAGACGATGTTTTCATGGTGCATGATCGATCATATTTGAAAGATGAATAGTTAGGTTATGTTAAAGCAGGTTATGTTGTTTTCGAATAATACTTTGGTCTTTGGTGTTCCTGTCTTAAGGTATTCTACTTATAACTGTTTTTTTCAAAACAAAAACTCCCCACTAAAATTATTATTAAGGTATCACTCAAAACCATGAAATAAAATGAAAATAATCAGTGAAATAACCTAACTTCGAAAAATCAAAATATAAATTTATTGTCATTATGTTTCTGACTCGTGATTTTATCATCGACGTACGTGTATTGATTACTTCAGTACAATTTATGGTATGACGTAATAGTCATCTTTCATGATTTTGAGTATATAACTACTAACGGCTAACGACTGTGCCCATAATGTCAGGAATGTCAGATTCTACGCATGTCTTATCAGTATGATGACTGCATCTCTCTCTTTCACGTGCATGTGTATGCGCTGAGGCTGTATGCGCACTACATTCCCGAGAGCCACGCCCTCCTTACAGACAGTATTGACATCATACGAATACGTGTCTTGCTTTAGGCAGTTTGCTCTCCTATCTTCAACCCTCGTGGCCCGGCTATATTGCTACATATGTTTGGCATTTCCGCCTATATTCGTATATTGCTGGCAGACTGCTGAAATATCGCAATCCTTCTTAATATAAATAATGTAAGCTGCCGCGACGCGTATCATAAATCATTCTTTCTGATAAGAAATTCTGATAAGTGTTTGTGGCTAGACATTGCAGACAGTATTGCCAAGTAATAACTGCTATAGCTGAGATACACAGGGTGTCCCATTTTAATCTGCCCACTCAAATATTTCGAAAACTATGATAGTATCTCAAAAAAAAATCAAACATATATTGTAAGATTTCGAGAAGGTAAAATGGCGGTGACCTTGACCGAGACCATAACCATGACCTTAAAGGTCATTTCAAGCTCGAGTAAAGACATTGAAAACAATTTGCTCTAGCAAAAATGTTTTGCATGACATTTGTGGAACTTTTTGAGGTCATCTAAAGATAACCTTGACCATGGCCTTCGAAATCAAATTAAAAATCAAAGGAAATCCATAATTTTTATCCTGGAGTTGGAAAAACCAGGAAATGCCAAGTCCGAACGTGATCTTGACTTCAAAGTTAAGATCATGTCAATTTGAAATGTAATTTTCTAAGGTAACCACTTGATTTTTAGGCCAAAATTTCAAAAAGCAGGGCATGTTGTTATTAAAGGTGTAACATTTTGACATGACCTTGAAGGGCATGGTCAAAATCATGTTCACTGTCACCTTTTGGTGATCCCCAAAGCTCACAACCGTGCTATCGAACATTTTTGCTAGGGCTAGGAATGTTTTCAATGTCTTGATTTGGCCTTGAAGGTAACAGTGACAGTCATAGTCAAGGTCATATTCGGACGCTAATTTTCTTTCTTTTTCCAATTCCGGTGGAAAAAATTAGAGTTCCATTCGAAAATATTCACTTGACCTTGAATGTCGCGGTCATGGTCAAGGTCACCTACAACTTTTGTTTGAAAAATTCCTTCCCCGGATGCGTAGCTTTTGAAATATTAAGGAGAGGAGATGGCACACGCTGTATAGCTATAAACATTAATGACAATTCAGAAGCTCCGTAACCATAGGAAAAATCTAAAAAGAAAAGCTCCCCGATTCATAAAGTTGATACCACCACCACATAGATTGTTTTTGAATCTGATTCTGCCTTGTTTATTAGTGAAATATTGTATGTAGACATAAAAAACAGACTATTCTTTCATATACAAGGAATAAACATCACGCATGAGACTTCATTTTCTCTTTGGAGGACATTGACTTTCTGGTATACATTTTTCCTGGGCATTTCTTGCATATCCTTTAATGCAATAGCATGCATCATTACATCGGATATTTAGGATAGGGCATACTTCTCCCAGAGTTTTACATTCGTTTTGGCAAGCACTACCACAGCTGTAGCACTCGTTAGGTTTGGTACAGTTTATCCATTGGCTTCCTTAAAACAGAAACTATAATGAGTTCACGAAATGAAACCTTTTGCTAGACTGTTGCCCAAATCTGTTCAGTCATTCATACGTTGTGGGGTCAAAATAGATATTGCAGTATTTCCTAAATTTTCCCGCTTACGCCAGAACAAGTTTTTGAAAGCAGAACCAGTGTTTTTAGAAACTAAAAGTGAAATTAAAGTGTTTCTGAAAGATCTGAGAATGTTCACTTCCTAAGCCAATGGGAGAGGAAGTATTGTAATCGCGAATAATTTCGAAAATGCGATATTATGTTTTTTGAATGTTATATGACATGTACACTACGCAAAACCATGTTGGTCTTGAGAAGTACCACTATGATTTCGAGGAATTTTTTACACAATGTTACTACTATACCAAAGAAGAAAAAGCTTTGTAGTTTTTGAAAACCGATCCAGTAGCGGTGAAGGAAAAGGCCAAAAACGAAAAAAAAACAAGTAAGTAAAAACCGCCCAAACTTCGTTTTTTACGTTTTAGAGGGTCCTGATCATTTTCAGAAATTGTTTAGAAGTTGAAATTTTGTTGATGGATTCGTACTGCAGCGCTGGAGCCGAAAAAACGTACGGAGCTTGCACGAACCAAAGGATAACTCACTGCATAGATGCCGGCAGATGTGGAAAGTGAGAATGTTGCCACATGGTCAGTAACTATCAGTAGGGCAGGGAAATAATGTCTACGGATTTAAATTGCGTTGCACCTCTAATGCTTTATGAACTGATGACGGCGTTCGTAGGAAGTGCAGAGTCAACCCACTTTACGTAATTTTTTCATCTACAGCTGACAAATTAGTGGTGAGCTTCCATTTCAATGAATGGGTATGATTTTTATGGAAAAATTTTATAACCTATGCCTCCAGTACACAGGATGCTTACAAAAGATTATGCAGATAGTCAAGGGTTAATTGATGAGACTATTCGAAGACTATTTTGTCCACAACGCGGGCGCGGTGATGATTTCCCGTAATTCTCCTCAGTTTTTCGTAATTTTGACTTTGAACATAACCTCTATTCAGAAAGCACAACATATAAATAACCCGTCATATTCAGCACACAGAAATTATCACTGATTTTATACACATGCAGACGAATACATATAATCATCCAGATGCGATCTTGCTGTTCAACCAACTTTCTTCTCAGAGATAAAAACTACAGACACGGATCACTCAGCCTCACAAAACTATGCAACCAATAATGCGTTGTAGTTTAGTTGAGTGATTCCTCCATAGATGGACGTTCACAACGATCCTAGTGAGCAAACGTGGAATGACTGTTTGCGCCCTAAAAACTACCTAGTCTGCAAGTTGACATCTTATAGGTTTTCTTTGACGTTTTATAGGTTCAAAATAAGAAGTCCGTTAATATTTTTCGATTCGATTCACCCATCGGTCTACTCTATTTGAGTCAATATTAGTGCATAAAAATAAATATTTTGGGATACACTCATCTGATCAACCTTAATTACAATTAATGTATAGATATACTTACCGCCTCCAGAGGCCGGCTTGTACTTAGGATTATTAGGATTGCATGCTTTTGGTTCTGAGCTTTCAACTATAGCAATGTACATAATACAACATACAAAAATGATGGTTTTCATTTTATGTGCTTCTTAGACTGACTAAAAGAAGCTATACGAATAGAAATATGTAGGTATTTATACCAGATATGAACGTCGTAAGGTAATTTACACAGTATCCTGCGGTTTGCAGTCGTTATCATGCATAAACAATGTAAAAATACATTGCACATGACGTGCATAACTTAATATACATATGTACGGTAGCATCGCTTAGCGATGGATTTCTAAATAATATTCATTTATTATATTTCTCACCTTGACAATTATTTCCGGTATTTACCCTTTAATGTAACTAGATGCGAGTTCAAGATTCAGGTTAACCTATCTAGTAATGACATAGTGATTAATTTGATTAGTTTGTAATCGGTGAGAGTTCCTTACTATGCAATCGCGAGTCTCTCTCACATCAACGGGCAGTGTTTGGTATTTTTTACGATTATGTTAGCATAATTTGCACCTTTAACTACTTACCGTTAGTACTGCCGCGTACTATGTCTGCCGGAAGTACTCTTTAGACTTCAACTTCTCAATCCAGTGGGGTATTTACTGAAAATTTAATTCTGGGGGTATAGTAATATTCTGCTTTCCAAAAGTATATTCAGTATATTTATATTGTAGCGTTTTTCTGGGTACTTTTGGGTGTGGATTAAAACACTGGATTCCACAAAAAGAAATGCACTAATTTATTTATCTTGACTAGATAGAACATTTATATACACCACTATTTATGTCTGACTAATTCTTATGTCGCGCCATTGACTGGACTATACTCCACTCCGCTCTGCTACTCTACTGTTCTCCGTACTCTGCTTCCATCTCCCGGCCGCCGAGTTATATAGTCCGCATCGTTGAGTCGAGACGAATCGGGAGCCACATAGCGGCCGTCCAGAATAGTCGAGGTTACTTCGCGTCGATCTAGAAGGCGGGTCGCTGCCACGGTCCTCACAGACACCGCCAAGCGGCCATGAAGCTCTGGCGAGTAGGGTACTCTCCCAACAGATGGCGCCAACAGTACTATTTATCGTCACAATATCCTGACTGTTTCCACCTTTTTTACATATTGTATACATCACTGGCAAAGAACCTTCCCACAGAGGAAGAAGCCGTAAAAACAAAAGAGTCATTCATCGTAAACTTTACATTTATAATTAACTTTATTCGTGTAAAAACTATACCCATGATGTTAAAACATCTAGACATAGCTTTTAGCGCTGCTAGAGAGAACTTCCCACAGAGGAGGAAGTCATAAAAACAGAAGAATCATTCATCATAAACTTTATTCATATCAAAACTACACCCATTGTGCTGAAGTACCTCTCTGGCAGCCCATGTGCCACACCTGACACACTCGTTTGGGCTTCCGCCGTGGACGTACTGCGCGAGGAAGCCTCCAACAAAAGCGTCGCCAGCGCCGTTGGAATCTACGATATCCTCTTTTACGATTAGACTTACGGGAAATTCTTGCAGCTCCGTCTGGTGGAGGACGTACAGCGGTTTTGAACCCCTAAAATCACAATTAATAGTCCATATTCCAAAATAAAGCCGCAGAATCATGGCACTGCTTAACGTATTCTACCTAAATAATAGCCAACCTAATACCATATTCTCGCGTTCAAAAAATTATACAAGATTATATGAGATACCGTAATGTCGTCATCTATAAGAATTTGTTTCAGCTATGTTCCTCCTCTATGCACAAATTAGAAATCTGCTTTGAAAGGTTAATGTCTCGTAGAGGACTCTGTTGCTAAATATATGCTAAATGCTAGTATAGTTGACTACAGCGCAATAGATGAGACAATAACTATTTTAAAATAGATTTATAATCGGCACGGTTTTTCGTAATTTATAACTTTGAACATAACCCGTCGGACACAGCCAATAGATATACTTCATTGGCAGCATATTCAGTAATGATTTTCTCACACAGCAAATATCACTGATTTTATACACATGCAGACCAATACACATAATCATCCAGATGCGATCTTGCTATTCAACCAACTTTCTTCTCAGAGATAAAAACTACAGACAAGGACCATTTGGCCTCACAAAACATATGCAACCAATAATGCGTGTAGTTTAGTTGAGTGATTCCTCCTTAGATGGACGTTCACAACGATCCTAGTGAGCAAACGTGGAAGGACTGTTTGCGCCCTAAAAACTACCTAGTTTGCAAGATGTCATCTTATAGGTTTTTTTGACGTTTGATGTCCATGGGTATCTGATATACCTATTTGTTCCCCTTTTGTTATCAGATAAATCAAAGAAGTAGTGATAAGTGCTACATGAACGTCCAACCGCAGAAGGTCTTCAGCTGTCGGAAAATCACAATAATATCCAAATCAAACCACATATATGTTTTAATTTCTGTTTATTGTACGCCAATAAATTGTCATTGTATTTGAAGAAAGCTACCGAAACGTACAAAAAACAGAGATTAAACATTTATGTGGTTTGATTCGGCCAGACAATGGAGTCCTATGATCATGAAAACCACAAGATAAGTTTCAAGAGTTACATTAACCTCAATGATGTCCGACGATTGAAGAGAACCAGTCCATGTGAACTTGTGTACGATTTTGTGTAAGCAGAGCATAATAATCGGGCGTCAGTACAATAAAAAATACTTATTATATTTTGGCTCAATCGGACCAGGTTGCGATGCTTCCCGCGCTCTTCAATATTTTGTCCTATTTACGTTCCTAATTTATGATGATTTATGTAAGTTGTTTAATTCATCCCGAAATATTGTTTTACGCATGTGTTGATTTTTGTTAAGGTACACTTTACAAACCTTGTGGTACAACTTAACAAACCGTTTCCAAAAATTGTGATATTTAAAAAAAAGTATTTTTACCTAAAGTCTCTTTACATAATCTTACTTTAGCATTCACTTTAAGTCACTACTACTAAAATTACTTATGAGTTATTGCATAAAATATGTCTAATGATACAATTTTCCTAACACTACACTAAAAATATTCATAGGTATGGTTTCAAAGGACTTGCCTGGTCATGACGAGCAATCGATCAGGCTTCTTGTTGAAAATCTTATTTAGCTTTGGCAAGATATCTTCAATATTGCATTCTGTCCTGTCATGTATGGCAAGAAAAGCTTTATACTCCTGCAAATTTCATGTCAGTAGATTCTTTATTATACCAGAGTTAAAAGCTTACATTTTCATTGCCAAAAACGATATCACCATGCTCGAATAAATAAGTAATCTCTTTCGGGTAGTCATTACTGAGGAATGTGGCAGCTAAGTTTACAATTACAGTTTTACTATTTTCCTTGAAATGTGAAAAAATGTCCTTTATAACTTCGAAAGAAACTCCTAAGAAAAATGCCTGCAAAACAGAGAAATACCATTGGTCCTCGATCTCATGTACTGAGTGTTACAGGAAAGATGGAGGGCAGATTCAACACGTTAACATTTGAAAAAAAAAACTTAATTCACTTGACAATTGTCGGAAACAGATTGAAATATTGAGATGAGTTTTGATACAGGCAATGCATCACCAAAGGCATCATTAACAAGCAAAACAAAAGTTCTAATTGACTTTACAATTTTCGGAAACAGATTAAAATATTGAGATGAGTTTTGATACAGGCAATGTATCACCAAAGGCATCAATAACAACCAAGAGAATTTTTCTCTTGGCTATGGATGTTATGATTATCCGTAGGTGGTAGGCGGTCCCTGACTGTCGAACGCGGAGGTACCACCTGTCGGATTTCTAATGCGGGTGCCAGAACGTGTGCACGCGTTCCCTCACTAGAGTCTGTGTGACATCTCCCCCTTTCCGCTGTATAGCCCCACGGTACCTATGGGTGTTTAGGCTTTAGGCATTCGTGGTGGTTCAAGTATAAAACGAATTGCATTCACGCCATTAAATGTCTATGTTTAGCGAAAAAACTGTACCTACACCAATGGCTTATGCAAAAAATCAGTACCAGTAACTTGGCCTGATTGTCTTTTTACTTAAAAACTTCTCATTCAGACTCACCTTTGTCCAAAGGCGGACTTGGTTATCTGCCTCGGAGGGAGAGGCGGTGGTCACAGAGGTCAGGTGCGTCTAGGGGGGGGACCTTGCCTTTGTCGAAATAAAAAATATTTTATTAACCAATACGTCGATCTAATTTTTATTACAAAATAGTAGTCGCGCTGGCACCTTTTTTTTCAAAATAACGAAAAGCTCCAAGTGACACTTCTCAAGCAGAATCAATGTGGCTTTAAGAAAAACAACACCTTTGCAAAAACTTTACCGCTAAATATAAATTTCAGATACTCCGTATCATCGAAACATATAATTTTAGGGTCCATGTTCTGATATATAAATATTTTTTCATACTTTCAAGCACTGAATCTACCCTTAAATTTTCCCAACAACATTCTGTATAAGATCAAACATTATCTTACAGATATATAAATAAACTGAGCTCTCTGCAGATGTCCCCACATATGCTTATCCAAATTCTCCTTCGTAAAACACTTTGAGGCTCCTAAACGTGAGACAAGCGTCCTGTATTGTCCCGTGAGGAGAACAGCACATACGCCCGTCCTCTCATTCTTCACTTCCACCAAGTGATGGTGGATTTTTTCCTCTTCGAATTTGCCTTTGATCAGATGCCCGAAGGTGTCATCACCTACGGCACCAGCGAATACTATTCGGTACCTCTTTCCGCAGATCCAGTTCATAACACGAGCTACAAAAAACTCTGGTACTTAGTAATAGGTTCTGTAATACAGAATAGCTTACAAAATATATGAGTGATTTTATTACCAGACAGAAAGTGAGTAATATTGTAAAGGAAACACCGTTTTTGCTGTCCCACTAATTTATTACTTTAACACTAATTAATAACATTGGCAACTAATTTATAACAAATTTATATTTATGTCGACTGGACTATTATCCCATCTTATTCAACGCTCGATGTAATGGTGGCTTCTCACTACGCGTGCTACTACGCGTCGCGCCGCTCCACGCGCAAGAACACGCCACGCGACACGCCGCGCCACCCGTTTGTGCGGCGCGGCGCGGCGCGTGCCTTCTAGCTTTACACCTCAGTTTGATTCAGTCTGTTTAGCGCAGCGCACTATGTCTTGTGAGTCGAATTGCCACCTCCAGCCATGGAGCAATGCCACTGAAGAAGAAGGCATGGCTGTTGCATCAGCCGTTTTTGTCTTATTTTGTGGATATCGTTTACTTAATAAAATTAACAAAAACAAGAAGAGGAGACGCTGGTGGATGTCAACGTTCAATAAGAGCCGGTCAAGGTAATCATTGTTTGTATTTTGAGATAATTACATAGGTACGTAATTTTTAAGAATCCTATCAATATATTTGATGGTATCTATTGGTAAGTTTGGCGCGTTTTAAAATGAAACTTTGCTGCCGGAAAATTTAGTAAAAATTATTGTATTTTTGTTTCAGATACAATGGATCAGATATGCTATCGGATTTTGTTAAAGAACCGAGCAGAAAATTTGAGAACTTCTTTAGAATGGCACCAGAAGATTACAACTATCTAATGAATAAAATAGGCCCTATCATTGCAAAACAAGATACCCATATGAGAAAATGTATTCCAGTACAAGAACGGTTTGCAATTGCTCTCAGATTTTTAGCAACCGGAGATAGTTACACAAGCCTTTCATATCTTTTCAAAGTATCTATCCAAACAGTTTCAAGTTGTGTCACGGACGTTTGTAAAGCATTGATAAAAGAACTATCACAAGAAATAAAAGTAAGTAGTAGAATTAAGCATTTATTTTTTTCAAATCGTAAACAAATAGAAATTGACATCATCCATTTAAACTAAATTACTACCCTCCTCTTCATAGAAATCTTTTAATAGACTTTGCGAAGCTGATGTTTCGACTTGCGACAGCTGTGGAGATGGATAGTTTGGGGATGGCTGTGGAGAAGATAATGAATGATAGGTTGGGGATGGCTGTGAAGAAGGCGATGGATGATAGTTTGGGGATGACTGTGAAGAAGGCGATGGATGATAGGTTGGGGATTGCTGTGGAGAAGGATATGGATGGTAGGATGTGGATGGCTGATAGTAGAGATTGCCGGAATGTCCAAAATTCGTGGGCTGTGGTGGGTTGATTAGTATTTGTGCATGTGGGTTTGACGATAGTTCTTTTTGCTTCAGATTGAAAATCAATCTATCAATTTCCAACATCGCTATTTCACGTGTATTTTCTGGTAAGCCTCTCAATTTTTTGCACAATAATTGTGTGTATAATGAACATTCATCTTGCGGGATTTGGGGTTTTTGAGTCATTTGTTTTATATAGTCGTATGCTTCGTTCATTTTATTTTCTATATCAATATTTTTAGCACGTTTTTTAGGAAGAGGTTTTGGTCTTTTAAATTGAACTGATTCTTCATCATCCTGTTTACTATCTTCAGAGGCATCTAAATCACGGTTATCTTCTATTTCTTCTATGTCGTCAGTGACCTAAAAATAAGAAATATTCATGATAATTTACAATATTTCTATTTGTTTTAGCTGCCACGGACATCATCTGACTGGTTAAGGATAGAGAAAGGATTCCGCAGAACTTGGAATTTTCCTCACTGCTTAGGAGCTATCGACGGAAAACATGTGCTAATACAAAGTCCTATTCATAGTGGATCTGAGTTTATCAACTATCACAAAACATTCAGTGTTGTATTAATGGCTTTAGTCGACGCGGATTACAATTTTATTTTTGTGGATTGTGGGTGCCAGGGCCGAATAAGCGATGGTGGTGTATACAGAAACACCAACTTATATAAACAAATCTGTAGAAAGGAATTGGGTTTTCCACCGCCAGACTGCTTACCGCTGAAAGTAACACCTCTACCTTACGTATTTGTTGCAGACAGTGCATTTGCTCTAACGGAAAATATGATGAAACCTTACGCTGGAACTCATAATAAGGGATCTAAAGAACGCGTGTTTAATTACCGCCTTTCACGAGCTCGACGGATTGTTGAAAATGTCTTTGGCATTATGTCTGCGGTGTTTAGAGTACTAAGAAAACCCATGCTTTTACAACCAGATATTGTAACTGATATTGTGATGACATGTGCATTGTTACACAATTTTTTGAGACGGTCTAAAAGGTCTAGACTTATATATACCCCTCCTGGATCCTTTGATACCGAAAATGATGATGGCGAGATTCAGCCCGGTTCTTGGCGTGATGACCAAAATGGAGTTGCTTCCCTACTACCACTCCAAAATCGGCCAAGAAGAGCACCTCTTTCCGCCAAGAATATAAGAGACCAGCTTGCAGAATATTTTATAACAAACGGTGCGGTTGCCTGGCAAAATAATTATTAATTTTTTAAGTAAATAAAGTACTTACCTCAGAATCCTTCGTTTTCTTTGGAGTATACACATCATTCAAAAATTGGGCCATCACATTATAAAATGGCCAGTCAGGCTTATAGATTTCATCAGCACCGCTGCCAGACTTTATTGATTGGCAAACTTTACTTCTTAATTTTCTATAGGTTCCCATTAAAGAATCCCTTTTCTTTTTAATTTCTTGTAACGGTATGGTACCACCTTTTAAATTCTGTTCAATTCGCAGCCAGGCATCATGCTGGTCGTTTTTGTTTTTATGCTCCGCATTTTTCGAATTCCACAGAGAGGGTTCGCCTTCATACAAAGTTAAAAATTCGGCGATCGTTTCATTCGGCCACTCCATATTCACCACAGTACCTCAACGTAGGACGAGTCAAAATGAAATGAACGAGTTCAATCGTGTTCGTCTGTCTGGGTAGGTACACGCCGCGCCGCGCCTTTGAAGTTACCGACTTTTAGCGGATAGGTCGCGCCACGCCGCGCCTGCCCGCGCCAAGCTCTTCACACTGCGCGAGGCGCGTGCCGGCGCGGCGTGGCGCGGGTCAACACGCGCAGTGAGAAGCCGGCATAAGTTAGTTCGGCCGTGTATCGACTGTGGCAAACTGATTCTGTCATCAGGTCATCAGTCGGATATCGAATACTCGAGGTTGCGTTGCAAGCACGCTTCAGATATGGTCCCGTAACTCTGGTTGCCTAACGTCGACATATTGCGAAGCCACTCACGCTGAGCTATACGAGGGCGTTACAGTATTTTCCAAAGAGATGTCAAGCCTTATGTTATATTTGGACGCTAAAATACGATTTGCATCGACGTAGGCATGCTTCCAAGTAGGATAGCAGTGATTCCCTTAAGAGTAATAAAAAACAGACTCCGTTTGCTTTATAAAGAAAACGTGTTATTCTTAAGCTTGATTCCAAACCTTTCAATGAAAGATCACCTATCAACATTTCTAAGATTTCGTATTCGAAACTGCTCAACGACGAAAAGGAACCCATCTGTAAAGCTTCTATGGGATGCCATATGATGGAAGTTTTCATAAGAAGACAGCATGCCACAGCTGATCGAAACCTTTCGTGATATCAAGAGTAACAACTTGAGCTTCAACACATAACTGGATGAGTTTAGTCAACCAGAGTTCATCTTATCACGATTTATGCACCTCGTAGTGCGGTAAACTAACATTATTAGTCGAGGTACAATCGAAGATGTTGGTCTCCACCAAGAAAAGCATGGGTTGATTATATTTTAATCGATGGTAAAACTTTTCCAACCGATAGTGTTTCAATGGATACTTTACAATATGTTTCCAAAACATGGGGGAACAATTCAAATGTCGATTGTTAAACTATTCTAAGGCTATTTTCTTTTTTGGTGACTTTCGAAAAACTGATTTCTTTCGGGGATTCAAAGCAAGCAAGAGTTTCTAAGACAACATATTTATTAGCAAAAATCGTTCATAATGACTATGATCAGTTGGAACGTATTGCTCTAATTTTCTATACATAGACTGATGAGCTCGAGTTCGCCAGGGTCATTTTTTTTGTTGAGTTTTATCCAGCAATTATGCAATTTATCTCTCTCATGTACCATTGGGGTAGTATAAGATGATAATTTTATAGAGTGTTCTATAAAGAAGAGAGGTCAAGTCCGAACATCGAGTAGGCCATGAGTACGACCCTCCTTGGCTTGTTGCTCTATGACGAAGACAATGGGGTCATTCAGAAATGTTTGTTCAATTAATAAGCTCTAGTTGAGATCTTTGCTAATAAAAAACGCAATTTTTAAAAAGCAGTAGGTATGTTGGAAAACGTCAAACAAAAATAGCCAAAGCATAATTCACAGAATTACCTCTTGTTCTCTTGCCCCATGTCGGAAACATCCTTATTTTGGAAAGATTCCTTACCAGAATTCGTAACACTACCTCCAGGCAGTATAATAGGATCTAATTTCAATATGTCCATGAAGATATCTTCATGTTCGGAAGACGCAGAGACAGTCTCGTCTGGTTTCAAGTTGTACTTTTTCAGGTAATCCACATCTACATTGGCTATGATGTCTAAAAGGGGTCCACCGAGAAAGACGATCATGTTTTATCTGTGTTTTAAATACCTCCTTATCTGTGAAAGAATACAAAAAAAGCATCGTAGAGGGATACTGATCATACCAGACATACCAAACATAAGTGATTTTCGACTGATCTTTGGACTGAAATAAATTTCCCGAATCGTTAGTGATCTTTAAAAAGGTGAATTATTAGTGGTAACTAAAAAAAACATGCAAATAATTTGAAAACCGATAATTGTATGTTTGGCATTTTGGCAAGGGGAAGCGTTCTGTTATCGGTTTTATCACAACCTGTAGTGGAGATTTTTGCTGCTTTGTTGCTTTAGAGAAGCAAAGTTGTAAATTATCATAGTTATGGAGGAAGCGTCTCCTAAAATAAAATATGTTGAACAAAATATTGTCATTATTTCACTGATAGTATATCTAATATTCTAGGCAGTAAATTTCAAGAATAAATGTAGGTATACATTTGATAAATTTTCCGTAACTTATACGTAACTTACTGTAGCGAAAATAATGTTTTTCTTATCTTGATAACATTCAAATATCTTTCAATATGTATATATAGATATACTAAATCATCAACCGAATTTTGTTGTTCAATATTAGCCTTGACATTTCTCCACGCACTGGCAAGGAAAGTGTTCCGTTACCGTAATCCAATATGATCTTAGTGAACACAGATAAACTTGATTTGAAACAAATAATAAGCCATGTCAAAAATAAAGTGTGCGTATTTAAATAGTCTCGTTCGTTACATAAAGCTAGTATTGAAGTGTTAACTTACCCTTTCTTTCAAGTTTCATTCATTGTCCACTCGTTTTCAAATTTAGTTCGGTGATTTATACTTTCGAGAACATATCAACATCGTGAATATATTTTGTACGAAAGCCTGCTTGGGTTCACCGTCCCCGCTAAATTCATGTACACACCAGCGGCTATTGAATACATTAAAAATATACAGGCGCGATGTTGCAGTAGGTGTGTACTTTATATAACGATCGATCAGCGAAGAGAAAGCGCCCTCTCACAGATTGCGCTTTAAGGTCAGACTTGCGTGCTCACGCAGTTACTTGCGACTTGTACGTGCACCTATGCAACTTCGATGGTTCTAAGAGCTGTATATAGGACGCACGAAGTACTGCCGAACTTCAAAATATCCTCGTATATAGGGTGTCCTAGAATAACATGTTAATCCCTCGTAATAATTCTAGGGCATACAGAGCTGCTGCTATATAGTGCACAAGTTGACATTTTACCGATTATATATGTTTTTTATGTAATAATCTTGCGGCCCGATCTAAATCAGTGTTTCTTTCCATGGACATACCATCATGTGAAGCCGCAACTGGATAGTTGTCAAAATTTCGTTGAATTCTGCATGTCGTTGAAAAGTTAGTAGTGCGCAGATTTTTACAGGACCTTTGACGCACTAGCAAGCTGCAGCGTTGCCACTTATTTTAATTTTCCTCTAAGACAGAGCAAACGCGGCGCAATTAGTTTGGTTCCCGGTTGTACATGCGATTTTAGGAGAAATAGCTGCCGTGGGGCTACAGGGGGGAAACGACTTGCCATCTATTAATCGTTCCTATAAGTTGCACATGTTTTGAGCCAACTCTCAACATTCGCCTCAGTCAATGGCAACCTATCTACATAAGGTGAGGTTCAAATTTGGATGAGGTCATAATGTGTACGAGAGAGAAGCGTGCAATATGTATGATGGCAACGCGGCAAGCCGCAGCTGCGTCCTCGGCCTCGTCACTCAGGTTGCCAGGCAACGAGGTGCTCTCTCATTCTAACACACGTATTGCACGCTTCTCTCTCGTACACATTAAGACGTCAGTGATATATGGATTTATTTCACTGTATACTACTCCAGTAACAGACGATCACCCAAGACTATAATTTTCCTGGCTATAAAAGAACAATTAAGGCAACTACAATTTTGTATTTATCTTTATTATTTATCAAATAGTGATAATTTGAGGTATAAAAAGTAAAATGCCAAAAATCGGTCATCACACTATGTAGTACAGTAATTGTAAACTGACATCATCAATAATCTTATGTCTAAGAAGGCTCCAAAAACTTATTAATAAAATTAATTCAAATTAAAAGTATATTTTCTATCAGCATATAAGAAAAACAATAAAAAGGACAGTCCATTTGTTCTATATATGCATACCCTTTCTAGACTTAATGTGATTATAAGACATTGTGTTATATATTTCCTCTCAAATTAACATCATTTATTGCAGAATGGATAAGGATAAGGATAAATCATAATGCTTTTTAATGGAACAATTCATGTAGATATGTATAAGTTATAAATGTAAATGTACTTCAAAAATTAATAGTATTATAAAAGTTGCCAATAACTGTGAAAGAAAATGTTATTTCAGGTGACTGATTTGTAATGTATCATGAATTGAATGAAAAGTAATGCTAATAAAGTAATACATTGAATAATCCATATTATTAGCCAATCCTTTTAATGAACATCATTTAGTGATGGTGTATATTATCTCACAATTTGCCATCTTTTTGCAATAGCATCACACAATTTCCTCTAATCTTGAATTTGAATTACCATAGCTCACATGCAGAAACTTTATTAACATAACAATCTCTAAAACCTTTCACCATATCTTTGAACTGGTACCAAGTTTCTGATAAAGTTTCACTATCCACTTCTGTTGCTTCACTAGATATAGTTTGTGATGCCTTAGATTGTCCATATATTATTAAATTATCACAACAGTTACTATCTAAATTATACTCCGATTTTATATTTATCTTGGTATGTTTCAAGCCTTGGGAAAATGTCAAAGGTCTAGATGGTATAAAAGTATCACTGTTGCTTGATATAGTCCCGGAGCTGTTCTTCTTTAAATACACAAAAGTATTGGTGCAAGAAACTGAAGAATCAATTGAGTCCATCCAATCTTGTGATAAAAATATATTCCTGAAAGAAAAAATGTTATATGAGTCAAGAATCAATAAGAACAAAATCACTATGATCATACCTCAAGATCTTTTGTTGATATTTGTTCATATATGCTATATGATTTCGTTCTATATGCCCAACAGCTAGGTCCGAAATACTTATGCTGAACATTTCTTTAGGACTTTGAGGCATAGTACCAAAAATAATAACTACTTCTTTTATATGCTCCGCATTATTCAAGAATTCTTCTTTGAATGCTTTTACAATCTCCTCTATAGTATCATACGCTGACGAAACAGTCCGATAGTGATTCGAAACAGTCATATTTTCCCTTTTTGATCGGTCAACTTCTGGCTTCTTCCTTTTTTTGATCACCATGCTTTCCATCCAACCGTAAGGATAGGGTATTTGATTCTTTTGGTACAAAAGCCCTTTGAAAATTTCACCGACCAGTGAAGCACAAATCAGAGGCGTCAAAATCAATTCACTTATTCCTAGGTTTATCACAGTAGGAAGAACTTTGCCTTCATGTCGAGCGGCTATGTTATGCTTTTCCATTTGGGCAATTAATTTTAGACTTTATACAAAAATATGCGTTAAAAATCAAACTGAAGGTTGTTTATGATATACAATTACAAATTTTTAGGTTCGTTAACTGTCACACAAATTCAAATGTCAGAATGAATGTCGGCAGTCGGCAACACAGCAAGCTCGAAGCAGGTTTGCCAGTTCCTAATTTCATATTATGATTACAGGTAATTCGAATGTTGGTGAAGGAATATTATTTTGTTTGTCTCGAAAACACTGAAAAAGAAATATGAATGATCAATTCGATATCAAGGGTTGTTGAACGAATCTATGTATAATATTTCTTTAACAGAAAAAAAAATGAAAAATTAGGCAGATGGTAGACTTAGCACCCGGACTAATTTAACCGATCTTCGGCATCACTGCCGCATTGCCGCTGCAATTCTGACAGTCACAGACCTCGACTTTGACGTTTCATATAACCTGTAACCTAAAAATATCCGGCGGTTTGAAGTCCCATATGGCTATTTTTGAGGTGGCAAACTAAATAATACAATTTACATCGTTTATCAGTTGGATATTGTGAGTCTGATTTGTGTTTCTGCGAAACGAGATCAAAATGCTGTCCAAAGACGTCAGGAAAGCTTACATAGACTTTTTCGTTGAGAAAGACCATGTTTATCATCATTCGTCATCTACTATACCTTTGGACGACCCAACATTATTGTTCACCAACGCTGGTATGAATCAATTCAAGCCGATTTTCCTTGGCACTGTCGACCCGAATAGTGATTTAGCAAAACTAACTCGAGCTGTTAATAGCCAGAAATGCATAAGAGCAGGAGGGAAACACAACGACTTGGATGATGTTGGTAAAGACGTTTACCATCATACCTTTTTTGAGATGATGGGCAACTGGTCCTTCGGCGATTATTTCAAGAAAGAAATATGTACTTGGGCTTGGGAGTTCCTCACTGAGAGATTGAAGTTACCTAAAGATCGTTTGTATGTTACATATTTTGGAGGAGACAAGATAGCTGGGCTAGAACCTGATAGTGAATGCAAACAATTTTGGCTGGATCTAGGTGTACCTCCAACACATGTCCTACCAGGTAGTATGAAAGACAACTTTTGGGAAATGGGTGAAACAGGCCCTTGTGGTCCATGCTCTGAACTTCATTTTGATCGCATTGGAAATAGAGAAGTTCCACATTTAGTCAATGCTGATGATCCTGATGTTTTAGAAATCTGGAATCTTGTGTTTATTCAATTCAATAGAGAATCAGATGGTTCATTGAAGCCTTTGCCTAAAAAACACATTGATTGTGGTTTGGGTTTGGAAAGATTGGTATCTATCATGCAAAATAAGAGGTCAAATTATGATACTGATCTTTTTACACCAATATTTGAAGCAATACAAAAAGGGACTGGAGCACCTCTATATCAAGGAAGAGTTGGGAGTGAAGATGCAGATGGCATTGATATGGCATATAGAGTACTAGCTGATCATGCTAGAACTTTAACAATAGCTCTTTCTGACGGTGGTACTCCAGATAATACAGGACGGGGATATGTCTTGAGAAGAATTTTGAGGAGAGCTGTAAGATATGCTACTGAAAAACTCAATGCAAAACCAGGATTTTTCTCTACTCTTGTGAACACTGTTGTTCAAATATTAGGTGATACCTTCCCAGAAGTAAGAAAGAACCCAGAAGGTGTAATAGATATCATTAATGAGGAAGAAGATCAGTTTCTGAAAACTCTAAGTAGAGGCAGAAATTTATTAAATAGAACAATTTCAAAGTTGGGAGATAGCGAGGTTTTGCCAGGAGATGTTGCATGGAGGTTGTATGATACCTATGGCTTTCCTATTGACTTGACTTGCTTGATGGCTGAGGAGAAAGGTTTATCTGTTGATATGATCAAGTACGAAGAGGCTAGGAAGCAAGCACAGCTGATTTCTCAGGTAAGCATCAGGTATTCTCGTTGAACATGTTTTTAAAATAATCCACTTGTTCAAAAAGTCAAAGGAGTATATACTGAATAAAAATACTCCCAATGTAATTAAAAGCTGTGACTGCGCAAAAATAAACATATGAACCATGGCTTCCTCAACTACTTAAGCTTACAACTATACATCTTTTAGCCACCTTATTTACTTGTCATTGATGCCACCTCTTGGAGTGTTGGCGTTGATTATGGGATCTTGTTGAGAAAATATCAAATCTTTGGAATTATGAGGGGATGTTGAGGGATGATGTTTCCCTGGGAGGTTGACCTTACAATTAATATTTAGCAAATTTCAGTTGCATCCAAAATCACGGGCTTTAAGTATAGGTGTTTTTTTTTTTCAGGCAAAAGGCTCTGGTATAGCAGATACAATCAACTTAGATGTTCATTCTATTACTGAACTTCAAAACCAAGGTGTACCCCCAACTGATGATTCTCCAAAGTATGATTACAGTTCAGATCAAAAAGCTGATTCAGATTACAACTTCCATACCTGTGAAGCTACTGTAATAGCATTGAGAAGGGATAAACGATTTGTTGATGAGGTCACTACAGGTCAAGATTGTGGGGTCTTACTCGATAAAACGAACTTTTATGCTGAGCAAGGAGGACAGATTTATGACACAGGGTATATAAAATCTTCTATTCAGGATATGTGTGCTTAATTTACAGAGGCTGCTGCCATTAGTTGAGATTGCAGAAATTATTGAAATTTTTCATTGATAATTTGCTTTTAACTTTTCAAGGTTTTTAACGCAAAATTTCTATTTTTCATCAAAATAATTTGGAACACTGATTTACAGTTACTTTTTTTTCTATTTGAAAAATCAACACGCTTTTTACGAGGTGAAATCGATTTTTTTTATTGATAAATGAAGGTTGGTTTATGCCATTTATGTATGAAACATAACATCAGTCATGTGACCACCACAGCTTCGTTTACAGTCCAACATCCGAACATCAAAATTTTCAATGACTCTTCCCAGAATGATCGGGTCTGTGGTCGCAATTTCAGTCCGAATATTGCGCTTTAGGTCTTGAATTGTCCGGGGACCATTCGCATACACTTTTCCTTTCAAAAATCCCCAAAAAAAATAGTCAAGAGGTGTTAAATCGCACGATCTCGGGAGCCAACTAACATCTGAATTTCGTGAGATTATGCGGTCTTGAAATTTCGTGTGCAGTAAGGCGACTGTTTGGCAAGATGTGTGAGCCGTTGCTCCGTGATGAAACCAAAGATCGTCGGCACCAATACGATCCAATTGTGGCCACAAAAAGTCTGTTAACATGCCGCGATAACGTTCCCCGTTGACGGTAATGGCCTTTTCTTCGGCATCTTCAAAGAAGAATGGTCCAACGATGCCACCAGCCCATAATCCGCACCAAACAGTCACTTTTTCAGGATCGAGAGGTTGTTCATATTATTGGTGTGAATTTTCAGCCCCCCCAGAATCTGCAATTTTGCTTATTTACATACGCATTGAGGTCAAAATGCGCCTATTCAGAAAAGAGAACTTTGGCCGAAAATCCGTCTTCTCTTTCCAGCATCCAATTAACAAAAACACGCCGCTGTTGATACTCTGCCGGCTTCAATTCTTGTGTTAGTTGGATTTTGTATGGATGGAGGTGTAAATCAATGTGTAAAATCCGGCGTAAAGTAGTCTCACTAATTCCCAATTGTTGCGAACAGTGCCTAGTCGAGGTGGTTGGATATTCTCGCACACTTTCACTCACTGCGGCTATGTTTTCATGAGTACGAGCTGGACGAGCATGTTGGTATGATCTACGACCTTCAGCTGAACCAGTTTCCTCAAAGCGATTAACAATCCAACGAATTCTAGGCGCTGTAGGGCGTCCATGACGGCCAAAAGTAGTGCAAAGTTTGCGAAAAGTATTTTTTATATTTCGACCATTTTCGTAAAAAGTTTTTATGACCAAAATGCGTTGTTGTGTTGTAAACGAATCCATTACTATAAATGGCATACCTTTGACAGTTCATTTATGCATACCACATGACTTTTGACTCACATGGTAACACATAAACCTATAGGTAAAAAAGGTAATAGATGGCGCACCCGTTATAATATAGCCATGAAAAATTCTTGTATCACAAGGGTCTATTTTGAGTAGAAAATTTATCAAATGGGCGGGTTTTGGTTAAGACTGCCGATACGCTAAAAATTACCTTTTTCACAATTTAAGGCTTTAGAGCCTCTCACTGCAGAATTGCCATTTCGTTCACTGTGGCTTCAAGGAAATGACACTCGGTACACTTAGATAATTTGGGACTTGGGACGCCGAAGTGTCGTCGCGCTAAATTTAGTGTATAGATTTATTTCAAGGCCGCACATTACTCAACAAAAACGTTAATCAGTGAATACTTCTATTGCCTGCAGATACTTGGTGAAAGTAGGAGATGAAAGCGTAGAATTCAGCATAAAGAACGTCCAAGTGCGCGGCGGCTACGTAATCCACATAGGCACCATTGAAGGGACACTTAGAAAGGGCGATAAAGTAATCCTACACATAGACTGCGATCGTCGACGGCTGGTGATGAGCAACCACACAGGCACTCATGTGCTGAACTATGCTTTGAGAAAAGTGCTGGGCACAGATGCAGATCAACGTGGTTCGCTTGTAGCACCGGACAGACTGAGATTTGACTTTACCAACAAGAGTGCCATGAATGCTGAACAGGTTAAGAAGACTGAAGAGAGTTGCAAGGAACTGATTGAGAAGAATGAGAAGGTGTACGCCAAGGAGGCGCATTTAGGTAAGTGAAAAATTGTGCGCTGGTATATAGATTTTAATAAATAGTGTACGGGAATTCCTAGTTTGAAAGTGAAAAATGTAAATAAAACACACACGCTCCTACCAACGGCTTTTGTACGAGATAAACCTACGCTGCGTTTGATGGTAGCGGCCAGGAAAAGGATATGCATACACCTGTGAACATGGGCTCCCCCTGGAAATTTGGTTGGACCTTAAAATTTGAATATTCAGCATGATTTTCTGTACAATTCAGAGGTTTTTTTATGGTAGGCTTACGGGTATTATGCAAAAAACCTATAAAACGTCAAAAAAAAACTATCTTGCAGACTAGGTAGTTTTTAGGCTGCAATTAGTTCATTCCACGTTTGCTCGCTATGATCGCTCTGAGCGTCCATCTATGGAGGAATGACTCAACTACACGCGTTGTTGGTTACAGAAAACAAGTATATGAGAAGATGTGAAAGAAACAAAATTGGTTGAGTAGCAAGATCGCATCTGGATGATTATGTGTATTGGTGTGTATGTGTATAAAATCAGTGATATTTGCTATGTGAGAAAGTTTGAGTAGCATTACGGGAAATCGTCACCGCGCCCGCGTTTTGTTCAATTAATACACATAAAGAAAAAATGAGAATGATGCACAACACATAAAATATTTTCGCGATGCCTTGCATTTAGGTGCTGATTTGTATTTTCTATTGACATCGCAAAATAAATTTCTATAAAATTTAAATGACTGGAAATAAAAAATAATGCAATAACCTTTTCAGTTTCATAAATATTCGCCTGTAGCATATTTTCTAACTTGTTACTTCACCAACCAGGAATTTTCTTTTCTTATCAGATGTCACAAGTGAGCCAAACAGTGATAACTGAAGCATCATGACGTTTAGGCAACACGTACAACTACAAAACGAATTCACAACACACACAGCTAGTGCTAAGTTAACATCTTGTATAAAAACCTACGTTTTGCCAAAAAAAAAAACGACCTAATGTCACTTTTGAAGATACGTAATACCCATGCCCGTCCTCAAACAGTTTTAGAGGCAGATACACTTTCTCCTGAAAAAAATTCCTGCGGGCGCCCTTGCTCGTGAAGCGTCAGCAGCATCTTAAAGACTCGACATATAAACTAGTTCGTTATTGCTCTAGTCATTTTCTTTTCTTTTTCAATTACTATTCATAAACAAACATATCGGCTTACCTACAGACTGAAGCTCGTCGAATCTTATCACCTTATCATTTGCTAGGTTAAATAAAAGTGTTTGTTTTTCCGGTTCCTTTATGGGGCGCGAAACCTCAGGAGCGCTGAATCTTAAAATACGCTACTGCCTGTATCAGGTTCAAATTTCTGACTTTGGTTTCAGGTATCGCCAAAACAATCAAAGGTCTACGTGCTGTATTCGATGAAACCTACCCCGATCCCGTAAGGGTTGTATCCATAGGAATCCCAGTTGAAAAATTAGTGGAAGATCCATTTAACCCAGCTGGCGACAACACGTCGATAGAATTCTGCGGTGGCACTCATGTACAATATGCCGGCCATATTGGAGATTTTGTGATAACCAGCGAAGAAGCCATTGCTAAAGGCATACGAAGAATCGTTGCTTTGACTGGACCTGAAGCTGCTAAAGCTATGAAGCGGAACGAGCTTTTGGAAAACAGACTGAACGAACTCAAATCTGTAGTCGTTGCAGATAAAGATGGCTCAAAGGTCAAAGAGAACGTGAAACAAATTGTAGAACTTACAAACGATATATCGCATGCTGTTATCCCTTATTGGAAGAAAGAAGAAATGAGGGGGATCTTGAAAAACCTTAAAAAAGCATTAGATGATCGAGAAAGAGCAGTCAAAGCTGCAGTAGCCAATCAAGTTGTTGATCAAATCAAAGAATTCCTCAAATCAAATCCAAATTTGCAAATATTAGTTCAAGAGCTGAAAGCATTTGGTAATACCAAAGCTTTAGATTCGGCTCTGAAGCAAGTGCGCAGTTTGAGCCCAGCTACATCAGCTCTGTTTTTGACGGTAGATGCGGAGGCTAATAAGTTGTTCTGCTTAGCTTCAGTACCAAAAGAAGCCATAGAAAAGGGTCTGAAAGCAAACGAGTGGGTGCAAGAAGTTGCAAGGAAGTTGGGTGGTAAAGGAGGGGGCAAACCAGATTCTGCCCAAGCATCGGGAGCTGCTCCAACAGATAGGCTTGAAATTTTGGAGCTGTGCAAGAAATTCGCTGAAAGCAAGTTGCAGTGAAAGAGTTAAATTAAACATTGATCCTAACCACTTTTTGTACTAATTATTATTTTGTAATTTTTTATATTTACTATATTGGTTTGGAAATATATTCGATTGATATTTCAGATTTTTCTTTATAAGCAATACATATCGTACGCCACTCGTAGTTTATCACAAGAGGAGGGAAAATCGTTACATTTGGCAACGCTGTAAATTGTTCTATAATGTGGAAAAAAGGCGTACTGCAAGTTTGCTATAGGCGGATACTTTTCTTAGGTACCGCCCATTAACCACGCCTCTTTTCCAACACTAGTGACGCATTTCTAAAGTTTTTGTTCCATGTCAAGTATCAGCAGTGATGCGCTGAAGATCGAAAATGAGTAAACAAATATAAATAATGAATTATTGTTTGTATCGTCTGCTGATTTGGAGTGTGCGAGTTGTTTCCGACCAATACTGCCTCTAATGTTTATCTGACACCATGTCCAAGGAAGTAACCGACTCTACAGTCCCTTCGCTCACTCAGTACTTTGGTGCTTCTGAAGATAAAAAGGATGAGGCTGCTCTTCCTCTGGGTCTTGCTGAGGCAACTGCCAAAGTAGGATCATTGCAACTCGAAGACAATCACCACACTACTAAGAACGAGCCAGAAGTGTGCCGTATATTCTCTGAAAATGCAGCGCAACCTAAAGACCCTACTGCAACGTTTTTCGATTTAATTGGAGGCAACCAGAGTACAGACAGCAACGGTATCATATCTGACTTAGGTCTGCCGACAACTAATGAAGATGTATATGCTGCCAGAGTTGCAGTAGGGACAGAGGCTGATAGGCGAAGAGATGCTTGGATACCAAATGAGAAAACAAGGCAGTGCCTGATTCAGTGTGCTACTGCAGCACCTGGGACTTACTTTCCTGACAAAGAGCTGCTCACTATGCCTGGAGTTTTGCTAGAGGAAGAGCTGGTAAGTATACATGAAAATCAATGTATTGGTCACAGATCACAATATGTCTTCATATTATTTAATGCTTAGCATTTAGTATTTAACTTAGAAAGACTTTGAATTTGTAGCAAACTTAATTGTCATAACATACCTGAGAAGTCATTGATACTATAGAATTAGGGCACAAACAATCACTACTTTCTGCTCAATATACAAATAAGCATTTAATGAAACAAATAGGTCAAAGAATTTGTCTATGTGAAAACACAAGGCTTCCACCAAAAGATTTCTTTCTATATGGAAGCTTTTAATTAGGAGATTGACAATAACCCAAGTGAAAGCAAAATATTCTTATAAAAACTTATGTAGTTGTATTTGTTGATCAATCAGTCATCCATAAAATATGTAGAAACCATAAATTAGGACCATGTGTGTGTCTAATGTGGTTGCAATTGAATATGCTTCAAGCAACTTTTTCCAGTACGTTCTTGTAAAGTCACTAGGAATCTTTTCTTCATTAACCTATCTGTCTGGCTGATCAGAGAGTCACCAATAAAATACTTATAAACTTTTAAAGAAGAGATTAACTAGAGCACTGCCTAATTCAAAAGAAACTGTTCTGCTAAAAACTTGTGTTCAGTTGTAATTAAACAATCATTAGTAGAATAATGGTTTTCAATTATACAGGGTGATGCGATAGGGGAAGCAGTATCTATGTGTCTAGGAGAGGCAGAGGCAGCACAAAGAAGAGCTTTAACAGCAACTGATGTTACTCAGGACGAAAGAGGACTGAGAGAGTTGGTTCAGCATGGTGCTTATAGGGCAGCCATCAATTTGACAGCTAGGTATTAGAGGTTTCCAAAAACTTGCAAAAATTGAGTCTTATTAAGTCTCTGAGAAATCTGTGCAATTCCACAATTGTTACAACAATTATATTAAATCATGGAGTGCACTAGAGTTACGTGCTTTTTGATATCTTTGTACAGAAATCAAGTATTTCTGCCATCTCCCAAATAGCTAGGATATGGGAGTTATGCAATATACTCAAGTGAAACTAGTGCCTTTAAGAGTTTATCTAAATAATTCATCTATTGAGTGTAAAATATGATACTGTGGTTTTGAGTAAGCCAACAGTTTTCTTCTTCTTTCAATGTTCAATTTTGTGGAAAGTAATTCTTATAAAATAAACATAGGTTTTGTAGAAGCTATACTAATGTTTCATTCTTTCTTGTACATTTATTCAGGTTATTAACAATCTATGGTCAAGGTAGAGGCAGAGCAGGACATCCTAGCAAACATTCACCACATTCTTTGCAGCTATGGTTCACTAGAATAGCACTTCTCATAAAAACAAAAGCATTTGGTGTTGCAAGTGCTGAGGCAGAAGCATTTGGTCAACTGGAAAAACCAGATATCTTCTATCAGGTATATCAATAGTGAATCAATAACTTCATTATCACCAACTAACTAGATCATATATCTTTTAAGAAATGTATGTATCAACAGTTACAATGTGCTTGGATCAGATGTTCAAAGTTTAACAATAAAAATGTGAAGTGACTCGCCACTCACGTGCCTTTTATGTCAAATCATCATAGGTGTTATCAAAAGTTGAAACCAAATTAATGTTATCATCATTAGTGAAATTTAAAACTCACTAATAGAAAACGCGTTAGATTATTTCCAAGAATCAGGAAAATTCTGAATTCTCATTGTGTCTTGTCCTCCATTTGATTATAAGTTTGGAATACCAGATCCGAAAAATATATTAAAAAAAATAAACCACTTCTATAGATTTTGCCATCATCTCAGTATATATTCCAAAAAAATTGTGTATAACACAATCATTCTTCCCCATTTTTTTATATTGTTCAACTATTTTGTTTACAGCAAATGAAAACATATTTTCAAATTTATAAATTCTACAAAATAAAGCTCTGATATTTTAGAAGAAATGTAAAAATTTTTATGTTATTCAGTTCTCATTTTCATATTCAAATTAAACAATCATTTTTTACCTCCGCATTTAGAAAAATTCACAAAATTAAATAATCATTATCATAACTATTAAACTAGATGCAGTATAAATTTTCTTCGATAAAATTGTAATAGTAGCATACCTAGCAAATCTGTATTTGAAAAGGGAGTATTTGAATTTAATGAATTGAATAATGATATTAAACTGTGTTCGAATTTATAAATGTTGAACGTGAAATTAAAGAATTACTTTATGGATAGCCAAAATGCATAGCCATGTAATTTTAATACAAAATTGAAATTGTAGCATTAATGCTAAATAAATCTTCAACACACAAACAAATTAATATTGAATGCATGAATTTTTATCAATATAACAACTGTAATATGAAAGGGTAAGGTAAGGTAAATCGCTGCAGTTGTAGAAAAAATCTTATGTGCCATTCGATCGCAAATTACTTACGTCACTTTAGGGATCTCGCTCGAACGAGTTAATGTTTTATATAGCTGATTTCGATCCCTTTTTTCAGTTTTACCCGGAGATGTACAAAGGACGTGCAGGATCAATAGCTTCTTTTTCATTCCGACTCTTGTTAGCCGAATTGCCGATGCATTGCGGAAAACCAAAAGAGTCGCTCACAAAACTCTTCAACGTCTTGGCTGTCACCAGAAAAATGCTGGATAATTTGAAGAAAGGCTTATGTGAAGACGGGAATCCTATGGAGATCTCTGAGGCGGATCGACAAGACTCGATAAGGTGAGTTTTGCTAGCAGAACACAAATTAAAAACTTTGCGATTTGAAAACGTTTGAGGCATTTTTCACATCTCTAGATTAGGTCACCTCAGTAAACAAGTTTTTTAACTTCATTTTGTCTGATGAGCAATGGATATGCTTATTTTTATAAAACTTTATAGTGTACTATTTTTGGTTTAGATTGTGGACTGGAAGAGAGACTAGAGTTATGCATTCAATAGTAAACTGTGCTCTAGTTTTGAAAGATTACGAGTTAGCAATGGACCTAATGGGGCAGCTTTGTGACAGGTAAGGTGTGCTAATTTTTTGCAGCATGTTGTTGGTGGCACAATTTTTTATTATCGAAAATGTTTTGACATCAAGCTTGAATAGATATACTATTTATGATTATTACTGATTTCCTTTAATTATTGTTAGTTTGAATAAAATTGATTTACTTATTCACAGGGAGGGCGCTCCAAGACACGCACTGCTCTCCGCTTTAGGCCGACTCCACCTGCAACTAGGAGACATTTCAGGAGCCGAAGTTTGCTTCAACGAGGCAGGTGAGTCCAAAGCTGGTCCCCCAGGTGTAAGAGAATTGGTGGATAAAGGATTACTTGCCATTGCACAAAGTGCATTTGATGAAGCTTATGTAGCTTTCCAACAAGCCAGTCAACTTGAGCCATCTAACATCATGGTAAGTATTTCAAAAGTAAGGTAAACTTTTATGGTCAGAAGTTCAGGTATTAGGTACAGGGTCCGTCAGAAAGAACGCATGTTTTTTAAATGAGTAGTACAGTCAAAATAAGTTTGGGAAAAATATTTTATTATATCAAAATACTCAGAAATACATGCCATTTTTTGAGTAAATCAAAATTTGCGTTCTAGAAACTATGTCCGTCATATGGCGCACTTGAGCCGAAATGCAGGAATCAAACCTCTCCCGAAATGAGCCCATAGCTAGCTTTTATTGTGTAGGGATATTCATGGGGGAATTTGGTATCCATTTTTCAATAATCACGTTTCTTCCTACGTAGCTCTTGCTTAGGAAGAAACGTGAAACGTGTACACTCAAAGAGAACTCACTTAAATCCTCTGTATTTGTCGCCAAAGTCAATAGGATTTGATTTTTATTCCGGATTCCAATACAATATGGCCTTACATTAAATGTAAACATCCAACATCAGAGAAAAAAGGTTGTTTGTATCATATCTGCTGGGTCAAGTCTTCAAATGAGACAGTAGAACAATATTGTTAGAAGGTCGGCGTGGTTTTTTCACTTTGTGGAGAACTGTATAGTTGTTCACTGGAGAAAAATTGCGGAAATGTCGCCGTTGTCCCCTCTAAACACAAAGTTAACTTTGTGATGAAACTTTTAATGATATGAAAAACCCAGGAACATACTATTTTGCCGTTAACAGTTTTCAGAATTTAGGATTTTTTCTAATAATAATAAAAAAGGTAAGAGAACCACGCCCTCTTTCTCTCAGTGATTCTATTTGCTACTTCAAGAATAGGGGTCCCACATGGAAGTAGTTACATTTCATGGAAAACTCACAGGAGCAGACGTAGAAAATGTTTTTTGGTTGGATCCATATGGTGAAATTGAAATTATCTGAGTTGCTAGAACTGTTGTCACAGGTTTTGTGCGTTTTTTTACGTTTGAACTTGGAAGGGCGAGTTTTTGCGAATTTTTATTCTTAGAAGAAAGTGAAACATGTACAATATTTGTCTTGTAGCCAAACTACTGATTTTCCGTCGAAATAAAAATATTGGAAAATACCGTATTCTATTCATGTAGTTTAAAAGTTGGAAATTTCGGTTCTCTACCTGTGTGCTCCACAACGATCTCATGGTATATAAATATTTTTCTTCAGATTCTGAACAACATGGGAGTCTGCCTTTTATATGGCGGCCACCTGAAAGAAGCTATAGCTGTTCTGGAATCTGCCATCTCATCAAATCCTGTCCACGCTCTACAGGAGTCCCTCCTTCTCAATTTATGCACCCTGTACGACATGGAGTCATCCAAAGGTAGGATGAAAAAATTTGCTCTCCTCAGACAGATCTCACGGTATCAAGCCGACGCACCGACAACGATTTTAGAAAAGTTATACGGCTGAGTTGTATTATCTTCTATGTTTGGATATTTGTTGTTCAACACCAAAGTTGTTTTCACTTGTTGTGATCAGTTGTTTATGGTGTACATCACAACGTATGGTTTTATGTGGCAAACTGTTTTTTCACCGTGGTGGTCGAGCGAGGTTTTAAAAAACGGTCAGAAATGAAGGAATTTGCCCATTATATCGAATCTTACTGGAATCGAATCATAGAGGAGACAGCAGGACCGTCTATACTATCTCACTTTGCGCGTGAGACAGAGAAAGCTCCGTTACTTACGCAGAATAGGGGATAGATTATTCCATAACGTTGTATTTTCTTTATTAGTGTTGCCGGAATTTGTAAAGCTGGATAAGCCTAATTAGTTATATAAACATATTGGTTAAAATATAACAGAAATACGAATTAGACAGTGTTTTAAATAAATTGTCGTTAGTTTTGTTATATATGCAATGTGGCAAGGAAGACTTTTATTGTAGGTCTGTTGGTTTTGTGGTCACTTGCCCTTTTGTGGTTCTACTTGCTCGTATCTTGTCTGGTTTGGACACAAATATTCTCGAAACCTTTCTATGAAAAAAATTAACAAGGTTTTGAAATTTTGTGGTTAGCTCCAGGTCAAAATCGAAAAAAGCAACCTGTCATCACTGTCAGTACTATCTAATGACCACGGTCTTGTTCAGTGGTCATAAAAACTCTTTTCTGTCAGCTTTCGTGCTTTACTGTCGCTGTCAGAAATGCTATTCCTTATTTTTGTTGCAATAAGAACTCTGTAATATCACCATGCAGAGAAATTGATTTTATTTTTTAAATGAATGAATTGAATCGGCTCATAAATGAGTATAGGTTCCGTTTATTCCTTTCATTTTAAGAATAGTCAATGGCGTGCGACAATGTTTCATCTTTGAAAACCTCCAAAATGGACCCAAAAATCGGCCTCTTAAATATTGACATTCAATTAGAAAACATCATGTATAAAAGTGGTCCTTTTGGCTTTTATGTCCACAGGTTGTACTGAAATGGAACGACTGGGTACTACTATTTACTACTTACGATCTCAGTATGATATAGTGGGCAACGACCTCAATGCTATGCCTATGTTGCTGTTCTTGAGCACGTGATTGATTGCAACTCCTTGCATATCGGTCAGACACAAGACGTAAATTGTATTGACATGATTTATTCGTACGCAACTGTTTGGCGATACGCCATTTTATAAGTGTATTATTGTCAATATTATAGTCTTGACTATACTACTTAATTAAAATCTGGTTTCTGCATGTATTGACGTGTTGTCACTGGTTGTTGCCGTTGCACCGGATGGTATTTAATTATTCTGCACTGACTTACTTAATTGAGATAAATGCTCAACAATATGGGTTGTTCTTTACTTTGACAACACTTAGTCATTGATAGATTCAACAGCTATCGAATGTATAGTTATGAAAAAAGTTGTAGTGTTTCCTCTACTTATTTCCTACTTCAGAACCAATAGATAGATGTCTTCATCTAAAGAAATCTAGTACTACTTGGGTCATTTGCCTTTGCACCTCCCTTTCCCCAGAACCCCACGGCCTAATGCGTCTCTCCTTATATAATACAGTATACTATTCCTTTTGTAAAATGCAAGCTCCCCTGAACGACCGCTAATATGTCTTTGTCGCCCCCTCCCCTCCGCTTTTCAATTTTCAGAATGGCAATCGCCGATGCCCCCAGAACTTTTTTCTGTATATTTTCTCTACTGTATTCTTCCACTCGATCACCGTAGAATCATAGATTGAAAAAGCCATATGCACAAATTGTTGATCTTTATCCTGTCCCAGAGTTGTTATAGAATTGTAGCATTCAGGATATCTGAATACGAGTTTCTTTAAATTGGAAAAAACTAGGACATCAAACAAATAGTTTTTCCGCACATTGTTCAAGGGCATACGTAAAAATAGTATAATGTCCCATATTTTTAGATTAGATATTGTAGAAATATTTGCAAGAATTCAAAATATTCTACTTTTATGAGTAAATATTATAGCTTGAGGGGCAAACACTCCGTTATTCTATGATTGAATCTTTAAACAAGTTTTTTGTACCTAGAGTAAAAAAATATATTTTGCTGTATTACCTAGAAAATACTTCCACCATACATAATGAGTTTATAGTGTGGGATCGTTATTACGCTCTCTATCAACAAAGGTTAATTACAAAAATTGTTTCTTACTTGGAACATATTTTTATCAGGATGATCCGATGTATGTTGTGACCTAAATATCCATTGTTTAAATGGAAAGGACTACATTTTATTGCAGATTTAGATAGGCCCTTCCAGCCGAAGCAATTTGATTTAACATACTATTTTCATTTTGTTAAGATGTTGAATAAACAATCGAAAAAACACTTAAATTTCACAACATGCACCTCAGCAACTATATAGCTACAGCAATGAATTTTTCGTCTGAGAAATGTCATGTTCCCATATTTTGTTCTTATCTACTTAACTTTTTTAGTTTTTCTGGGCGGTTTATACAGAGTGGTCAAGAGCAATTAAGATTTCTCAAAAACGTTAAATTGAAAGGAAAAAAGCTTGTTCAAAGGCGAATCAGAAAATGTGAAAATATAACAGGGTGTTCCATATTGAAAATATTGAGAAACACTTCATTTTGCCTTCTTGATCACCCTGTATAAATTATACAAGAAACTGGCAAAATAAGTAGATAGAGACAAAATATGGGAGAATGCAATATTTGCGAAGGTACGAGTTATCAAGATTGAGTGTTTTTTTTTTCAACAATATGAAAATAAGACCCTGTGGTATTGTATCAAATTACTTCCTTTGTGAAGGCATATCCAAACCTGCAATGAAATCTAGGGTTTTCCATTTAAAAAATTTATGTTTGGGTCACCACGATGTTATGAATCACCCCGTAGAAGTAAAAAAGAATTCATCAAGAGCATACTGTTGGCTACAATTTTTGTAACTTATTTAGATACCATGCCTAATAACGGAGAGTCATCGACCCAGCCCACACTTGAAACTCGCCTTGTATATGGTTGCAAGTAGTATGTCAAATTTGATGTACTTTTACTAGATATCTTAAATCTCTTGTTTGTTGTTCAATAAAATATAGAATTTCTGAATGTTTGTCACCTTGTTTGAAGCTTTAAACAAGAGAGTTTAAGAAAACAGGCCTTTGTCGTGGTATTCATTTAACTATGAATAAAATACAATAATTTTGGTGGACCAGTTTACAGCTGACATTGTTTATATCCTAAAGAAAAGGGAAATATTGTCAATTACATATATTATTTTAAGTGCAATACTATTTTTACAGAAATCTAATTTCGAAAAATATTCGTGGTCGGCTGTTTTAGCAACGAATAGTATTATATTCTGCCACAAAAAGATGTAAAATTTAGTTAGGTGTCAGACTAAAACATAGGGTGCATGGTCATACTATTTCATTTTACAAAATACTCGTACAATTATGATGAAAAAATATAATTTATTGAAATACTAAATAACACTCCAGATCTTTTAAAATGTTCAAAATCGTTATTTTACGTATTTAGGATAGTTTTTACATCTTGAGATTTCAATTAAAATCTATATTTAATCTTAGACCTATTTTAGGAAAACTATTAGTTGCTTATATTTTATGTATTAACTATGGAATAGTGTGAACATGCATATCCGATTTTATATTCTTCACTAATGTGTAAGATTTGGCGTTATTAATTTCACTACTTAATTGATAATGATTATTTGTTAAACTAAATTGATGTTTCCGCAAGATAACGATTGTGCTTTTCTGTGTGATTTTTGTTTTATCATATATCGTTTATAATGGCTGAGTTTTTAATTGTTAAATGACACATTTCAATAAAACAATGATGAATAAAAGCCTAGTTTTATTTATTTCCAACTTTTTTTGTATATTCTGCTCCTTATTGGAATAAAATTAAAGCCAGGCAAACCTGGTCTTTGCAGAAACTGAGTAGCCTAGGGATACCGTCTTGTTAAATTAACTTTGCAAGTTTATTTGGCAGACCTCTGAACGGGAGTAGTGTGTTCCTACCAAAGCCATCGACATCAGGAGCAGATTGCTTTTGACAAAACTTGAAAATTGCCGCTTTTACCGTGAAAGTATGATGCTTGAAATCGACTTTTCGAGATTTTGTATTAGGATCGCAGAAACTAAGACGGATGTTGGCACCGGTGCCATTGACATCAAGAGCAGATCGCCTATTCCACTCTCGCGTTTCTGTTGTCCTGATTACAAATTGTCTCTCATACAAATCTGGTACTATACGATAAAAGTCTGATGAGTGGACACTTCTGCAATGAAGGTTTGATGGCGTGATGTGCGACTATGAGCTATCAACTTTGTATTAGGATCACAGAAATGACGAGAGGTGATTCCGCCACTCTCACATGTTTGGAGCAAAGTACTTTTTCCGTATCTCCTTGCCTTTCTGTGACCCAGATAGCAAATTGCTTTCTTATACAGTTTCGAAGCTTCTACAATAGAATTCTGAGGGCTGGCTGAGCGAATTTCGGCTTGTGGTTTTGTATTAGGATTACAGAACGACAAGAGGTGTTTCATTCAATATCGGAAGCAGAGTACTATTTCCATACCTCTTCGTGTTTCTGTGATCCTGATACCGAATTGCTTTTCATACAAATGCAAACCTACTGCGATGAAAGATGGCTGGCTGTGCGAATTTCAACTTGTGATTTTGTATTAGGATCGCAGAAACAACCAGAGGTGTTTCATTCAATATCGGGAGCAGAGTACTATTTCCATACCTCCTGGTGTTTCTGTGATCCTGATACCAAATTGCTTTTCATACAGTTGCAAACGTTCTGCGATCAAAGATGGCTGGCTGGCTATGCGAATTTCAATTTGAATTTTTGTATTAGGATCGCAGAAACGACCAGAGGTGTTTCATTCAATATCGGGAGCAGAGTACTATTTCCATACCTCTTCGTGTTTCTGGGATCCTGATACCGAATTGCTTTTCATACAATTGCAAACGTTCTGCGATCAAAGATGGCTGGTTGTGCGAATTTCAATTTGAAATTTTGTATTAGGATCGCAGAAACGACCAGAGGTGTTTCATTCAATATCGGGAGCAGAGTACTATTTCCATACCTCTTCGTGTTTCTGTGATCCTGATACCGAATTGCTTTTCATACAATTGCAAACCTTCTGCGAAGAAAGATGGCTGGCTGCGCGAATTTCAACTTGTGATTTTGTATTAGGATCGCAGAAACGACCAGAGGTGTTTCATTCAATATCGGGAGCAGAGTACTATTTCCATACCTCCTGGTGTTTCTGTGATCCTGATACCGAATTGCTTTTCATACAATTGCAAACCTTCTGCGATGAAAGATGGCTGGCTGTGCGAATTTCAACTTGTGATTTTGTATTAGGATCGCAGAAACGACCAGAGGTGTTTCATTCAATATCGGGAGCAGAGTACTATTTCCATACCTCTTCGTGTTTCTGTGATCCTGATACCGAATTGCTTTTCATACAATTGCAAACCTTCTGCGATGAAAGATGGCTGGCTGCGCGAATTTCAACTTGTGATTTTGTATTAGGATCGCAGAAACGACCAGTGGTGTTTCATTCAATATCGGGAGCAGAGTACCATTTCCATACCTCCTGGTGTTTCTGGGATCCTGATACCGAATTGCTTTTCATACAATTGCAAACCTTCTGCGATGAAAGATGGCTGGCTGCGCGAATTTTAACTTGTGATTTTGTATGAGGATCGCAGAAACGACCAGAGGTGTTTCATTCAATATCGGGAGCAGAGTACTATTTCCATACCTCTTCGTCTTTCTGTGACCCTGATACCGAATTGCTTTTCATACAATTGCAAACCTTCTGCGAAGAAAGATGGCTGGCTGCGCGAATTTCAACTTGTGATTTTGTATTAGGATCGCAGAAACGACCAGAGGTGTTTCATTCAATATCGGGAGCAGAGTACTATTTCCATACCTCCTGGTGTTTCTGTGATCCTGATACCAAATTGCTTTTCATACAATTGCAAACGTTCTGCGATCAAAGATGGCTGGTTGTGCGAATTTCAATTTGAAATTTTGTATTAGGATCGCAGAAACGACCAGAGGTGTTTCATTCAATATCGGGAACAGGGTACTATTTCCATACCTCTTCGTGTTTCTGTGATCCTGATACCGAATTGCTTTTCATACAATTGCAAACCTTCTGCGAAGAAAGATGGCTGGCTGCGCGAATTTCAACTTGTGATTTTGTATTAGGATCGCAGAAACGACCAGTGGTGTTTCATTCAATATCGGGAGCAGAGTACCATTTCCATACCTCCTGGTGTTTCTGGGATCCTGATACCGAATTGCTTTTCATACAATTGCAAACCTTCTGCGATGAAAGATGGCTGGCTGCGCGAATTTTAACTTGTGATTTTGTATTAGGATCGCAGAAACGATCAGAGGTGTTTCATTCAATATCGGGAGCAGAGTACTATTTCCATACCTCCTGGTGTTTCTGTGATCCTGATACCAAATTGCTTTTCATACAATTGCAAACGTTCTGCGATCAAAGATGGCTGGTTGTGCGAATTTCAATTTGAAATTTTGTATTAGGATCGCAGAAACGACCAGAGGTGTTTTATTCAATATCGGGAGCAGAGTACTATTTCCATACCTCTTCGTGTTTCTGTGATCCTGATACCGAATTGCTTTTCATACAATTGCAAACCTTCTGCGATGAAAGATGGCTGGCTGCGCGAATTTTAACTTGTGATTTTGTATGAGGATCGCAGAAACGACCAGAGGTGTTTCATTCAATATCGGGAGCAGAGTACTATTTCCATACCTCTTCGTGTTTCTGTGACCCTGATACCGAATTGCTTTTCATACAATTGCAAACATTCTGCGATGAAAGATGGCTGGCTGCGCGAATTTTAACTTGTGATTTTGTATTAGGATCGCAGAAACGATCAGAGGTGTTTCATTCAATATCGGGAGCAGAGTACTATTTCCATACCTCCTGGTGTTTCTGTGATCCTGATACCAAATTGCTTTTCATACAATTGCAAACGTTCTGCGATCAAAGATGGCTGGTTGTGCGAATTTCAATTTGAAATTTTATATTAGGATCGCAGAAACGACCAGAGGTGTTTTATTCAATATCGGGAGCAGAGTACTATTTCCATACCTCTTCGTGTTTCTGTGATCCTGATACCGAATTGCTTTTCATACAATTGCAAACCTTCTGCGATGAAAGATGGCTGGCTGCGCGAATTTTAACTTGTGATTTTGTATGAGGATCGCAGAAACGACCAGAGGTGTTTCATTCAATATCGGGAGCAGAGTACTATTTCCATACCTCTTCGTGTTTCTGTGACCCTGATACCGAATTGCTTTTCATACAATTGCAAACATTCTGCGATGAAAGATGGCTGGCTGCGCGAATTTCAACTTGTGATTTTGTATTAGGATCGCAGAAACGACCAGAGGTGTTTCATTCAATATCGGGAGCAGAGTACTATTTCCATACCTCTTCGTGTTTCTGTGATCCTGATACCGAATTGCTTTTCATACAATTGCAAACGTTCTGCGATCAAAGATGGCTGGTTGTGCGAATTTCAATTTGAAATTTTGTATTAGGATCGCAGAAACGACAAGAGGTGTTCCCGCCAGTGTCATATGAAGTACTTTCCCACATCTCGCACTTCTGTGACCGATAACAAATTGTTTCTCATACGAATCCGACACTTCTACAATAAAACATCAGGCTTCAGGCAGCAGTAGTAGACTCTTCGGTCTCCTGCCGTGCGGGTTCGAGTCCCGTCCCAGGAGAAATGTTTCTCTTGGCTATGGATGTTGTGATTGTCCGTAGGTGGCAGACGGTCTCTGACTGTCGAACGCGGAGGTACCACCCGGCGGATCTCGTAGGCGGAGCCAGAATGTGTGCATGTTGCACGCACACGTGTTTCCTCGCCAGAGTCCGTGTGGCGTTCCCCCCCCCCTTTCTCATGTATCCCCCTATAGCCCCACGGTACCCAATGGGTGCTTAGGCCTTCGTGGTAGTTGAAGTATAAAAAAAAAGTGGCTGGGTGTACAAATTTCAACTTTTTCAAGATGTATTAGGATTGCAGAAACGAAGAGATGTAAGCCCTCCAGTGATATTGGAAGCAGAGTACTTTTTACATGCTACCTCACATTTCAGTAACCCTGATAGCTATTGCTCCTCATTCAAATTTGGTTTACAATTAAAGCCTGATGGCAGGATGTACAGATTTTCATTAAGATTGCAGAAACAATGAGGTGTTCATATCAGAAGCAAAATACTTTTGATTGAATGAATTCAACAACATCTGGCAAACACTTCAACTGACGTTGTGTGGTTGAGGGATATACTCCAGTGGAATTAATTTTTTGATTCATAAAGTTTATATGGGAAACACCTTGAACTGGAGTAGTCAATGATATGTGGATTAAACAATATTTTCTGGTGAAATTTATCTTCACAAGTGATTGGGTAGGGAATAAATAAAGAGAAACTTATAATTATTTATTACAAAGTCCAATTTGTAAAACATATCATTGAGTTCAGCCCTGCTTTTGAGCCAATTCCTTAGCTCTAGCCCTCTCAATCTTAGCAATACGTGCTGCAGATTTCGAGCCAAGCAGTCCACCACCCCAGTGTTTCCGGATTTCATCTGCACGATCATTGAAGTTGGTCTTCACTACCTCCACAATCTTGTTGAAGTTTGACCTGAAACAAGAAAAATGAAGGTCACCTCAAAACTTATATATTTTTTTCATGGAATTTTGACTAGTACAGCAGAGTAACTTGATATTTGTGTTGTTCTTTTAGTTGTTAAAATGTATTATGCATTTACTAAAATCAAATATTCTTAAAAAAAAAATCTATCTGAAATTACCTGTCACCAGAGTCTACTTGTGTAAGAGCGATAGAAGTGCATGTCTTCCTCCTTACAAGAAGTCCTAGCCTTGCTTTGCCTTTCACGATGCAGTAAGGGACTCCCATTTTTCTGCACAATGCTGGAAGGAACAACACCATCTATAAAATAAAAAACAAGTTAACATGTGGGTCTAAAGGATGTTTTAAAGATACTTGGGTTAATGTTTGATTTTAGCTCAGAGTCAAGTTGCTTCATTGCAGCATTCATTGTTAATCAAATGAACACCTTCAGGTGAAGAAATTCATAAACATCATGGCAACAAACTTTTTTGAAACAAAATGTGCTGATGAAACATTCAAAGTACTATTTTCTAAGATGTCACCATTCCTACCTCAATAGGATCTACATCATGTGCGATGATAACAAGTTGGGCTTTTTTCTGTTCCACCAACTTAGTGACTGTATTTGCACCAGCTCGCAGAGTGTTGGGCTTCTTTGATGGAGCTTCCTCCTTCTTTGCTACTTTCGCCTCAGCTTTAGCCTTTAGACGATTTTTCTTTTGGAGAGGTGTTTCTGGTCGGTATTTCTCCAGCAATTTGAATAGTTGAGTTGCTAAAAAAAAAATTCAGTTGACATATGCATCAAAAGTCTGAGGTTAATCACTTAACTCACCAGTTTGTTTGTCCAAGGTCTGAGAGAACTGATTGATTGGTGGTGGTACTTTCAGCCTCTTTTGCAAAACAGCCTTTTGCCTTTGGATACGGATGTATTTGGGCCATTTCACAAACCTAGACAGATCACGGGGAGGTTGGATATCCTGACCAATTCCAAAATTTCTTGGCCTCTTTTCAAACAGAGGGTTGACTTCTTTTTTTACTTCTACTTTCTTTACGGCTAAAGGTGCTGCCGCAACTTTCTTGCCTACCTTCTTCTTAGGCTGAAAATTGAAAACAACGGGGAATATTAAAGGCAGTCGAGTACAACAAAATCTTAGACATAAGTTTCAACGTAATATCAGATATTCTATTGGTGGTAGAAGGTTTTTCTGCAAAGCCCTTAAGATAGCAAATACGGTCATCATGAAAGTAAACACCTCGATTTCAAATGATAAAAGTGTTAATTTTACTAGCAGTTTCGAAGAAATACAAACTCAATTAAGTAAAATATTGAACTTACTTTTTTTTGCACCATGTTGGAATACTTTTAGCTATCCGATTCCTAAAATAAATAGGAAATAAAAGTTTTTTACACCGACAACTCCACGCTGGGACAGCTGTCGTTTTGAAAGGAATGTCATTTTTCAATCATTCCACTACAAAACAAATATCACTAGAATTACGCGGCAAATTTAAAATTTACGATGATTATACCATCTATTGTGGCAATGTAGTAATATCATCTACAAATCTAGTAATCTTTTTGTAAACACAACTTTGGAGATTAAACCATCGCCTAGCAGATGGCGCTAATGCACGCACATTTTTTCAGAATGTGTATAATTCTCACAGGAAGGGTGATCCGTAATTTGGCTAGTAGCATGACCAATAGAACTATTTTGGACTAGTAATCGATTTGTTCAAAGCGTGTCTTCATTGTAGGACTATTGGAGTCTAGTAAAAGACCTGATTCAGCGACTTAAATAATACAAATCACCTTTATGTGACTGTTAGTATACATATTTATCTAAAATTTTCTTTTAAGGTTTAGCGTTCTCTATGGTGTGTAATCAAAACATCCAAGCATCCCTGCCATCTATTGAGGCAATGATGTGATCTACAAATCTAGAAATCTTTTTGTGTATACAGGTTTAAAGATTAAACCATTGTTCAACACTTGGCGCTGATGCGTGCACAGTTTTTCAGAATGTGTATAATTCTCACAGGAAGGGTGATTCCGTAATTTGGCTAGTAACATGACCAATATAACTATTTTGAATTAGTAATCTATTGTTCAAAGGACGTCTTAATTTTAGGATTATTGGAGCCTAATAATTGAACCGGATTCAGTGACTTAAGTAATACAAATCACTTTTATGTGACTGCCAGTATACATGTTTATCTAAAATTTTCTTTTTACGCTTAGCGTGATCTGTTGGGCGATAGTAAAACATCTAAGCACTATGCGTTGTGTCAAAACGTATTCACTGAATTCGCTTTAGAATAAGAACACCCTATTTTGGCATCTGAGGGAATAAAATGATACGTTTTGAACAAAAAGTTTGACCTATACAACTACACTTCTTCACTACACCACACTACCGTATTTTGAATAGATTCCATTTTTGGGGGTTTACCAGATCGCTCGGATTTAGGCATAGAAATATAGTTAGACTTTATTTGACTAGATGACGCGCTGAATCTCTACACATACTGGGTGTTAACGGTCGGGCGTAACCTATCCCTCGTCCTGCGCCCTTGCATTAGTGAAAGAGGGTAGATAGAAAGTGATGTTTGCTGCCAAAAGATAACGAATAGTTCTGTTTATGTGTCATGGTTTAGCAATGATGGTGTTTTCTGTTACATTATTTTTAATCCTTTGCACTAATTTTATCAATGCACGTAAGTGTCCCACCTATTTTATGCAATGAATCGGTTTACAAACAATTTTTCCCACTGACTCATATACCATAACCACTGTGCTAGTATTTTGATTTTGTTTATTCGGCTTCTATCTCCCCAGGAACTTTGATCAAATTAAATATCGAATTTGCTTCATTATTTTCAATACGATAGCCTGATAACCTTTATGCATATTCCAATGATATCAGACTGTATAATTGAATGAGTCATGGTTTTAAACCCCTAACCAATTTTTTCAAATACACCGCACAGTGGCATATGCACAGTCATGTCTCATGAATGGAATGAATTTTAATCCTTTCTTTCAGAATATTATAATGAATATGAATGCAATAATGCTCTCTTAGAAAGAGCACAGCTATCCGCTACCTCTTCTATGAGCGGTAGAGGTCCAGAAAATGCAATGTTATATGGTGAGTGAGTCTTTCCATCAGTTTTTCTGTAGTTTCAGTTTATACTTGGATATAATAGGTAGCATAACTTTTATGGGTCAACATGTATTGTTTTAAATTGTATAGTTTTTATATGAAAAGACAATATTGATATAAAGTGTGTTGCTATGATTATTATATTGCCTATATCCCTTTTTTACTACACTCAAATCTATGAAAGTGTGGAAAAATATATATTTTATTTATAATTGTCATAATTATGTTGTAATTAATTATAATTGTTAGCTGCAAGTTGCATTTAGCTATAATCATCAGATAATTGAAGGCAATTCAGATATAATTATCAGTTACACATTGCAATTAGCTATAATTGTCTGTTACAAGTTGCAATTAGTTATAATTGTCAGTTACAAGTTGCAATTTGTTATGATTGTGACGAATAAGTTGCAATTAATTATGATTGTTAGCTACAAGTTGCATTTAGCTATAATTTTTAGCAAGTCAAAATGTGCATTAGCAGCTACAAGTGGCAATTAGCTACAATTTTAGTTAAAAGTTGCAATTAACTATGTGTCAGTATTCTAAAAATTACAAATCCTACAAAATAAAGCAATGAGAGTAATATTAAATAAAAATAAGTACACAGAAATGAAATCTGTTACAAAAATTGCAATGGTTGAATAAAAAAAATCATATATGGTTTTCATTTTTATATTAAAAATAAAAAAACATGTTAAGTCAAACAAATCATTACCACAATTATTATACAAGAAGAAATATAGATATAAAGTCTACCTGTGATTTAAAGGTATTTAAAAGAAAATTTCATTTCATGGGCAGTGAAAATACTTAGAGATGCAGGTTTTGTTTTTCTGAATATTTTTATGCTATCTCAATTGTTGTAGTTTTTTAAAAAAATGTAATTGTAGCAATTATGCTAAATAAATGTTAAAGAAACAAAGTTTCAATTAGCTGTAATTGTTAGTTAGAAGTTCCTGTCATTATTGATTACAAGTTTCAGTTAGCTATATTTATTAGTTACATAATGGAATTAGCTATAATTGCCAGCAATTAGCTGTAATTGTTAATTACAAGTTGCAATTAGCTATAATTATCAGTTATAAACATTGATTAACATATTAAACCAGGTGGACTACATTAATCAATGGTTAAAAGTGGCTATCAGCTATAATTTTGGCTCACAATTATAGCTATTAACAATTTGTGATTGACAATTACAAATAAAATATATATATTTTCCGGGATGTGGCCCTTCTATAATTTTTGTAATTTCATTTATTTTTTCTCTAGCCTCATTAATGTTTTGATTAACCATTTTATTTCTCAGGTCAATAAATTTATAACTAACTGAATAAAAAATAATTGAAAACGATTATCAAAATGTCTACGAAAAGTGTTCGCTGGATGTTCAATTTCACGAAATGGAGTCCCACAATGTCGGATATGCTGCTTGCCTCTTCTTGCATTCAAAAAGAAGAAAAAGAACGATTATCGAGATTTGTTTTTAAAAAAGACCTTAAAGCCTCCCTGATAGGCCGATTGATGGCTAGAAAATACGTCAGTCAAAGTACTGGCAAGAAGTATGACCAAATAAAGCTTATCAGAGATGAAAGAGGGAGACCACTGGTCGAGGATGATCCTTCAGTTCAATTTAATATATCTCATCAAGGGGATTTCACTGTATTTGCTGGTGAATTTGGTGATCTTATGTTGGGAATTGATGTGATGAAGTTAGAGTATACTGGGGGTAGAGATCTGAACGAATTCTTCAGAATTATGAATAGACAATTTTCTCCTGAGGAATGGCAGGAAATCAAAAGGGCTGGAGATAGAAATGAACAGGAAAAAATGTTTTGCAGGTCGGTTTCACAACAATTGGGTTCATTAAGGGCAAGTCGATGTTGAAATGGGATCAATTAAGCTGAGAGGTATTTTAGTGATAAGTTGAGGACGAGCAACACTGTCATTGGTTAATATCTGTCTGGACATGGGGGTCCTTCCTTTTGGTTTGAATCCAAGTTTTAAGTTGATAGCATGTTTGGTTCATGTTTTATAAGTGTTTTGCGAAAGTAATTTTGTAAGAACTGGCGAAAAACTAATAGGACAGTGTAAGAAAATGTAAGGCGAGGACGAGTGCCTGTTGAAAAAGCGCGAAAACACTTATTTATGAATATGATATGGAGGAATTTGCAGACCGACCTATAGTGTACAATTTATAGCTTACGCCATTAGTGCCATCTCTGGAGCAGATGTTACACCATATCAGAGCCAGGCACATTTCTTGACGTTTATGCTACTACAAGTGAACATGAAGTAACAATTATTGTGATCAGATCACTATGCCTGTCATTTTGTAGTTATGCAATAAGGGCTCTGATCTATGCAGCATATAATTGAAAATTGGACCTGCAGCTGACAGTTGGCTGTTGTTATGTTCCATGCAAAATGACATACATGGACACCTAAATAAAAAACAATTGCGTTAGTACCCCGCGCAGCTTGTTTTATCCCATTTAAACATTGACCCATCTTTATTGAAAAACTCCTCAGCTAAGTCAATAGCTCAACAGTTTTTGGTGGGAATATGAAAATTACCCCTGTAACCGGCCGTTTTTTCTAGGCACTGGTGTCTAAAAGAAAGCTATACCAAGGCAATGGGTTTAGGAGTTACTGCAACACTCCAAGAAAAATTCAAGATCAATACAAAACGTCTTAGCATGGTCGACATTGTTGACGATACTGAATTGCTTTTAAAAGGCGAAAAAATGGATTGGGCAATTCAAGAGATGTTGATAGACGAGGAACATTGTGTGGCTCTAACAACAAATAAAAAAGTGGATAAAGTGATATTTCGCGAAATAACTTTTGAAGAATTAATGCAGGACTGTGTTCCACTGGGACCTCCGGATGAACACTTTGCTAGAGACTATTTTAATAAAAGGGATAAGTAGGGTTATTTTAATGCAAATTTTGTGGAATTCTAATAGTAGGGTCACTCAGCTGTCAAACCAGTTTCTTCTTACGACTGTCCCCCCCCCCGCAGGCAATTGAGGAAACAATTACAGGACAGATTCAATAACAAGGTACCTGTAATAATAATGGATAACCTTCTTTGTCTGCCAAGGAGTGTTTGAGCTAGAGCAACCTTTCTGCCTAGACTGTCTATTATAAAGAGATCCAATTTCTGGGAAGGTTCTGGCATTCCTTGTGAAGTCGCTAGTGACCCTACTATTCATAGTCTGTGAACATTGTAACGATTCTCTCCATTGGTTAACTGCAGAATGTCCCAATAAAAGTAGGTTTTTTCAAATTGGATCGAAAAAATTAGTTTGTTAGAAAACGTTTTTATTCCAAATGAGGCACTACTCATGGAATCTGTTCGTTACATTTTGCATAACGAGCTGAGACATGACGGTTCATTTTGTTTCTTTCGTGGCATACATATCATTTTTTCAAATTTATATATATATATATGTATATAAATATAGTATTAAAAAAACCTTGCTGTTGAGGTAGGAGAAAAAATTCATGGGGCAAATTCTGGCGATCGTTGTGGGTATTAGCTAAATGAGACATCAACTTTTGCATAAACTGCTCAGGAGGTTTCTCCATAGTGACCCTGGCAAGTGGCTCCAGTCTGTGTCAACCACGTCAGTGAGCTGTATACGAAATGTTTACGCTAAGGTTTAAAGTAGTTTGACGAAATACATCACTTGTCATAACAGTTTTAGCATTTTCAAAGAAAATGACCCCTACTATTTGCTTTGATGATGCTGGTGAACCAGACTGACATCCATTGTCTCTTCCTGTGGATATCTCAAAAGCAACGTTTACGTCAGTGTTCCGAGAGATATCGCTCACACAAAAGAAAACATCGGTCGACCAAAAACATTTAAACGAAATTGCAATGCTTCAGCATATTATTTAAAATGCTCTGAACAGGTTCCACGACTTCGTGTAATAAAATACCGGGAATCTGGATGACGTAATCTTTGAAAAACAAAACCTGCATATCTAGTGCTTTATTTTCAATTTTTTTTACTTAAAATCCCTCTCTGTGACACTTTGTTTGATATAAAAACCTTGGGCTTATTGTGGTAAATGAACTGTTACGGGATCTCGACCTTTTTTGTGGAAAAATGGTGAAAATATAAAATCTTGAAGTAAATGAAGCCTTTTGATATTGATCCATAAAAGTTATTGACCCTATTCTAGGTAGCAATGTTGGCTGAGATCTGTACCACCCAGTAGTATGGCACTGTTTTGTTCGCATGCGATTTTACTATTTCGTGTGTTCTGTGCTGTTCGTGTTTCGTGTTGTTGCATGACTGTAGTAGATTCGTTATATCAATACCCATTCATATATTTTGTTGCAAGTACAGTATATGTAGGATTTTGAAGCGCTTTAGGTGTTCTAGTTATTCACGTTTGATTTTCCATTTTCCTTATAGTTGCTTAGGTTTCATGCTGTAAAAATAGCGACTTGGAGTGAACATTTTTTCGGACATGTAACTTCTTATTAAAAGACAGTAAGGCCCGATTTTACTATTGATCCGGAATCAAAATTTGTGCCTAGAGCATAAACTATTTAAAAATAGTACGGTTTGTGTAAGATGTGCCCCAAATCCTCATATTAAAGAAAGAAATTCTTCATAAATGACATGTTTTAGCTACAAAAGCTTTTTTTTAATTGACTCCAGGCACTTATTAATTTGTGACCTAGACACAAATTCGACCAATGAAAAGAAGGACTTGCTAGAAATATCAATGATATGAAAGCAATTACTGAGCATCTTATTGAAAATAACAGTGTCAGTACTCACCTGAGAAAGATAGTTTTGAAAGGAACAGAGCTTGGACCACTCCTCTTTATTTTTACAAAGCTAATCTGGACAAATTGGTAAAACATTGTAATATACAATTCTTTGCCGATGATTCTCAATTATACAACAATTTCAATAATGTCAAAATTATAGTTACAGAATCTCAAATAAAGGAGGATTTAAAGGTTATGGATAATTCGGCAAAAAGTCATAACCTCCTTTTAAATCATACAAAATCAAGTTATCATATTTTCTCACAAAAAATTAAGGAAATATACTAAGTGACATATAAATCCGAACACCCAGTTTAAATGGTTTTATTTTAATAAAATTTTGTATAAGTACGTAATGAAGCATAATAAGTAAATGATAAAAATTTCAAAATGATTGCACTGCTTTAAAGCCCTTTGACCTTTAATAATGTGTGGATGCACTCTGATGTGCTACGCATTCTCCAACGCGCCTAGGCATGCTTCTGATCAGGTGGTCAATGTCCTCCTGTGGTATCTCACTCCAGGCAACCACCAACTCCTCTCGAAGTGCTTCTAGAGTCTGAGGAGGACGTTGCAAATTGAACAATCTCCTACCCATCATATCCCACACGTACTCAATTGGGGATAAGTCGGGAGATCTTGGTGGCCATGGTAACAATGTGACATCATTATGTTGAAAGAAGTCTATTGTGACTCTTGCAACATGTGGTCGGGCATTATCTTGTGGGAAAGTTGGATCTGCCAGGGTGTCAAGATAGGGTAAAAGATGGGGTTCTAGAACTTCGTGGATATAACGCTGCGCGTTCATGTTACCTCTGATGAAGATTAAAGGTGACCTGGAACCATAAGCTATAGCACCCCAAACCATAACTCCAACAGTGTGATGAACATGTCTTTCAACAAAAAACTGTGGATTCCTCCTTTCACCACGTCGCCTTCTACCCCTGGCACGACCATCGTGCATGCCTAAACAAAATCGAGACTCGTCACTAAAGACAATACTGTTCCATTCCTGATCCCAGAGTGACCGTTGTCTGCACCACTCAAGGCGATTACGTTGATGTTCTCGAGTTAAAGGGAGGACCCAGTGTGGCCGGTATGAAAACAAGCCAAAACTTCTCATTCGTCGGTAAACACTTCGCAAACCATTCATTTGCAATGGACCTGGTAGTGGAGAAACGGTCCCTTAAGGCCAATAATCTTAGGCGGCGATCTTCACGGTCTGTTGTTCTACGGCGGCGTCCAGTGCCCCTTGCTCTTTGCGTACGGCATTCTCGAAGCCATGCCTGACAACACCTAACCACAGTGTCTACACTTCTTTGCACTCTAACTGCAATTGCCCGAAAAGAAAGTCCAGCTTCCCGAAGTCCCACTATACGGCCCCTATCAAACTCACTAAGTTGACGAAATCGTACAGGTCTCCGTACTCTAGGCATCGTAACCGATCGTAAAGGATGTCAAGAACCAACATCCGCCAACGTTGATTCTTTACTGCGGCTGAAATATTCATTTTTAGAGCGTTAGTGAATTAAAAAAAAAGCAGTATAAAAACCGGAATGTCCAACTGATAAGGCTGAAAATTTTTTCACTTGTTATTTACAGTAAGATAAATACATTCACCAACTTTTATTAAAATAAAACCATTTAAACTGGGTGTTCGGATTTATATGTCACTTAGTATATATTGAAAGGTATACAAACATACATATCTCAGGATGTCGAAATTATTCAAGTGCATGCTGAAAACTTGGGTATTTTTCTTGACGAGTGTCTAAATTTCATTCCACAAATTTTAGACTACAAAACTTGGAAAATTCTATGCGAATCATTGATCGTTTCAAAATATTGCGATATTGATATTTTGGAGGACAAATTTTAAAAATATCTCTCTCAGTGTACAAGCAAATGAATCTTGGTACTTTGTGCTGCTGAATTTGATTGTGAGGTACCGCGTAGCCAAAACTGAAGTAGAAAATGAGTTGTTTGGGAACCATCATGGGTCCTGGCATCAGATTCAGAATCTACGCACCCGATTCACCTAAGAGATGGGCATTCCTCTAGATTTCAGAACCGTAAAAGTTTATGAATATTTGAATTTGAAAAACCTCAAAATATTGTACTACTTTGGAAGGCAAATTTTACAATTTTTTCTTCTCGTTGTAAGCAAATGAAACTTGGTACTTTGTGACGCTGAATTCAATTGTTAAACATTAAAAAATCGTGGAGTATCACGAAGCAGAAATTAAAAACTCTACGTACCCGATTTACCCATCAAACGAGATTTTTATTTTCCCATAGAAAACTTCATAGCAAGATTTATAAATCTATTTATGGTGTTATACCAAATTTTAAAGGCACTATATGTTTAGGACGCCATGACGCAGCATTTCGTTTTTATTTGAAACAACCCAAAGTTAACGGAGTTTGTTCTTTTTGGCAATATGACGAAAACACCCTTTAAAAATTGTGTTTTTTGTGAGTCGTGCCGTCTTGGTACAGATCTGATGCTAGACATTGTCAAAAAAAATCGGTAAAACGCTAAAAATCAATGGAAACAAAAACCAAAAAGGTGGCGGCGCATGGAGTTCGCGCGACAACGATTTCTCTCAGTACCTGATCATCGACCTGGGTCAAGTGATGAACGTCACCAGGATATGGACGCAAGGCAGGCCACACACAAACGAGTACGTTATGGAGTTCACCATCAGTTATGGAACAAACGGACAGGACTATGCGGATTACAAGGAGTCTGGGGGCGATAAGATGGTGAGAAACATGGTGGTGGGAAGGAATGGTGCATTCAGGGGTTGACATGCTTGGGAATAAAATATTTCAAGGTTTTCCAACAAGTGGAGTGACATTAGATTTAAACATCGGAACCTTATACCACTAGATGGATTTTTACATTTTTTAATGGAATGTATTTAAAATACTGCATATTAAAAAGTTTGCCAATTAATTTTGACCGCTTGCGATTTATTCATTTGTTTGTTTTAATTCGCTCCTTATATACAGTTATTCAGGTTTATCGTCATTCGTTACACAATATTTCGATTAGTGCCGCAAAATTGGCAGCCTAAACTACAGGATTCAAAAAAATAGTAACAGATGAAGATAACACAATTTAATTGCAATCAGAGTATGTAATATATGTTTGCATGAGCACTAGATTTTTGGTGCTTTTAGCAACATACCTTACTTGCAGCATGATATTCGCAGCTATCAACACAAACTTATTCCTCGGTAATTATATTTTCCCATATACATTCTTGTGACTAACGTTTTCTCTGTAGATATCACAAATCTTAACTTTTATCTATCGAAACTTGTACAGTATTACCAGCATATGAAATTAAGGAGCAAAGATTGTACGTTCGTGAAAGGTTTCAGTCCTAGTATATGAATAAATGAGGTGTATTGATTTTTCAAATATCCTGCTTTTGTGTGTCCAGGAAGTTATGATACACGATACTCTGAATGAATAAACCCCTATCTACAAGGTATAACGTGGATATCCTGTGTGACTACTCGAATTGCAGTTTCAAGTTATAGACACTCACGTTCTTGTCTTTTCTACACCATGCGTGCAAAAAGATACGGGCACGATTCTGAGAGGCGATTCTAACTAGCTCCGTTCGTGATTTTTATGGTAAAGATGACGCTGGTAAATGATTTGATAAAATCAGATTGTAGGACAAAGTTTCCATTTTCTTCTCTCGTTATTTGTATCTGCTCACCAGATTTACATACGAACCAAGCTTTGTTCGAGATTCCAGATACGCATGAAATTTTGAAAAATTCCTTGTAGGGAACACTTTGAAGGTCAAAAGTTCTATTATCGTATCCCGTTGTTTGAATTTGGTGTTGAAAATTAATCGATTTTCGTTAGTTCTGACGACAAATTAACGTTGGATTCACAATCTGTGCAAACGATTTACCCGGAAACGAACAAGAAGCGTCCTAGCGCTCATCCGGTTTCGATAGATGGCAGGATTCTGCTAGGGAGCCGTTCATTTCGGCTGGTCGGGGTTCAGATCATCGAGGACTTGATCTGGCAAGAACACATCTCATCAGTAGCAGCAGCCGCTGGAAAAAAGCTAGGCTATTTGTTTATGGCTAAGAAGTACTTTTCTCCACATGACCTCCTCACTCTGTACAAGGCCTAGAAAAGACGTAGCCTCAACTACTGCTCACATGTTTGGGGTGCTGCTACCCCGACTAAATCGATGACTCTTCTCTAACGGACAGTCTCGGGACTTTTCACACCGGCGCGGCGGATCGTCGGCGATCTAGCTCTCTTCTACCGTTACGCCAATGGGCTATTCTCCTCAGAGCTCTCCTTCATGATGCTGCCGCGCGATGTGCCTGCCAGACAGACCCGTGTCGAACTTCGTTCATCCAGAACTGGCCGATACGACCGCTCCTTTGTCCCGAGGGTACCGAGATTGTGGCATAATCTACATGAGGATGCTTTTAGCAGTTCTAGCCAGTTAAAAAATCGGATTAACAAAGTTTCTCCTCGTAGCAGCCGCGGTGCTCTGGCATTTAAGATTTTGTCTGCGCGGCTACTTCGGTGTAAAAAAAAGTAAAAAACACATATGCACTTTTGTAAGAATTTTGCTAGTAAACGCATTTGTATTTCTCGATGTGTTAGCCATAAGCAGCCATACATGCCTGTTTTACGCTCTACATCAGAGAGTAATTTTAAAAAAATAATTTTAACGACATGTCATAAGTAATAATTCGTTTCGTTGTTTAGTGTGTTGTGTATTTTTTGATTTTTGTCTATTACTTTTTTTTATCTGTAATTTTAACGGTATTAATTTGAATTCTGTTTGCTTTATAACTTATTATATTATATATTATAACCCCCTCCCCCAAAACAATTCATCGCCCCTCAATTTCCTTTAGGCACTTTATTATCGACCCCCGCCCATGTACCGACCAGGGGCGTCATCGTCCACTTTGGGAAAGTCTGAGCTAGATACTTGAATAACTATTTTGATGGCACCTCTATGACAATTGGGAGGTACACTTCTTGATTTCAACCATACAACTGGCAATACTGTACAGGTTCCTCTCCTTAACCCCTTACTTTCTTACTAACACCCGTCCGCTCACAGTCGCCCTTTGACCTTAGGGCACGGCGCTTGGTCGCCCTTGGAAAGCACCTACTTCGAAAAGCTGACGGCTGACTTGGGCGGACGGTACGAGATAAGGGCCATAGCGACCCAGGGCAGAGGCAGGAACGACTTCGTTACCGAGTATATTGTGGAGTACTCGGATGATGGAGAGCAGTGGAGAAGTTTCCAGGGAGCAGATGGAGAAGTTGAGGTGCTGGGAGGGAAGCATTTGTAGTCCACTTGAATTAGGCTTAAAAGCTATGAAGATTTCAAAAAATTGTAACATTTTTGAACCAACTAATTTTTGAGGCCGTTTTTCCTTGCTTCTTACTTCTCTAATTAATGCTACATTTAAACTAGGATATTCTAAAATTGTATGTGAATATTCCTTTTTTATGGAAGGTTCAGCGGATGATCACTTTTTTCTTTCTTTCTTCAAATCTTCGCTTTTCTTGTAAACCCAATTTGTTGCGAAATGAGGTTTCAAGAAAATCAGAGATTTTTCGAAAAGAAAAAGTGATAATAAAAGTATCACCAAGTACTATAAAAGTGGAATTTCGACATACAATTTCAGAGCTGTACTAATATTTGTTAAAAAGTTATGACTGAAGAGAAAATGCACAAATGGATTTTTTGACGAAAACTTTATAACGTTTTTAGTCATCTCTATATGGTGTCCCAGAAGTCGACGAAAACCGGAAACGGCATCATAAATAAAAAATATAAAAAAATAATAAAAGGTGCGTTACTATCTGTCTTGCTGTAACTACATAGAATGACACTGTCAGTCACTCTGTCTAAGAACAAATTGAAATTTCTAGTAATGGGATCTAAAAATCATCACAGGGTGTAGATTTTACCGATTTTTTCAAAACCCTCTAATTTGAAAAGTACACGACTTAGATTTTTTATATATTTTTCTGATAACTACAGAGTGGAAGAATTCGTTATCATTTAAATCTAATACACTACGCAAACAAATGCCGCGGGGAGGGGGCCAGTCGCTAGCTCGTTTCTCGGAAATTCAGTCGCAGTGAATCGCTTCACGGGGTCGCAGTTCGCTCATTATTGTGAGACGCTTATTTCGCGTTGAATACAATTTACACGACTTAAGTCAGTGTCCAAGTGCTCCTTTGAAGAAGAAATGGGTGAAGAAGTTCGAAGACACTGAATGTCAAGCAAACCGGCGGTCCACGGACTGCTCGGAACGAAGAGAACGTGCAGCAAGTATCCGCTTCTGTTCAACGTGATCCAGATTTATCGACGCGCAAACGTTCGGCTGAGTTAGGATTATCCCGCACATCATTACGCCTTATTTTGAGATTAGATTTGAAATTACGTCCATATAAGATCCAGATAGTGCAGGAACTAAAACCTAATGATTTAAATTTTGGCAAGTCGTATTCCGAAACGATGTTAGCTCGATTCAGTAATTTTGACAATCTCTTTATTTTCTGACGAAGCCCAATTCCACCTCGACGGACATGTGAATAAACAGAATTGCTGGTACTGGAGCAGCGACAATCCCAAAGCTAAACACGAGAAGCCACTTTACTCTCCTAAAGTAACTGTATGGGCTGCAATTTCAGCAAAAGGAATCATTGGCCCTACTTCTTTGAAGATTCTCGCGGCCATTCAGTTACTGTTAATTATGCTGAGTATGTGAAAATGTTACGGGAGTTCTTGGCACCGATGCTACTGGAATTTGCGGGCTATAATCGTAACCCATGGTTTCAACAAGATGGAGCAACGTGTCACAAATCCAACGAGTCTCTGCCGGTGGTCAAAGAAATATTTCCGGAAAAGCTGATTTCCAGACGATGCGACATCCCATGGTCACCCCAGATCTATCCCCACAAGACTTTTTTTATTTGGTTATTTAAAGAGTCGTGTCTACACCAATAAACCAAGTACACTCCGTCAACTAAAATAAAACATCAACGAAGAGATGTCGGCAATCTCGCAGTCTTTATGCCGACGAGTATTCGAAAACTTCGGTACACGTTTAGAAGAGTGCAAAAATCGTAACGCTGGTCATTTAAATGATTTCAAGAAATGAATTCCAACTAATTAGCTTTCTTGTGAATAAACAATTTTTAAAAAGTCAAATGTTTTTTTCATACGATTTTTTCAAATGTTAACTAATTCATGACTTGGCCTATCCACCGTTTCTGGCTTGACGTTGATTTCTGGGAGATCCTGTATAAACCATGAAAGGATCAGATAAAAGGACTTAGAATACTGGTCAAAACAGGACAAAAAAAAGACATTTCTTTATGGTGATTTTTAAAATGATTTTCACTATTCGATAAATATATCTTAATAAACAATAATATTTTGACATGGTTAAACCAATTTCAAACTTCACTAATTCCCGTGGACTACTATGCATTATGTGTTAAGCTGTAAGTTGTTACGAGGACCAGAGCTTTCTGTCTTGAGTGGAGTATGATTATGAATCATGAAACCAAATGGTTCTTCATTTTAATAATGGTGGCAGCAATTTCATACTTTCTACAACATGAAATAATATTCGCCAAACTAACTTTATTTCGTTTTTTTATGTATTCACTAAAAGTGAATAAATTATTATTTAATTCTGTTTCTTTTGAAATATTCACGTAACTTAAGTTAGTTGAAATATGTTTTACAGAATATCAAATAAAATATCAATGAAGGTTTAGTTCCAACGAGGCTTTAGCATATTACCTGATAACTTGTGGTTTTGCTTTCTTACATTACATGTTGATTTAACATTTTTGATATATGAAGAACTGACAATAATATTCAAGAAACTAAATACTCGGATTTTTGCAGTATTAAGTATGCGATTATGTTCAGTATCAGTTTCGTGGATTTTGCTCAGAAACCAAATACGTTTAGTAATTATACCACTTTTGGAAGAAATATAATCAAATACATATAAGGATGCGTTTTAGATGTTCAGAGGTAACTCCGACGGCGATACAGTCCACAAAAATGAATTCGAAGTACCCATTATTGCTCAATGGATCAGGATCAACCCCACAAGGTGGAGAGATAGGATATCATTACGAGTTGAATTATTCGGGTGTGAATACGGTAAATATCTTTTTATATTCTGCCGAGTTCAGTTAATCTTAGGATTGCTCCGTCAATAGTAGAGCGACCAAAGCTTCCTGGCGAAGTGTGAAATACTATTAAGTTGTGGAATTTGTACCTGTGTGAAAACTACATATAAATCGCCAATTATGCTTACGACTATGTACCTGTCAACTGTCATATTTAGATGTCAGCGATGCCATGTCTAGGCTTGATACCCCAGGTTATGGGATCTTCTTTTCCGTTGTTGAAAAAATGCTGGGAAAATGAAATCTTGAGAATAATTTCGAAGGAGGTTGAAGAGATATCTTTCCTTAGAAGTTTTGTGTCATGTTTGAGGATCAATAATTTTATTTAATAGGAAAATTGAGTCTGATTTTATTACTTATAAGGGAATTACTGCGATTCTACTTAAATGAATTCAGATTAAACCCAAACAAAACAGATGTATAGGAAAGTCTTTAGAGCAAATACGATAAATCTTACGATTAATCATGAAAAAATTTAGTTAATCGAATCATTTAAATATTTGGGTATATATGTAGATAGTAAATTAAAATTTAAAGGGCACTATGAATACATTATTTCAAAAATATCCAAAGAGATAAATTACATTTATAGACTTTCACATATTCTAAAAAAATGGGTACACTCATCATTTGTTATTTTGTTCACTGCAAACGAAACTTTATTTTCAAAATTGCTAATATTACAAAATATAGCTATGAGAATCATCTTAAAAAAAATATACTAGAATAAATTTTATGCTGACAGAACTGCAATGGTTAAATATCAAAAATTTCATAACCTACTTGGTTTTCATATTCAAGCTAAAGAAGTATCTTCTACCAAATCGTTAGAAAATGTCATTGAATTGAACTTCCAGAGGAAGTATAGACGTTCATTTACAAAATTGTAGTAGCAATATAACAAAGAAATCACGTGTTTCAAAAAGGACTGTACGAATTTAATAAATTGAGTAATGATACCAAGATGTGTACCAGTTTAAAAATATTTTAAGGGAAATTGAAATTTCATGGAAAACCAGAATTCATAGTAGTGAAATTTTGTATAATAATATGTAGACCTGAAGACATAAAATATGTAACTATGTAACATTGATATTTAGCATTAATGCTAAATGAATCTACAATAAACAGACAAACATGTTCATGACGATGAAAATTCTATAAGAACATCCAAACACCAAATAAGGTTGAGCATCTTCTTTGAGTACTTAATCAATATCAAAAGTCATATATTTACGAGAATTTTGATCACTCTGTAAATTGAGTGATCTTCCCTATGACTGGCTTATTATTCTGTATCCCTTACCTGTTATCTACAAATTTCAGAGGCATATGATATGTATTTTAACGGCTCAGCTATTTTAAAATACGATCTATACAGAGAACCTATAGCAGCCTTAAGAGAAACGATAAGATTTCGATTCAAGACCACAACTCCAAATGGAGTTGTCTTATACAGCAGAGGAACTCAAGGGGATTACGTAGCTTTGCAACTTCGCGATAATAGGATGCTTTTGAACATCAACTTAGGTAAGACGAATTAGGCAATTTTTCAGACGAATTTCTGAGGGTATTGATTTCAGGGTCTAATGAAGTAACAAGTCTGAGTGTGGGAAGTCTCTTAGATGATAACATTTGGCATGATGTGGTCATCTCCAGAAATAGGAGGGACATACTTTTTTCTGTGGATAGAGTTGTGGTACAAGATAGGATCAAAGGAGAGTTTCAAGTATTGAATTTGGATACTGGGGTAAGTCAACTTTTTAAAGGTGGTTGTTCTTTTATACAGCGTGTACAGAGAGAAGTGACGATTTTTCTAGGGCAGAAAGTACACCCAAAAATAACAAAAACAGTTCTATAAATACAGATCCTAAAATCTTATGACTAAGATATAGGGTAAAATTCTGCGCCACTATCAAGCTTTACTAACGTTCAAATTAGAACGAGTTGGTGTTCGGATTTTACCTCGAAAATTCGAACCAGTTTTTCTCCAAAAGCCGTAGTCAGACCAACATTTCCAAAACGCGGAGGTTCATGCAAAATTGGATACCTTATTCAAAAATACAATCGATGTTTAAAAAAAACAGGTGGCATAGAAAATAATGTTCTTTTTTCTTTGTATCTACGAGTATTGGCTATGATGTCAGTACTACGCATACAAAATTTTAAATCAATATTTTAATCCACTTCAAAGATATAATTTTTTTAGATTCCAAAACTATAATTTCAACATTGTATCTCGGTAATCCCCCGCCCCTCCCCCAGAAGGACATCTTCCTGAAGATAAATCATGTCCCCCCAGCAGTTTATTGAGTGGGTGATTTCAAATTTATCAATGGGACCCTCTCAAAAAAAATATTATCTAGATTCGCATTTGACGTTTTGTTTGTGGCGATGCGACGCTGTTATTTGACAGTACTCCTCTTGATGAAAATATGTTCTTGAATAATTTGTATCCTCGTTTTGCAGTTTTACGTAGGTGGCGTTTCAAACATCCAAGATGGAATAGTGGTTGTCCAAAATTACACCGGATGCATAGAAAACTTGTACTTGAATTCCACAAATCTCATCTATGAGGTTAAGGAAGCGCTGCAGTATGGTCAGTCATACAAATATGAAAAAGTTAATACATTGTGGACCTGTCCTGTAAGTTTATCTGACTCTTTTGGGAACAGTTTTTTGACAATAAATTTTTTAGGAACCACAAATTGTACCGGTGACATTCAAATCTCATCAAGCACATGCGAGGTTGAAGGGTTACGAAGGAATGACGTCACTAAATTCGTCCTTTGCATTCAGAACTTACGAAGATAATGGCCTTATGTTATATCACGCTTTTTCGGGAAGCGGATATGTTGCAGTAAGATTCTTGTTCCGCTCTAGCCGATATTTGACTTATGTTACACAGTACAGGTTTTTATAATAAGTGTATCGTCTTTTTAGGTGTATCTTGATCATGGAAAACTTAAAGTAGAAATAATCACTGCAAACAATCCGAAGGTGATCCTAGATAACTACATTGAGACTTTTAATGACGGAAGATGGCACACGGTTGTTGTAGCTATTCAAACTAACAAGATAGTATTCAGTGTTGACTATAGACCGATGATAACAACTAGGCAGCTGAAAATTATTACAGGATCCACTTACTTCATTGCTGGAGGTATAATGGCTGCGTTAGGTAAGTTATCTTTTTTCAATTTTATATTTGTTTTATTTAGTTCTCATGCTGTTATAGTCATTCTAAAAACAAGCAGCAGCATAGCTGAAAGTTACGAATTTCAACTATTATCATGGTTGTGATTATGGCAATTTGATTCATTCATGATTACGACTATGATATTGAAATGTTATACAGGGTGCGGCAGAGAGTATGGACGGTTTTAAAAAAATCATAAAATAGTTAATTTTTACTGAAAACAAATTGATTGATGGAATGAGGTTCACAAGGAAATAGCATTTGAGATAGTCAAGTGTGGAAAATTACATCAGGCATGTGGTGGCCGAAATCGTTGATGCAGTGCTGGAGGCGTTCTTGGAAGTTCGCGTAGACTCTCTCCAACATCGCTCTCTCAACTTTGGCGACTTCCACGCGAATTTCGCCCTTCAATTCGTCCAGAGTTCGGGGCTTGTTCGCGTATACTCTAGCCTTGAGGTGTCCCCATAAGAAAAAATCGCATATGGATAAATCTGGGGACCGAGGAGGCCAATGAACATAGCCAAACCTGGAAATAAGGCGACCAGGGAAGAGAGGGCGAATAACGTCCATGGATGCTCGGGCTGCGTGGGCGGTCGCCCCATCCTGCTGGATCCACACACGTCGGATTGGAACACGTCGCCGTCGTAATTCAGGGAGAAAGAAGTTGGTGATCATGTCGACGTAGCGCTCTGAGTTAACGGTAACATCACGACCATTACCGTCTTCGAAGAAGTAAGGGCCAATGATGCAAGTTTGCGATACAGCGCACCAAACTGTTACTTTTGGGCTGTGCAGCGGTATTTCGTGTAACTGTTGCGGATTTTCATTAGCCCAATAACGACAATTCTGCTGGTTAACCATGCTGTTTAGGTGAAAGTGGGCTTCGTCACTCATAAACAAAATGAGGTTCTCATTTTGATCGATCAGTGCTTCCATCTCACGTGCGAAGTTCATTCGTTGTGCATAATCTCCGGGCTGTAACTGTTGCACAATGGCCAATTTGTAGGGGTGAAAGCGGAGATTCATATGCAAAATTCGCGTTACCGAACGATCACTAAGGCGAAGTGCAGCAGTATGTTTCCGGGCAGATCGAGTCGGAACGCGAAGAAAGACCTGTTGAACGCGTTCAACATTTTCAGGAGTTCGAACTGTTCGTGGCGCTCCTCTTGGTCTTCTGTTGATCAGTTCACCACGCCTGCGAACTGATTCAACCCATCGAAGGATGGTGTTTCGAGAGGGAACAGCTCTATTCCGATGAATGTTGAAGTGGGGACGAAACTCACGCTGTACGACGATGACTGACTCATTATTTCTGACGAAACAATCACAGGCGAAAACGCGGTGCTCCACCGTCCAAGGCTCCATAACGACAACTGATAAAATAATGCTAGGATCTCACGAGTCAAACTGCACCCTCCCCACCTCTCTCGTAGACGGAGGCGGAGAGTACTACCCATCCCAAAAACGTCCGTCCTCTCTGCCGCACCCTGTATAAACCTGCCATTGGATTCGATTCGTTTATAGAATATTTTGTTTTTCAGGCTATTCTAATACAGTGTACCCAGGCTTCATAGGTTGTATGCGCACTATAAAAATTGACGGTAACAGCAAACTGCCTTCTGATTGGACAACTCAAGAATACTGTTGCGCAGATGATGTTCTGTTTGACGCGTGTCATATGACTGACAGGTGTAACCCTAACCCTTGTCAGCATGCAGGCGTTTGCAAACAGAATTCTATGGAATTCATGTGCGATTGTAAGGTAAGATGCTCTAATGGAAATAGTACTACATATTTGATTGAGTTTTATCTGAAATACAGGATTGTTAGAGCTTTCCTTTTCAGAACCAAGCACGTTTGAAAATAAGGTAATTTGTGGTAAGAAAGCAGCGGAAAAATAAAAAAAATACGACGGTCCATTTGATAAGAATTGCCAGATATTGTTTATACTATTCGAAGTTGAAAACATCATCTTTGTTTAGTTCTTCATCAAATTGCAACATTTGATGATGTCTAGACATGAGAAAAAACCTACGTGGCACGAAAACGGAGAAAAACGACTTAAAAGGACACACCGTTGACAAGTTCGTAATTGCTTTAGAAATATGCCGTGTTCGGATTTTCCAAATGCGATTTTTATTCAAACAAGTCAGTTTACCGACACGGCGCGCGGTGCCTGGCCCGAATACTGACACACTTATCTTTTCTCCTAATCCCTTGTTGGTGACAGGGTCGGATTTGATATAGTATATATCCCCTAATCCTTATAACTTGGTTATCTTGAGACTTTGGGGTATGAATTGTAGGAAAATTTGCCTCATTTTTTTCAAAAACTATATGCAGTGAAAGAACTTCTCTACTTTCAGAACACCCTTTGTATCGGCAGGAATAAATTATTTGTTAATTGATTTATAATTCCCGACAGGTTACACCCAATTTCAGGAAATATACCAACAACGAAAATAAATCAATAATTTAACAACAGCGGAACATAAAAAAAAGAAAAACAAATAAATGTATACAAGTGTATCAGTATTTGAAATATGAAAATAGCTTTAATAAAAATTCATTCTATATCACACCAAGGTACCGATCTCTGTAACAATCCAATGCAGAGCTTTCTCGATCACAAATCTCATTAAAACACTTGCACATATAGTTTAACGGTGATTTGCACCAGATGTTTGTATTAAAAATGTCAGGGTAAAAGAAATACCGACACCGGCTACTTAACCTAGGGACAGGAAATTTAATTTTACTCAATATCAAGGGGCCATCAATTTGATTGTTCAGTACTTTATGCAAAAATCACCGATAAATTGCGCCTTAGTTGTAACGGCTCAACTCAAAGATTCTTAACAGTGCTGAATGCTCAAAATCTCTTACAAGGTAGTGACCATGACACTTCAAATAAAATTATTCAAGTGCCTTACTTAATCCCAATAAAAGTGAAATACCGGAGCTTTAATGTTGCGATATCAGCGAAGCCCGACCAATTTCTGACGCAGTAGTCTAATGCTTTAAACGTTGTATGCACCATATGAAGGTTGTGGTCATTAAATGTCAGTTTAGCGTCGAAAACGACACCCAAATCGAGATGCGCTTAGACAGGTTACCATAAATGTTATAATTATCGTATACTATAGGATGTAGTCTTCTAGTAAATGACATAACCTTGCACTTGGAAATATTAATATTAAGTATTGTTAGAGCGCCATAAATAGATAAAGTTCGCGCAGTTTTGCAGCAGAATGCAGTCATTGAGATTATTAATAACAGCAAACATTTTCAAATCATCAGCATAAAGTAGATGCAAGTCAGCGATAAATCATTTATGAAGATTATGAACAACAAAGATCGTAATTTGGACCCCTGAGGTACACCATATGTTGCACAATAACTAGCCTAACTAGCCCCCATTTACATTTCCCCCATTGTTTTCAGGGTACCGGATATGGAGGTGCGGTATGCCACACCTCAATTAATCCTCTATCGTGTTTGGCATACAAAAACGTCCAAGCCGTAGGTCCCCATGCCAATATCAAGATCGACGTGGACGGCAGCGGCCCTCTGGCGCCGTTCCCCGTAACTTGCGAGTTCTACTCCGACGGCAAGATTGCCACCGTAGTGCATCATGCTAACGAAGCTACTACTTCAGTGGACGGTTTCCAGGATCCTGGAAGTTTCGTGCAGGATATCAGATATGAGGCAAATGAGGATCAGATTATCGCTTTGATTAACAGGTACTAATAATGTTTCAACCGCAAGTTAACTTTCTGGTTAGGTAACTATAACCAGGAAGTTGTTGAACTTGTAGTTGCCTGCAAATGCGTGTTCAAGTATTTACCAGAAGTTCATCATATTCGTGTTGCTAAAATTTATCAAAAACTGTTTTTTTTTTCTTTTTTAACAGGTCGTCGACTTGCCGACAGCACCTGGAGTACGCTTGTCGCAACTCAAAACTACTAAACTCTCCAACTGATGAGGCAAACTTCCGCCCGTTTTCGTGGTGGGTATCCGGTATGAACAGAAGAGCCGATTATTGGGGTGGAGGACTTCCAGGCACCAGGATGTGTGAATGTGGAGTGAACAGTGCATGCTCTGATCCTAGGAAGTGGTGTAATTGTGATAATGAATCGGATGTTTGGCAAGTGGATGGAGGTAAGGGCTTTTCTCCCCGTTTTTTCAAATCCTTCTCACTTTGTCAACGTTTTACTGTACTATATTTTTTCAATATACAGGGTGTCGAGAAAAAAGTGTGCAATATTCTACCAGCGGTTTCTAGAGCTTAAAATAGGAAGAAATGTTTATATAAACATAGGTCGACAAACGTCCCCTAAGGGAGCTACGGTCTTTTAAAGGGGCTCCCCTGAAGATGGTTTTTCCTTAATATTTCCAAAACGTGTTGAGATAAAGACATAAAATTTGGTATTCCAGCCTAGTTTTTTATGCTGGATTTAAAAATATTAACAATTTTAGACAGTTTTGTTTGGAAGTGTATGTAATAGGGACGGACTCAGGTTATTTTAGCCCCAACATTTTTGTGTGATTTTATTTTTGAAATTCAATTTTAGAATTTGAATATTTAGAGTTTTCTACATAAAAAAGGTACTCTTATTGAATATCGATAAATTGTGCCAATTTTGAATAAAATCAAACTAAAAAATTTGTCACATGATAGGAAATGTACTGCGAATTTAAATGAATTGTTGAATAATTAGCCATGGCAACGAAAAAACTAATTTAATAATTGGTAAATATTACATAAATACATATTTCTATTGCAACATAGCTAACATTCAGGCAAAAACAAAAGAAATAATTTTTTTGACGAACGAAATTCAAATTTCTTTAAAAAAGAAGATATACTTAAAACTAGCATTACAATAAGTGTTCAAATGAATTCCCATTTTGTTGGATACAGAGTCTCGCTCGACGAACTAATGATTGCGTACCCTTCTTATTTCATTTACAGCCTGATGGATTCTTTGAAGTAAATCTTCTTGAGTATTTACTTCAGTCGAGTAAACTAGGTCTTTTAATGACCCACAAAAATAGAAATCCAATGAATTTAGGTCAGGTGAACGTGGCGGCCATGCTATAGGACCTCCTCGGCCTAACCACCTGTCTGGAAAATTGACATTCAACCAATTTCGAACATTGCGTCCAAAATGTGCAGGGGCGCCATCATGTTGAAAATACATATTTTTTTGAAACTGCTGGCGCACATCCAATGGTATTATATCCATGAGCTCATTCTGAAGAAAGTTCAGATACACCTCTGAATTAAGACGATTGGGAAGTACAATAGGCCCAATTACTCCTGCCCATAAGTTCAATGAAAATCTATGTTGAAAATTTGTACGGGAACAAACAACTTTTGGATTTTCATCTGACCAGTGATGCATGTTATGGAAATTAAAAGCACCATTCCTAGTAAATGTTGACTCATTCGACCATAATATTCTAGGAATAGTGTTTTCATTTGCTAATATTGACTGGCAAAACTCGATTCGTGGTAAAAAATATGCCTCCATTAAATGCTGCACCCGTTTAAAATGATAAGGATGTAATCCTTGCATTCTTGTCATTCTTCCTATCTAAAATTATTATTTCCAGGATAACTATCAAATAGGTATTCAAAAATTTTCTTACTATTGATCGAGGTATATCCATAATTTCTGAAACATTTCGTATGCTTATTTGCGGATTATTTTCAAACATATTTAAAGCAATATCCATACGACGATTTCCCAGTGGCCTTGCTGAGCCCTGCATGCGCTGAAAACTTCCATGGTTTGTCAAATTCTGGTGAATATCAGTAAACATTCGACGTCCAGGTACTATGCGGTTGGGAAATCTTCTTTGATATTCTCTTACGGCTGCCAATGAACTGTCAGTGCAAAACCCGTACACAAAATGCATGTCAGTTAGTTCTCTGTCTGTAAAGCTTGGCATTTTAAATCGATTTAATAAAAATTTTGATTTTTCTAGTAATTTTACACTGCTAACAATGTCAGTTTAACGTCAAAATGAGTCATAACAAATCAAAACAACTGTTTGAAGTCATGGCTAACTATCTATAATCAACAATTCATTTAAATTCGCAGTACATTTCCTATCATGTGACAAATTCTATAGTTTGATTTTATTCAAAAATGGCAGAATTTATCGATATTCAATAAGAGCACCTTTTTATGTAGAAAACCCTAAATTTTCAAATTCTAAAATTGAATTTCAAAAATAGAATCACACAAAAATTTTGGGGCTAAAATAACCTGAGTCCGTCCCTGTTACATACGCTTCCAAACAAAACTGTCTAAAATTGTTAATATTTTTAAATCCAGCATAAAAAACTAGGCTGGAATACCAAATTTTATGTCTTTATCTCAACACGTTTCGGGGACGTTTGTCGACCTATGTTTATATAAAATTTTCTTCCTATTTTAAGCTCTAGAAACCGCTGGTAGAATATTGCACACTTTTTTCGGGACACCCTGTATACCTGTTTTGTATAAACAATTTTTTCACGGGTTTATTGAAGTGGCTTTGTCATTAAGAATGATTGTATTCTTCAGACAATAAAGCATACAAGACTTAAATAACCATGGTACTTCATCTTGCAGCTATCTATAAATTGAAACAGAATCTTATTTTTATTTAGTGACACCATCTAGTACAAAAAAAGGATGTTTTTGATTACTTAAGCACACATATTTTTTTTAGTGAACAGCATATTTTTAAGCTATTATTAATAGTAATTAACAAAAAAGTAGTCAAGAAAATTATTAGTTTTGAAATAAATCGTTTTTTCTGTTTCCTGTATTTTGGACATATGTCAATAATTATTTTATCAAGGTGACATAATCGAAAAAGAAGACTTACCAGTGAAACAGCTTCATTTTGGCGATACTGGGAGTGCCTTAGACGATAAAGAGGGTCGCTATACTCTAGGCCCGTTGATCTGCGAAGGTGACGATCTTTTCAATAACGTTGTTACCTTCCGAATCGCTGATGCTACAATCAACTTGCCCACTTTTGACATGGGACATAGCGGCGACATTTACTTCGAATTTAGGTAAGTTGAAGGATTTTCGCTCATAAACGTGTGGGTGAGTTTTTGGCAACTGCATATCTATACAAGTACCAATTTCATGGAAAAGGGGGTTCACAAACCTTACGGAAATCAGTCCCTGGTGATTCTTGCTCAATCTCAGGTAATATATACTAAGTGAGATATAAATCCGAACACCCAGTTTTAATGGTTTTATTTTAATAAAATTTTGTATAAGTACTTAATGAAGCATAATAAGTAAATGATAAAAATTTCAAAATGATTGCACTGCTTTAAAGCCCTTTGACCTTTAATAATGTGTGGATGCACCCTGATGTGCTACGCATTCTCCAACGCGCCTAGGCATGCTTCTGATCAGGTGGTCAATGTCCTCCTGTGGTATCTCATTCCAGGCAACCACCAACTCCTCTCGAAGTGCTTCTAGAGTCTGAAGAGGACGTTGCAAATTGAGCAATCTCCTACCCATCATATCCCACACGTGCTCAATTGGGGATAAGTCGGGAGATCTTGGTGGCCATGGTAACAATGTGACATCATTATGTTGAAAGAAGTCTATTGTGACTCTTGCAACATGTGGTCGGGCATTATCTTGTTGGAAAGTTGGATCTGCCAGGGTGTCAAGATAGGGTAAAAGATGGGGTTCTAGAACTTCGTGGATATAACGCTGCGCGTTCATGTTACCTCTGATGAAGATTAAAGGTGACCTGGAACCATAAGCTATAGCACCCCAAACCATAACTCCAACAGTGTGATGAACATGTCTTTCAACAAAAAACTGTGGATTCTTCATTTCACCACGTCGCCTTCTAACCCTGGCACGACCATCGTGCATGCCTAAACAAAATCGAGACTCGTCACTAAAGACAATACTGTTCCATTCCTGATCCCAGAGTGACCGTTGTCTGCACCACTCAAGGCGATTACGTCGGTGTTCTCGAGTTAAAGGGAGAACCCAGTGTGGCCGGTATGAAAACAAGCCAAAACTTCTCATTCGTCGGTAAACACTTCGCATGCCAATAGGTCTTCCGTGTTCTGCAAACCATTCATTTGCAATGGACCTGGTAGTGGAGAAACGGTCCCTTAAGGCTAATAATCTTAGGCGGCGATCTTCACGGTCTGTTGTTCTACGGCGGCGTCCAGTGCCCCTTGCTCTTTGCGTACGGCCTTGTCGAAGCCAAGCCTGACAACACCTAACCACAGTGTCTACACTTCTTTGCACTCTAACTGCAATTGCCCGAAAAGAAAGTCCAGCTTCCCGAAGTCCCACTATACGGCCCCTATCAAACTCACTAAGTTGAAGAAATCGTACAGGTCTCCGTACTCTAGGCATCGTAACCGATCGTAAAGGATGTCAAGAACCAAAATCCGCCAACGTTGATTCTTTACTGCGGCTGAAATATTCATTTTTAGAGCGTTAGTGAATTAAAAAAAAGCAGTATAAAAACCGGAATGTTCAACTGATAAGGCTGAAAAATTTTTCACTTGTTATTTACAGTAAGATAAATACATTCACCAACTTTTATTAAAATAAAACCATTTAAACTGGGTGGTCGGATTTATATGTCACTTAGTATAACTATATAACTGTTCAATCATGAGCTGCGCAAAATTAACAGTTGTTGACAAACTTTGTAATTAAATTTGTAAGGATGGAACACTAAATCCTTCTTCAAGATGCGACGTACTGAGGACGTGTGGATCCCTAGGGAACTGACCCGCAAACGGACGGAACGATTCGGGCTTTGCAGCGCTCTGTCTACGTTTTCGGGGGTTCTAACAGTACGGTTTCGCCCTGGAAGTTTTTTCATCACGTTACCTGTTGTGTTGAATGCTTCCACCCATCTCAAAATAGTGTGAACGCGAAACTCAAGTTGCGTTTGAACGACTCCCCCCATTTTGAGAACCGACGTACAGTGAACACACGATGCTCAACGTTCCAAACCATCTTGCCAACTGAAACGGCACTTCTCCCACTATCGAACACGCCCTTCTCCACCGACACGGGACCAGCCCACTCGATGTAGTACCCATTCGAAAAACATGCGTTCTTTCTGGCGGACCCTGTATATGAAACGCATTCCTGAGCTATCTATCGGTTACAAGTAACTTAATTTCTTGTCACATGAAATCGGTTTCATGAAACACTAAACACATGCGAAGTTTCAGAAAAGTATTTTTCTTGAGATATTAAAATCGGCATAATTTCGTATTTACTTGTAGAACGTCATCCCAGAACGCGGTCATATTCCACTCGAAAGGACCGTCTGACTATATCAAACTGTCTATTGTAAATGGCGACAACCTGATATTCGAATACCAAGCCGGCGCCGGGCCTCAAACGGTGGTGTCCAGAAACTCGTACAGGCTTGCAGACGACGGATGGCATTCGGTATCGGTCGAAAGAAACCGGAAGGAAGCCATGTTGGTTGTTGATGGATCGTTGAGGAATGAGCTAAGGGAGCCTCCAGGTCCTGTAAGGGCTCTGCATCTTACTTCGGATTTAGTTTTTGGTGAGTATACCTACACTTAGAAATAGTCATTTTTTTTGTTCTTTCTGACACATACGAGACCCTTCCCACTTCAGTTGGCCCAACTATTGAAATCTTAGTTTTTTTCTTATCAAACATAAATAATAAAAATGTAGCAGGGTGTTATAGGTTTAAAATATTAACAATGAATATTTTGATAATATATAGTAGAAAACACCAACTTTATCACTCCCTAATCAAATTTGCTGCATAAAAATAACACATGTTGCAATTACAGCATAATATCAACCTATTTTCATTTCAATGCAAAATAAGTCTATAACGCATAGGTGGCTGTGAAAAAATAAAAGCCATGACAATTGTTTTTATTAATCACAGCTGTCAGAATACGTTTAAAATAGTTTTGGGTAGTTAAGGTTTTCAAAATGGATAGAGGAAAGGTTATTAGTGAGAAAATTCGGTTACTGACAGTTAAATATTTTAATTCTGGGATATCAAATTCGGAAATTGCAACTTTGTTAGACTTATCGCGGTACAGTGTGAGAAATATTGTTAGAAGATATAACGTAACTGGTTCAGTTAATATTAAGCCACGATATGTGAAAAAAAGTAATATCACAAATGCTGACCAAAGAGCATGTTTAGTTTATAAAGGCATATTTTGGTACAAATCTTGAAGTGGGCCAACAGAAGTGGGAAAGGGCTCGTACATTGTTTATAACTCGTCGAAATGAATATGAAATTTAAAACATGAAACATGAACAAATCATCTACGAACAATTGAACCTTATAAAACACAAAAATTCCGCGTCGGCGTAATAACAATTTTTTATAAGAAGCTGCTTAAGTTTTATTCTGAGAAAGCCCATATCTTTGGCATTTTTCATCTCCTTTGGATGACCGTTAAAAATTTGCAAAACGAAATCCCGGAAGAAAACAAAATTCAAAGACCTAGGGTCCTACTTTAGTCTTGTTTATGAGAAATATATTTATTTTCCAGGGGCCACAACCGATTACAGAGATGGATTCACAGGTTGTATACGAGCTCTTCTAATCAATGGAAGGCCCATTGATTTGAGGAGTTATGCCAGATTGGGTCTGTATGGTATCTCTGAAGGTTGTGTCGGCAAGTGCCAGAGTAATCCTTGCCTTAACAACGGTACTTGTCACGAACGATATGACAGTTACATGTGCGATTGCAGGTAAATATCATGAAGAATCATTTAAGAGGGTAATTTCTAATACCTTGGACATACGGTAGGGTAGTCACTCAAACATGATGGAATGGAATTGTTAAGAAAAGTGAAGACGTTTAGTGTAGTCGGGGAAAACATGGAAATGGAGGAGTGGTTAAAAAGTTGTTTATGTTTATCTGCGATTGTTATTCGTCATTATGCATTATATTTTAGGTGGACAGCATTCAAGGGACCAATATGCGCAGACGAAATCGGTGTAAACCTAAAATCAAGCTCCATGGTGAAATACGAATTTGAGGGATCTTTCAGATCTACGATTGCCGAAAAAATCAGAGTCGGTTTTACCACAACCAATCCCAAAGGTAAGTACACAAATGTGATTCGTGCATTGTTCACATAAGCCGTCTATTGAACTCTTTAAAAAAGAAATAAGAACGCAAAAACGGCATGGGATTGACTATACCTGTGGTTTCACTATAAATATTTTTTAAGGTTTCCTACTTGGTATGACGTCGAACATCACCGGCGAATATATGACAATTATGGTATCAAACTCTGGACATTTAAGAGTTGTGTTCGATTTTGGTTTCGAGAGACAAGAAGTTATATATCCAGAGAAACATTTCGGCTTGGGTCAGTACCATGATTTGAGATTATCGAGGAAAAACGCCGGATCTACATTGGTCATGCAGGTAAGAAAAATAAATTGACACTGCTGAAGTATAAAAGCCTGGCTAACGAATGCATGCCTACTGATATTATAAATGTGAAAGAGTGTAGGTATGTATGCTCCGTTTTCACGCCAGTACGGCTGTACCAGTTTTGATGAAGTTTAGAGACGGCCCTTTTGTTGTAAAAATTAGACTTGAAGAGGATGAAATAAAGGGTAAGAGTTCACTGTGAGGTAAAGGTTATTCTAAACTGTAGGGAATTTCATTAAACACCCTCCAAAGTCCTCTCCAACTACTTTCCATTTTCATTGGGACACACTGTATATACAGGGTGGCGCATCGAAAACGAAACAGACGCATTTACTGACAGCTCAGTTTTTTTTTTCGAGGGGGACACAAGTTTGGAAAAAAATCACGTTAACACGTGCAGCCCCCTGGGCGGGGGTGACACCAACCCTAAAATCTTAATTGGAAAGGGGGGTCGAGTGATACCTTATTTTAAAGGTCTTTCAATTCCCTTTATACTGATGTAAAATACAGTCAGTAGCTTCTGTTCAGTAGTTTTGAAGATTTATTGATTTAAAGCTTAAAGTAGACTTTAATAGGTACATCAGATTAGTTTGTACTACTTTCAGAAGAAATTTGACTAAAAGAATTTACTTAATAAGTTTTTTTTGTGGCAAAAAAGTTATTTCTTGAAGAAAGATAAGGAAATATCTCGTACTTATTTTAAATAGGAATTTAGTACATAGTTTGCGATTGATTTGATCAAAGTTTGTTGCTAAAATAACTTGTAACGCTTTATTACATAAATTAACCATGGTATATTCCACAGCAGAAAGAGTTGAAATTATCGAAATATTTTCGGAAATAATCAGTGCGCTAATAGAGCAGCAGAAATATTTAATGAGCGACATGACAACAGTAACGTGCATCGAAAATATGTTCTAGAACTGGTAGCTAAATTTCGGGAAACTGGGTCAGTCGCCAATAAAAAACGCAGCATTGAAAATCACATAAGGAACGAAGCAATAGAAGTGGTGGTTTTAGGGCAAGTTGGTGTTAGTCGACGTACTGTCCAACGGATTCTAAAGGCCCATAGTTTTCATCTGTATAAAATTCTCCTAATACAAGAACTTAATGAAGACGATTTTGATCGGCGATTACAATTTTGTGAAGATATGAGTGAACGAATTATAAACGATGAACATTTCTATTCAACACTTGCTTTTCCGACGAATGTTCCTTTTTCTTAAATGGCATAGTAAACCGTGATAACTGCCGATATTGGTCCGATTCTAATCCTAGAATTTATCATGAGGTTCATACACAACAGCCACAAAAATTAAATGTTTGGGCTGGTATTTTTGGCGATCATTTAGTTGGTCCTTTTTTCTTACCTGGAAATTTGACCGGTGAAATGTATTTGGAATTACTGGAAGACGCCATAGATCCTGCATTAACAGCCATAATTGAAAATCAGAATGATCGGCAGTACATTGCGAATAGGTTGATGTTCCAACAGGATGGTGCCCCACCACATTACGCATTACGTGTTCGACAATATTTAGATCAGACGTTTCCAGATCGATGGATTCGTAGAAGAGGTGCCATTGAATGGCCCCCAAGATCGCCAGATTTATCAAGTTTGGATTTCTTTATGTGGGGTCATTTAAAAAGCAAAAATCTATGCTACTCAGCCAACATCATTAGAAGACCTGCGACAAAGAATTGTGAATGAGTGCCTTCAAATTACTCCCAAAAATATTGCAAAATGTGCGGCAACGTTTTGAGCAAAATCTTTATTATTATAAATGTATTGATATCCACTAATGATGATTAGTTTTATTTAAGCTATCTTCAAAACTACTGAATTGAAGTACATTAATTTTATATCATTATAAAGGGAATTGAAAGACCTTTAAAATAAGGTATCACTCGATCCCCCTTTCCATTTAAGATTTTAGGGTTGGTGTCAAACTTGTGTCCCCCTCGAAAACAAAATCGACGGGTCTGAGCGTTTTTCCAAAAAAAAAGAAAAACAGAGCTTCGTTTTCGATGCGCCACCCTGTATTGTATGTTCATGTGATTTTTATTATATCGTTAGGTCCACTAAGTACATTAAACATGAGTTACTTTTCGTAACATGGCGTACCTACAGGGGCCATAGCCCAAACTTCAACACCCTGTATCTCCAATAGAAAGCAATTCTGGGCTTTGCACCCATTGGAAAATTTGGTTACCACAACGTGAACTACTAGACGAATTTTTTAACACTAATTTATAACACGTGCAACAAATTTATTACTATGTCGACTGGACTATTATTCCATCTTAATTCCGAGTTTGCTGTCAACTGACTGCTTCCGCCATCTGGCCGGGTATTTATTCCCCTATCGACGAGTCGAGAAATATTACAGCGTTTTCCAGGCCGCGTCACGAACTTTCATGGAAATGGTCTAGATGGCAGTGGATTCATCTCCAGACGCGATGGCGACGCGAACGCCCTAGAACACGGCCACGCTCCATACATGGTTGCGTAATTCTGGTGGCCTAAGCAACGACGTTACTGGACACCTGACTAATCTTCTAGTCGATATACTAGACTGTCTCGCTGGTTCCCTGGGTGCCGCCAATTATAGAAGGACGTTATAGAATTTTGCTATATGGACGCCCATGGAGACATACATGGAGTAATTTCGTAATATTTCGTTTTAGGTAGACAACTATGAACCAAAAGAATTCACATTCCACGTGAAAACATCTGCAGATGCTCAGTTCAACAATATCCAGTATTTGTATATAGGACGTAATGAATCTATGACTGAAGGCTTTATTGGATGTGTGTCCAGGGTGGAATTTGATGATATATATCCACTCAAATTGCTTTTCCAGCAACAAGGTCCAGGAAACGTCAGATCAATCGGGGGTAAAATCTTTTTTCTGAATTCTTGCAAAAAGTGGAAAAGATTGATTCTGTATGCCCAGAAACCTTTATTATATATATTATACTCAAAAATGATGAAATCATTGTTGGATTGGATTTTTTGTTTCCATTTTTTATACTTACTATTTAGGTTGCATATCATAAATGCATGCTATATTTTTCAATTTGAAATTTTGTATTTAGGTCATTTGAATGAAGACTATTGTGGAGTAGAACCTATCACCAATCCTCCTGAACAGTCTGAAACTAGGCCTCCACCACCTATAGATGAGGATAAATTAAGAAGAGCATACAACCAGGTTGATTCCGCACTCATAGGAAGTAAGTTTATTTCCTCTCGACCGAGAGCATTGTATAGGAATAGTCATACATTTTGAATTCAAAGCTAAAAGTAAAAAGGCCCAACAGAAAACAGTGAATTAGTATAAAAATAATATTTAAAGGCATATATTACAAAAAAAAGTTATTTACTATTAAAAACACTTTGAGAGATTCGTAAATGTCTTCAGATTTTAAGAAACAATTAACAACAGTATCGACAGCAGATATCCCCATTCGCAAATACCTAAAAATTACCGCTACTAGGAAGTGCCATTATGTTATTTTTCCTGCAGGTATTCTAGCGATCCTATTCCTGCTCTTGGTCTTAGCAGTGCTGCTAATAGGCAGATACCTTCATCGACACAAGGGCGAGTACGTGACCCAAGAAGACGCGGGAGCAGAAATGGCCCCTGATCCTGACACTGCGGTGGTCCAAGGGGCCACTGGCCATCACGTCGAACCCAAAAGAGAATGGTTCATATAGGCTGATTGACAGAATCATACCATAGACTGGATATAATGTAAGGGATAATGTTGTCGAGTATTTTCTAAAGATTTTATACGCGAACCAGTACGGAGCAACGAGTCATTGTAATGATTGTGTGCATTATTTTCATAGATCTTAAAGGTTGAATCAGTTAACAAAACATTTGAAACAACTTATTATTTTGTTTGATTATTTGTGTTTTGTACGAGATTTTACCTGACGATATCTCAGTGTTGGTTGGGTCGGTTAGACAGGATGATCTATTTGGCCCAGCGAGAGAATGCAGACGAGCAAACGACGAGAGGTACTGCAGAAATCGGTAGGAGTGTCGGTATTGTCTGAGAAACTATCGTTTTCATCAGATCCTTCTCAGTTAACGAGAGTTTGCCACTGTCAGATATTCAACAAAAACGCCATCCTTACCATTTAGCATTCAGGTACAGTGTTGCCTTTCAGAACAGCTTGACAGTTTTTTAGAGACATTCAGCATGTTTATGACTTTCGAATACCCCAATATCTTAAGGATATTGAAGAAAAAAATTATGCATTAAAGTGCATGTCGCGTAGCGGATACTTTCTTGCGTCCTGTAATATTTTTAATAAATACGCTCCAAATTGCAGCTATACAGGGTGTTCCTTAATGACACGCTAATATTTAAGGTGGTCTTATTTTAAGAAAAGAAAAAATAGGAACGTGTCCAAAACGTCTTAACAAAAAATCTGAATTTTATAACTGTGATAATGAACTTTGGTACACATCAAGGTGCGTTTTCTGATGTACAAACAATTTTATAATTCCTACCGAGCGGGTTTTGCATTGAATATTTTTGGCGAAAAAATTTTATGCCACTCTCACTCTTTCCCTTCAAATAAAAACCATTTTTGATGTCCTTATGCATTTTTGAGCAAATTTGATGTCATGATATTCTTTCGTCCGACGCATGGTTTTCACTTGAAAAAATAAGAATCGTTTTACTATAGGGTCAAATCTATTTGTATTCCATGTACAACGTCGCTATCTCCCGCCCAAATGACGTTGCCGTGCGTTCTCTTGCTGGGCCAATAATAACTCATGTTCTAAATAATTTTGGTGATGAAAAAAGAATCTCAATTCAATAATTGTGTTACTTCTCGGCCTATATATTGTTAAAATTGATAGATGAACCTTTGTGTGTGTGTGGTCAGTATTTGAAAACAAAAAGAAAAAGTACTCATATCGAGACGTCAATTACAAAAGGTTGTTATTTGTAATTCTGTTTATATAACTCAACGCATGGAATGCTTTGATTGACTTGCTATTCAGACAGGATAAATCTTTACTTTTTAAAATTTGGGTTTTTAGTATTTTGCGTATCGATTAAATTTTGTTTATAAAAGTGATTCGAAACGATCTTTTGATATGCGGAAAAATTGATATTACAGTATATACCCTAATAATCTTAATATATTGACATTTTTTATTAGATACTAAGTAAAATGTATATTTTGCGGTGCGGTAAGATTTAGTCTTAATTATCAAATATGCCAAATACCATACCTAGTTGTTACATTAAAAACATTCAAAATGTACTCCACTTTTTCTTACCAAAATTTGACTGATTCTATAAGCTGGCATTCCATATTTCTTTCAACACTAGTTTTATAATGATAAAGAGTACAAGCTACTTACATATTAATGAAAATTTTTTTGAGCATCACAAAGATGTTATCTGAGGTGGTTCCCAATATCGACTTTCTTTAGGTTTTTTCGTTTTTTTCTTGTTTTTACTTTTTGAAATCATAGGCAATTAATATTGCGAATCTTTCACAACCATTACATATGATGGAAACTAAAAATAGTTATTTGGTTCATCTGAGCATTGTACTAAAATGATTATACAGAACCACCTTTTTTAACGTCAAATGTTCAAAATTGTTTATAGTATTTAGTTAGGCTGCATAATGCATGTATGATATTTCCACTCAAAAGCTTGGATAATTTCTTCAAGAATCATTCCCTTATTCTATTCCACTTAGGATTCGTACTATAATTTTTAGATATTTGTATTATATGTAATTTTGTATCATTCTTGCTTTTGAGTCAACATAGAATCTCATTTATTATTTTTATATTTTGTTTATGGTTTTTGTGTTCATTGCACTTATATGTGCAATTTTCAGTATTTGTTTTCCGTCCATTTTGCCAATGTATTAATTTATTCCCTTTATTTTGAAAAAATAATTTGATTTTCTAAAAATCTTAATATGATATACATACTTTTTTATAATTTTTATTTGTATTTTAATATATTGGAGGTTTCATTTAAATTTTCAATAACAAGTGCCTTTGGCATTTTGTTTTATCTTTCTCCTACCACTTGTAGTATATTAGCCATAGGCATTTTTTAAATAAAGTGTTATAATAATACAGTAATCTGATTTATTTTATTTTTAAACATCCTGTATATAAAAGGTCTGTGGCAAAGTAGACAGATATCCGATACAAGTAGCGCCATCTATTATCGGAGACTAGCGTTGCGTAGGTCCATCTTTAATTGATGCCCTGTCAAAATTACAGTACCTTTTTAGCATCGAACAAAGAGCCAATATTAAGTTCTGTGTTAAACTTGGTAAAACATCCACCGAAATGTGTTTTACACGGTTCAAAGAGGGTCGTGAGTCGCTCGAAGACGGCGAACATGTTGGCCAGCCAAAATTTGTGATTACACCAGAAACCGTTGAGAAAGTGCGTGAATTTACCAAAAATGATCCAAAATCATCATTGAGATACATAAAAATGGAATTAAATATCTCTAAAGATTCAACCCATCGCAGTTTGACCAAGAATTTTGAGGAAGGTGTGTTCACGCTTTGTTGCGCACAAGCTTACGGATGACCAAAAATTGCTTCGAATTCAACATTCGAGAGACATTAAAGAGACAAAAACATTCTGTACAACATTGTGACGGTGACGAAACATGGTGTTTTCAATACGATCCCGACACCAAGCGTCAAACTGCCAAATGGAAGCACCCAAGCGAGTGAAGTCGGAAATTGGAAAAGTGAAGACAATGTTGATTTGTTCCTACAATTCGGAGGGAATTATACTAAGTGACATATAAATCCGAACACCCAGTTTAAATGGTTTTATTTTAATAAAATTTTGTATAAGTACTTAATGAAGCATGATAAGTAAATGATAAAAATTTCAAAATGATTGCACTGCTTTAAAGCCCTTTGACCTTTAATAATGTGTGGATGCACCCTGATGTGCTACGAATTCTCCTACGCGCCTAGGAATGCTTCTGATCAGGTGGTCACTATCCTCCTGTGGTATCTCATTCCAGGCAACCACCAATTCTTCTCAAAGTGCTTCTAGAGTCTGAGGAGGACGTTGCAAATTGAGCAATCTCCTACCCATCATATCCCACACGTGCTCAATTGGGGATAAGTCGGGAGATCTTGGTGGCCATGGTAACAATGTGACATCATTATGTTGAAAGAACTCTATTGTGACTCTTGCAGCATGTGGTCGGGCGTTATCTTGTTGGAAAGTTGGATCTGCCAGGGTGTCAAGATAGAGTAAAAGATGGGGTTCTAGAACTTCGTGGATATAACGCTGCGCGTTCATGTTACCTCTGATGAAGATTAAGGGTGACCTGGAACCATAAGCTATAGCACCCCAAACCATAACTCCAACAGTGTGATGAACATGTCTTTCAACAAAAAACTTTGGATTCCTGCTTTCACCACGTCACCTTCTAACCCTGGCACGACCATCGTGCATGCCCAAACAAAATCGAGACTCGTCACTAAAGACAATACTGTTCTATTCCTGATCCCAGAGTGACCGTTGTCTGCACCACTCAAGGCGATTACGTCGGTGTTCTCGAGTTAAAGGGAGGACCCAGTGTGGCCGGTATGAAAACAAGCCAAAACTTCTCATTCGTCGGTAAACACTTCGCATGCCAATAGGTCTTCCGTGTTCTGCAAACCATTCATTTGCAATGGACCAGGTAGTGTAGAAACGGTCCCTTAAGGCCAATAATCTTAGGCGGCGATCTTCACGGTCTGTTGTTCTACGGCGGCGTCCAGTGCCCCTTGCTCTTTGCGTACGGCCTTCTCGAAGCCATGCCTGACAACACCTAACCACAGTGTCTACACTTCTTTGCACTCTAACTGCAATTGCCCGAAATGAAAGTCCAGCTTCCCGAAGTCCCACTATACGGCCCCTATCAAACTCACTAAGTTGACGAAATCGTACAGGTCTCCGTACTCTAGGCATCGTAACCGATCGTAAAGGATGTCAAGAACCAAAATCCGCCAACGTTGATTCTTTACTGCGGCTGAAATATTCATTTTTAGAGCGTTAGTGAATTAAAAAAAAGCAGTATAAAAACCGGAATGTCCAACTGATAAGGCTGAAAATCTTTTCACTTGTTATTTACAGTAAGATAAACACATTCACCAACTTTTATTAAAATAAAACCATTTAAAGTGGGTGTTCGGATTTATATGTCACTTAGTATATTTACAAAAAATTGGTTCCGCCGGGTCACACGGTTAATGCTGTGTTTTATCTTGGTATTAAGAGGCGTTTGCTGTCGCGTATTCGGCCAGAAGCTGGCGTATGTGCCCGATTTTTTTCCAAAAAAATTGCATTTTAACCATCAACCTTCTCCCATATTCTCCTGCTATGGCAACGTGTGACTATTTTCTGTTCGGTAAACTACATTTTGCCATGAAGGGACAGCGGTAAGCCGACGTAGGAGCCATCCAAAAGGCGTCGATGACCATTTTGAAGGACAGCCTGGTCAAAGAGCTAAAATCATCATTCGAAAATCTTTTAGTCCGTGCAAATCGCTGTATTATCTCTGAAAGAGACTATTTTGAATGAAATAAATTCGATTTTCCGAAACAAAAATGTTTGTTCATTTTTTTCTTAGTCCTATTTCCTTGTATCAAAATGAAATGCGTCTGAATCGTAAAAGAGAAATATATTCACGGTAGTTAATAATTACAAGTCAACAAACATAAAATACTTCAAAGAAAACATGAAAACAGTTATCACAAACCTTAAATACATATATGTCTAACACTATGCTATTTGGTTTATTTTTATCTACATACTTTTGATATAACACATTACAGATCTGATTTTTACAGGTAAAATGCAACAATACATTTGATATTTTGATCCATTACTCGGCCTATGAAACAAAAAATCTGAAAATTCGGATTGTTAAGTGCTACAGCTAAAACATTCAATACTAGTGACTAACTTAAATAATACTGATTTATCTGATATTCTTCCTCAACCAGTTGACGACAGAATCCAGATGCTTAGTTTTCCAATTGATACGGACTTTCATTCTGTCAACAGCCCCTTGCAAGATGTTAGAGACTGTCTTCAAATCATTTTGGTGCAGTTTGTAGAACGTTGTGAGCTACAAATAAATAATATTAATATTTTTTCCAGGAAGGGTCGATTAAACAGGCAAAATGGGAGTGGCTGGTACCATCTTGTGGATGCCCTTGTGCCTATAGCAATTTTATTTACTTTGGTTCTATATGGAAATATGCAAAGTGAGAATGGTGACAGTTTTTAGGTGCTGTGCTGGTGTAACATGTTGGCAACGCGGCAGATTGTACGACCTTCTGCTTAACCGTTGCTAGGCAATATGGTGATGACCTTCGCTCTTCAACCAGCTTCTATCTCTTTCTAACATTTGTTTATACACACTTCTCGCGCTTCTCTCTCGTACACATTGAACTCAAGCCGTCAGACAAATTAGGTTTTCCCTGTATACGGATGAAATTTTTTTGATGAGTACTTACGTCTTCCAAATCTACTTCTGTCGAAAGCGAGCTGAGGAAGTCATGGAAAATGGTACTAAGTACTAAGTACACCTCCTCATATGTTTTGTATATTCTGTCCCAATTTAGTCTAAGGAATTGGAAGCCTGTTCTTACACCGACGGGATGCCTAATGGACTGCCAAACAAACGGAACATAGTCCAAGCTCACGTTACCTGCCAAGGAATATTCTAAATACCTAAAACAAAAAATATCTCATTCTTTATATCAGTATCTGTGCTTTGACAGTTTAGCTCCAGCGTTTTTAAATTGACATAGTTTAGTGTCTGATTTCCTTTGGATGATCACCAAGTTCACCTGTTAGGGAGAAATGGAAACGTTAAAAAAATATGTTTCTATTCGGAATTTCTCGGGATCTTAAGCAAATTCACTGTTTGAGAATTGACCAAAAATATGACAGTTTCGTACCTATTTATCAACCAGGGATCGTAGGTACAGCCAAGACTCAGATATGCAGTCTGGAGATCGACTGGCGATATTTTTGGTGATAATGTCCTGTTCCATAAGAAGTCCCATTCGTAAGGTCCCCCAGCCTTGATAGCCGTGCATTGTGCTATGAAGCGGTAGTCTATTGATATTCTGGAACGAATAGATATTGACTTCAATACACTTCGTGTCAAATATAGCGCCACACTGTTTTGGAAGTCCTACTTTGCTTTTTAAGCTACAAATGTGCAAACTCCCTGTTACCCCCATTTTGATTCAAAATTCAACAGTACAAAGTATGATCCAATTGTAGGAGAAGTAAAGCATCATTGAGCCGTATTCATAAAACAAAGGATAACCTTGTACTTGAAAATCCTCCAGATGGTATTTATAATAATTTGAAGTAAATGCTTTTGCTTTTTGAGTATAAGCATATCCTTCAAAGCAGTGACATAAGTAAAAGGATAATCTTCACCTTATACTTGGCATAGGAAACACATCCTTCAAAAATTCTGAGTGTGGTCAGTAGCAGACTCAACTTCGTAACGAAAGGTGGTCAAACGATGATGGCGGAAATTGTGGATGTTAGGGATGTTAAAACGTACAAACCTCGTTTACCTTCACTTGATCGTGACTTCAAAAAATTATATCGGTTCGAAGAAGCAAATGCACAATGGCTTGCGGACAGATTTTTCGTTGAGAATGAGGAAACTCGAGGAGGAGCACTTTCATGTATTCATAAAATGAATATATGTCTACGCTATCTCGGTGACCCTGGATATTAACAAGGTATTGGTCAGGAACTTGGTGTTAGTCAAGCAATGGTGTAATTGATTGTACACATAGAGGAATCCTGAAACCAACTCGCCATGGAGATGAGTATATCAACCGAAAAGGGAAACCTACTTTAAATGTACAAGCCTCTTGTGATGCCAGCGAGATGTTGATGTCAGTTGGCCTGGATCAGTGCATGATTCCAGAATATGGTTAAATTCACAGACTAGATCACAACTAATAAATAAAGCAAATGTTGTACTACTTGGCGATGACGGTTATGATATTGAGCCTTGCCTTATGACTCCCTTCAGAAATCCTACTCCAGGTGCAGAAATAAATTATAATTAGCTTTTAAAACAAGGAAGAGTTATAATTGAACGCTGTTTCAGCCAACTGAAACGCCAGTTTCCTATCCTACAGTATGTTTGCCGCGTAAAGTTGGAAAATGAGCCGAAAATAATTATTGCTTGTATTGTACTCCATAATGTTGCGAAGAGATTGGGCGATCCTGACTTTGAATTAGTTGAACAAGACCCAGATGAAGGTGAAGGAAATCATGAGAATGACGAACTTCCTCTCCGCCAACTAGGTCAACAAATAAGAAGAAACTTGAGTATTATTACTGATTAAAGTGTATTTAAAAGTTATAAGTTTTATTTTCGTGGATTCTGACGCTGCATCATTTCTAATTTCGTTTTATAATACTCTTGTTGCAAAATACTTGTTTGATACTGCTGTAATAGCACTAGACGCTGCAGATCTTTTGTAGTTAACCCTTTGGTTTCCTCAGTTTCGTATTTCTCTGTTGCTAATTTTCATTTTGGTGGCAATGTCTTCTGAATTGCTGGTGCTGTAATACTAACTGTTTACTCACTGCGCTCGGTATATAGTTCACTTCCTTCTTCTTGAACACTACCACCCTAAATGGCACCTGTAATTTTCCCAATTGTAGGATTACAGTCACCTTCCATAGCTTTCAGCAACTTTTTTTTCGTAATCTAACAATTTAATTGCTTTATTACCAGTTTTTTAGATCTGTTTTTTTCTTCAATCTTGATTTCATGTTGTTGATGTTTTTAATAAGCCTTTAGTATCTAATGGTTTACCGAATGTTGATTCGTATTTTTTCAACGTCTTCTTCAAGGCATCGTCCTTTCTCATTTTTATTTTTGGAACTGGTGACTTTTGCAAAATAATGGGAGCAATGGCAATTTCTTCTGCGATGAACTGCAGGTCGTTGCCATTATTTTCTATAGTTTCCTCATCACTTGAGAATGACATGCTTAGTAATTTGATAAAATACTGTATCCAGTAAAAATACGGAACGGTCTGTGTAAGCTCTGGAGTACAACTCTCAGTGATGCTAAGTTAATGAACTTCCACGTCAACTACAAGCTGAAACAAGTCAGGACATATCGCTCAAGATACAAATACCAGTCAACCTTTTACTTCTTCTTGGAGGATATCCTCGCGAGTATAAGGTAATCATTATGAATGTGAAAACAAGGATATGCTTATACTTCTACCTTTTTCTCCGAAGCAAGACTTTATACTTTTACCTTATGCTTCCGAGGATATGCTTCTCTTTTATGAATACGGCTCAATGTCTGGAAGCACTACTTCTCTGTGATTATAAAACCCCATACTTCGAACATTAGTTTTAAGCCATTGGCCTGAACATTATGATAAGCGATCAAGTTATGGATTATAATGTAAGTTTAAGCAACTTACGGGTTCATACTATCTGGATCAATTTCATGCATCCACTGGAAGTACTGCTCCCTTGCCCAGGAAATGCACTTGCCGTACCTCAGGCGACACGCAGCTGTCACCACGTGCAACCGCATCAACTTTTCATTCTGGGTGTCGTAAGGTCGTTGCTCGGTGCCCAGATCATGGAACATGGGCTTCACTAACTTCAGGATGAAGTTATCGTACAAGCCAGAGTACTCGTAGTTGCTGATTATCAAGCGGAGTTCTTCCATGTTTCTCAAGGCACTGTACCTGTTTCAAAAAAATGCATAATCAGATATAATGACCAAATCAATCCCTAAATGTATTTTCTACCCCTCTTAAAGCTGTAACGTCAACGTTTTTTCCATCTGAACAGAGAAGAGACAGGCATATTGTGACAAATAGCGCCATCTGTTGGGCGAGTCTCCTACTCGCCAGAGCTTAATTGCTGATCTCTGCTTTTATGCGAACCACGGCGCATAAGCCGCCTGGCGGCGTCTGTGAGCACCGTGACAGTGGATCGCCTTCTAGATCGACGCGAAGTGATCTCCAACATTCTAGATGTCGCTTTGTGGTACACCCGGTTTTTTCTCGAAGCCGTAATGGGGACTATGGGACTACATATAACTCCGCGGCCGGGAGATGGAGGGGAGTACGAAATACGGTAGAGTAGCACAGCGGAGTGAGGTATAGTACAGTCAATGGTGGCATAAGAATTAGTCAGACATAAATAGTGGTGTATATAAAAGTTTTATCAAGTTAAATAAATCAGTGCATTTCTTTATGTGAATCCAGTGTTCTAATCCACACCCAAAAGAAACCAGAAAAACGCTACAATATAAACCGACAGAAATATATGATTGTTGTGATGTATGAGATTATAATACTTTCTCGTTAATTGCTGTGGGAAGTACAAATTCATGAGTATATTATATTTATTTTCTTACGACTCTTAAAAAAACACTATTTTATATACAGGGTGTCCCAGAAGTCGACGCAAGCTGGAAACGGGGGATAGGCCAAGTCATAATAGCTACCAATATAAAAAAAATCATCGTGTACTGTTTAAATTATATACTTTAAGAAACATCGGAAGAATCTACACCCTCTGATGATGAATACATAGGAAAATGTCAGTAGGTCTGTAGCTCTTATATAAGTAGCTTACATGTTACAGAGGGCTTCATAAATAATAGAAATAATCATCAATTTAATACCAACTCGACTTTGATCTACTGGATCTTACCATGGTATATAATTTGGTTCAGTGATGTAAAGGTATTTGACCAAATCGAAGGCAACTGTGTAGTTGATTGCTCCTGCATCAGCTAGTTGGAAGGCATCGTCGATAAGCTGTCCTCTGGTGGCCACAGGGATCTGATCTGGACCTTTACGGAGTTGGATCACCAGTAAACGCCAGTTGCGACGATCGTAGTTCACGCGGTAGAACCCTGCAAAAAGAAACAAGCTAGAGTCGATTTAGAAATTCCGAAACGTTTACATGTCAGAATAAAGGATTTCTTTCTATTCGTCATTGTCTGTCAGAGGGGTCCTTAGGACCTTTGCTCTTAGTTAAGGTCTTGTAAATCAGTAGGTCTGTCAGGTCTGGTTGCCCAGATACCAAACAAAGTCAGGGAGAAAGAAGGGAAGAAGAAAGGAAGGAAGGAGGGACGGCAAAGAAAAAAGAAGTGCGTCAATTTGAGGGGTGTCTTGGAATTGCTAATTAGTATTCGGCAATTGTAAATTGATCCTAAAATTAATTTTGAGATTGGTTGTTGAAGAAAAATTATAATTTTTGTTGGACCTAAAGTCGCACGATTTAATTTTGTTCACATTGCGAGTCGCGGCCTTGTGTGCTTGCGAACCTGCTCGACTATCTACTGACTCGCACAAAAAAGGATTGCTAAGCGATTCCGCTTGACTATAACGTAGCTGCGCTTGTTGTTGGATGTAGTCCCTTAGGTAAGGGATGTCAAGGTCTCTGTGAAGGGTCTCGTTGGGAACATACCACGGAGCGTTAGTGATTGCAGGCAAGGTTCTGTTCTGCAAAACCTGCAGCGTACGCAAATGCGTTTTGGCGATAAAACACCAAGCTGCATTGCGTAAGTGATCGCTGGTCTAATAACGATCTTGTATAGTCGAACTTTGTTGATCAAACTTAATTTTGATGTTCTACATAGCATAGGGTGGAGTTGCCGAAACGAGATTTGGAATTTAGTTTTTAACGCTTCAGTATGCTTCTGCCAGGTCATCCCCTTGTCAAGAGTGACACCGAGATACTTAGCAGAGCTTTCCCATGGTACCCGAGCTCCATTCACTGAAACCTCAGACGGGGCACCGCTACGTTTTTTAGTACAATCTACAATAGATTGACTGCGTTTTCGAATGATTCATTTTGATCAGCCACCGATTCGCCCATTCCAATACCTCGTCCACTGCACTTTGCAGCCTGTCGGGAACTAGATCCCCAGAGCACGACTGGGCTACCAGGGCAGTGTCATCAGCATAGAGATAGGTTTCACAGTTGCTGGGGCAAGGGACATGAATAAAAAGTGAATAAAGGACTGGTCCAAGAACCGAACCCTGAGGGACACCGGCTTTGATGGGCCGTGTTGTCGACAGAACGTTATTAATTTTGATCCGAAATTTCCTACCCTCGAGGAAGGATTTCACAAGTTTTATGAGCCAGAAGGGGAAGCCCTTTTGGATCAATTTGTAGAGAAGGCCCTTGTGCCACACCTTGTCAAATGCCTTTGAGACATCCAGAAGCAAGATGCCAGTACTTTCGTTACGGGTGAACCCACTGGTTACTCGTTCAACAAGCCTTATGGCCTGTAGCTCCGTACTATGCTCAGACCGAAAGCCAAATTGCACGTTGGGAATCACATTGTGGTCTGACGAGAAATTTTCAAAGTGACGTAGAATCACCTTTTCAGCGAACTTAGAAGGAGCTGACAGTAGGGGGCGGTAATCCTGGGGGAATATCGAACCCACCTTCTTTAGAATCATTATGATATCAGCGGTGTTCGACGCCGCTGGGAAAAAGGATGAAGGCGGTCATCTAACAGATTTGGATGTTTCAAAAAAACCTTGTGCTCGATAGAGAATAGCACCAAGACTTAGAGGCACCAAACTGAATTTTATTTTTGATGAAGATTGAAATGATAGGAGAAAACATGTTTCTCATAAAAACGACTTTTATCGACCCTGAAAATAACTCGAATTTCATCTACAAAATGGTTTTATTTAAATATTTGACATCTATTTTAAATTTTCATCATCTTTCTTTTGATTTTAGTACTTAATTGTCATTAAAAATCCCCAATTACGCGATTTTAGCTTTTTGCTCGAAATTCACCCATTTTCGAATATGTACCTCACTATTTTTATATGAACATATGCTCGCAAGAATTCCTACTCTGAATCTATAATAAAACACACTGAGACACAAAACATATACAGGGTGTTTATTTGAAAACTTCCCAGCACGGATTTATCGAAAACCACTGATTAAAAGAAAAAACGCCGAGATACTTCAAAAGATATGTCAAGGGTAACAACTTTTTAACCAAAAACTACTTCACCCCCTTCCACCCTCTGCCCCCCAGGGTCATTCCCTTAAAAATTTTAAATGACAAGGTGTATCGAATAATAGCTTGTTTGAAAGGTCTTTGGAAGTCCTTTATTTTGACGTTTGATTTTTTTAAATCGGTCGATTCTTTTTCGAGAAAATTAGAAAAATATTTATCTTAATTTGTTCAGATAGAAAACAAAAACACACGAAATTTCACTTTTTATTTCAATAAGTGTTCGAAAGGGTTTGCCAGATATGTAATTCGTTTATAATTTAAATATAATTCGGAAGATTAGGCAACCAAATAACAACCCGAATTTTTTTCCACATTCTTTCATCAACACAGATATCGTGGGCGAACTGTATTTATTGTTGTACCTGTTTAGATATTTGTTGCTAAGGGAAATAAATAATTAAATTTGCTATGTTAATCTTGGGATAGTGAAAATTAATTTACTGATCCAGATTTTACTTCCACATTAGCCGAAAGAGTAGATAGATAGATAGATAGATAGATAGTTTATTGTCCTATTAGATCATGTTACATGATATAAGACTTGTCAATATCAATTTGAGGGTCATATATGCGTTTGAGCAAATATGCCAGAAAAATACTTATAATTATAAAATAAACAAGGACATTACAATTACAAAACATTTTAAAAGGTTAAATCACATTATAGGTACAGGTACAGTGCAAGAATCGTAATGTGTAAAAGTATATACGTATACATATACAGCGACTTTTTTTATCACAAAAAATGTTCGTCTAGCCGGTAAAAATCATTGAAGCTGATACAAAGAAAAGAAAAGCGGTAGGAGAATCTGTTGAAATACATAATATATAAACACAATAAACATCGAGCAGTGAGGACAAATGGTTAAAAGCTTAAAAAGAAAACATATATACTTTCGTTAAAACTCGAATAAAAAGTGAAATTAAAATACATTTACTCCACGATAATAGGCAATTCACTGATAACGAAATGATTAACAGCTTAAAAGAATTTAAAAAAACAGATACTTTCATGTGTTAGCAAAACTCATGTAGAGAGTAATAGCATTTTTCAACCAGATATTTCCTGAGATGTTTTTTCAGCGCAAGGATATTAGTGCTTCTCCGCAACTCACTCGGCAGATTATTGTATACCTTAGTGCACGCTAGAGTGGGAGATTTTTTTAATAGGGCAGAGTTATGTGTCGGTATACTCAGATCATGCCCTATTCTAGTGTTGTATTGACTATTAATGGCGTTGTTACGAACAAATCTATTGCTATGTTCAAATGCGAAGATGGCACATTTGTAGATATAGATGGAAGTTAATGTAAGCAGATTATAGCGTCTAAATATTTCTTTACAAGAGTCCCTCTTATTAATATTAAAAATTAATCGAAGTACTCTTTTCTGCAGGATGAATAATCTGTTAATCATTGTTGCCTGTCCCCATATGATTATATTGTTAGTGAGGTGAGAATAAACTAGCGCGTAGTACATATCTAAGAGTGAGTTTAGATGGATGTTAGGCTTTAATTTCAATATTGCAACATAAGCACTGTTAATTTTGTTGCAAATGTGATTTATTTGTGGTTGCCAGCTTAACTTACTATCAACATGAGTTCCTAAGAAGACAGTTTGATCTGAAAAGCTATCAATATCCATGCGTGGTTTCTTGTTGAAGAAATGAATTTCAACAGTCTTATCTTCATTCAAAATGAGGCGGTTAGACTGGCACCACTTGCTCATTTCACTTTTGACTTTCTCAATAGATTCGAGAAGATCCTGCGGTGTCGTGGCACTGACGACGATAGATGTGTCATCCGCAAAATTAATCATGAAGCCAGACAATTTCAAGTCATTTATGTATACAATGAAGAGCAGTGGTGCAAGTACTGAGCCTTGTGCCGCACCTATATTCACGGAATATTGAGTTGACGTATGACCATTGACCTTCGTTTTCAATTTTCTATCGTGAGGAAAGACTGGATCCAGCTGAGAATAAAATCCCTTATACCTAAGCAGTACAATTTTTCCACGATAAACGAAATATCCATTATATCGAATGCTTTCGAAAGGTCAAAAAATAGTCCAGCAACGTATCGGTTTTCGTCTACTTCTCTATATATATGGGAAAAAAAGTCAAAGGTCGCCGTTTCTATAGATCGTGAAGGTCTAAACCCATGCTGGGTGGAAATGATTCTAATTTATGATGCCCAAAATCAATGTGGTCGGCAAACTGCCGCCACTTTTAACGCCTGACATCCGGTTAAGATAATTTCGCATAGGTATGTATTGGACCTTGTTACTAAATTTACTCAAACTGGATCTGTTGCAAATAAAAAACGTGATCATCGGAGAGTTTTGGATGAAGCGGCTCAAGTTGAAGTTTTGGGTCATTTTGGAATAAATCCTAATACTTCATTACGCAAAATTGTTGCTGCAACTGGCATTTCATTAGGCTCTGTACACACATTACTAAACTCCGCAAAAAGTTATCTTTTGCCCATAAGAAAAATTTCTGTGGGCGACCGTGTTTTCCACTCACCTGTTTCATCAATATTAAGCAAGATCCAAGAATCATTTCCAGTTCCAGAGAGGTTCAACTTGGTCTCCCTATTATTCTCCAACCATATCACCCTTATCCTGTTATCTTCCTTGGTGGTATACGTCACCGGAACATACCACAGAGCGTCTGATGTGGTGTTCTCCAAGTTTTCAGTGAACTTGGTCTGGTTCAGCACAGCCGTTTGAGAATCGTAGTCTCTAGTGATGGTCACTATTGGGTATCCGCTTTGAGTGGACCAAGAGTGCATGAGAGCCTTGACTGTCACCGTTTCAGGGATGATGCTTTCGTTACGAGCTGTTCGGGTGTAGAGCGACCAGAGGTCGTCTTGACTGGCTGAACTGTATGCACTGTAAAAAATTTCATCAAGTAGATTGGCTCGATAGTGTGATCAGGATGAAAACTTAGTCCTGCTCAGACTTTATTTGATCGTTATATTCTAATCCATCAGTGTTCCAAACAAAAATGGAAATTTTGCATGCCAAATTTGAGGAATTGTTCAAAAAGAGCTTCTATTATCTAATTCCTAACCGTGTAGAACGTCGTACATCAAGCACTGGCCGATACGATCGCTCATTTATCCCTAGGGAGTCCAGATTGTGAGACAATCCACATGGGGACGATTTTCCCAGTTCTACTAACCTTAGGCAGATCAAAAATCGGATTAACAAAGTTTCTTTCAGGTCCTAAAAAATGTTCGGACCCACGAAACTTGAGAAATTTTCTATATAGCGAAATCGAATTCAAACGTCCTAAATTATATATGTGTATCTACGAAACACGGAAATGGAAATATGTATATATATATATATATATATATATATATATATATTAGGCGAATATTTGCGTCCCGTGTAAATTGCACTGGACAACAAATTTTACTTTTTTAATTGTATCTTGTGGGAAAAGTGCACTTCTTTGTTAATTTTGGGGCGCTGAATCCAAAAATGACAATGAAATAAAAAAATTAGTTGCGGTTTAGAAAAAAAACTTTTTATTTTTAAGGATATATTAAAAAAAGTAACAATATTCATATACTTATAAGAATCACTATATGCGCTGTCTTTTTGCTGTTCTTTTATGGATCGTTTCTGGAGCATCTCTACCAAGAGTCCAACCGTAGTCTGCAAGCATGGAAGGATTCCACTTTCCCTGGTACCTTTTTTCCATTGTTGAAATATCCTGATGAAAACGTTCGCCGTGCTCATCACTTACGGCTCCGCAATTGTCAGGAAAAAAGTCCAGGTGTGAGTGTAGGAAATGTATCTTAAGATACATACTACAGCCCATCTTTTGATACGATGACAGAATATTTTTGACAAGGGTTTTATAGTTGTCAGCTTTTCTATTTCCCAAGAAATTAGTGACCACCAGACGGAAATCATTCCAAGCAGTTTTTTCAATACCTGTTAAAGTGTTTTCAAACTGTGTATCTTTCAAAATATTTCGAATCTGTGGCCCAACAAAAATACCTTCTTTAACCTTTGCCTCACTTAGTCTTGGACATTTCTGACGCAGGTATTGAAAAGCTGACCCATCTCTATCTAATGCCTTGACAAAGTTTTTCATTAGGCCCAACTTGATATGCAGTGGTGGTAATAAAATTTTTTTCGAATCTACTAATGGCATATGCTGTACATTTTTTTGACCTGGCTCTAGGAATTGACGAACAGGCCAGTTTTGTCTGGTGTAATGAAGTGCCTTTGCCCGACTGTCCCATTCACACAAAAAACAGCAAAACTTTGTGTAGCCTAGCTGCAGCCCAAGAAAAAGTGCAACAACTTTCAAATCGCCACAAATATGCCATTGGTGCTCATCGTATTTTATGCATGTCAATAGGTACTTCATATTGTCACATGATTATTTCATGTGAACTGCATACCCTACAGGAAGAGATGGTAAAATATTTCCAATATGCAATAACACTGCCTTTAAACTCAATGTTGAACTGTCTATAAACAATCTCCATTCTTCTGGGTTATAGTCTATATTTAAAGCCGATTTTGTTTAGGCATGCACGATGGTCGTGCCAGGGTTAGAAGGCGACGTGGTGAAAGGAGGAATCCACAATTTTTTGTTGAAAGACATGTTCACCACACTGTTGGAGTTATGGTTTGGGGTGCTATAGCTTATGGTTCCAGGTCACCTTTAATCTTCATCAGAGGTAACATGAACGCGCAGCGTTATATCCACGAAGTTCTAGAACCCTATCTTTTACCCTATCTTGACACCCTGGCAGATCCAACTTTCCAACAAGATAATGCCCGACCACATGTTGCAAGAGTCACAATAGACTTCTTTCAACATAATGATGTCACATTGATACCTTGGCCACCAAGATCTCCCGACTTATCCCCAATTGAGCACGTGTGGGATATGATGGGTAGGAGATTGCTCAATTTGCAACGTCGTCCTCAGATTCTAGAAGCACTTTGAGAGGAGTTGGTGGTTGCCTGGAATGAGATACCACAGGAGGACATTGACCACCTGATCAGAAGCATGCCTAGGCGCGTTGGAGAATGCGTAGCGCATCAGGGTGCATCCACACATTATTAAAGGTTAAAGGGCTTTAAAGCAGTGCAATCATTTTGAAATTTTTATCATTTACTTATTATGCTTCATCAAGTACTTATACAAAATTTTATTAAAATAAAACCATTTAAACTGGGTGTTCGGATTTATAAGTCACTTAGTATAGTTCAATAATATAATAAATATTGTAGAATAATTATATTATAAACTATTATTTTGGAATATGTACTAAGACTATGAGAAGCCCTATAAAAGTAATTTGTTTTTTGGCGATTTTAACCTAATATACCTAAATATCTGATTGATTCAACATTTTCATCTATCCGTACTGTGTAGATATTAGGTATTTTTTTATTAGCATACATTTTGTTTTAGGTGCATTGAATTTTAGTTTATTTACATTTTACCAATTTATGATTTGTGCCAAGTTAGAATTTAGCATTTTTAAAGCAGTGTCTATATTTTCATCTGATATGTATTTAAATGTATCATCTGAAACCAATTTAATTTGTTGCTGGAACTAATGAGAGGTTTCACTTTTTATTTCAAAGTTTGGTTTGTTCCCTAACAATTCAGAATGTTCTGATGATAATATTTAACGCATCAAGTTACATTAGCGTTTTTTTTTGTAACAAAGGAAGAGGAAAATGGCGTATTTTTAGATTTGAAGGCATACTACGGGGTGCGTCATCTATTACTTTTTTTTTTGTATATCAAAAATCAACACGCTTTTTACGAGGTGAAATCGTATTTTTTTATTGATAAATGAAGGTTGGTTTATGCCATTTATGTATGAAAAATAACATCAGTCATGTGACAACCGCGGCTTCGTTTACAGGCCAACATCCGAACACAAAATTTTCAATGACTTCTCCCAGAATAATCGGGTCTATGGCCGCAATTTCAGTCCGAAGATTGCGCTTTAGATCTTGAATTGTCCGAGGACCATTCGCATACACTTTTCCTTTCAAAAATCTCCAAAGAAAATAGTCAAGAGGTGTTAAATCGCACGATCTTGGGGGCCCACATGACATCTGAATTTCGTGAAATTATGCGGTCTTGAAATTTCGTGTGCAATAAGACGATTGTTTGGCGAGATGTGTGTGCCGTTGCTCCGTCCAGGGACTTGTGGGGTAGTCCATGTCGGCCAAAGCTAGTGCGAAGTTTGCGAAAAATATTTTTTATATTTCGACCGTTTTCGTAATAAGTTTGGATAACCAAAATGCGTTGTTGTGTTGTAAACGAATCCATGACTATAAATGGCATAACTTTGACAGTTCGTTTATGCATACCACATGACTTTTGACTCACATGGTAACACATAAACTTATATTTAATAGAAAATAGAAAAAAAAATTCACGAATTCCGAAGTGTATAATATAATCCAAAACCCACTTCTTGAGTAATAGATGAAAAAATTAGGTGTGTAGCCAACACTATGAGCATATACGTGCATATGTATATATGGTAAATAGAGTATCTAACAGCTGTGATACGGAAATCAGGAATAATTTTTTTTGGGATAGTTCATTTTATAAGGTGCACTCACTATTTCTTCAAATACTGCTGCAAGCCTCTCCTGAATACATCGTCAGTCAGGGTGAAATTCAACATCTTCAGTATACTGCTGCCTTTCTGATAAATGATTGGGTCAAAGGTCTGTTCTATTTGAGCATTGTTAGTAATGTCCATTTGAATACTGTGCGTCGATTTGAGACTGTCAGCATACAGCGTGTTGTAGGTGTCTCTAATTTTTATGCTGCTGTAGGAGTGCCATTTAGGCCTTAGCTGAAATTGATAATGAGTGAATTTAATATTTTAAGATTGATTTGAGATTTTTTGCGTGAAATCAGTTCAGTTTCGTCTCGATGAAAAATGTGAGATCAGTGAAATGTTATTATTGAGATTCTTACGTATCTTTAACTGAGAGACAGAAAAAGTGCAGGTCATGACCATGGTCGCCCGCAGGAATTTTTCTATAGGGGGGAGAGACAAATTTTTGTAAAAGTGTACCTGCCCCGAAAACCATTGGAAGAGCGTGGGCAAAGCCCCACAATTTCCAAAATTACAAACAAGGTCATGCCAAATATGCAGGCATTACGTCCTTCTGTCAGCCTTTGCGAGCGCCCATGGTCATGGATGTATTTTTCTTTGAAACGGCACTTTTTTACTGGGCTGTCAAGTTACCTTTGTTATGACGACTTCAGCCATGAATGTTCCAAACCCTTCGTTCAGCCACAGGTCTGACCACCACTCCATGGTAACCAAATTTCCAAACCATTGATGTGATAATTCATGAGCTATTTTGGCCAAAATGAAACTCTTGGTTTTGATGCTTCTCGAGTTTGTATCGAACAGCAATGAAGACTTCCTGTATAAAACAAAACAAAAAAATAACAGCCTTCCGTTCGCACGGTGCTAACTAGATTCAGGATATCCCAAAATATTGCGAGGAAAACCTTTATACAGGGTGTCCCGAAAAAAGTGTGAAATATTCTACCAGCGGTTTCTAGAGCTTAAAATAGGAAGAAAAGTTTATATAAACATAAGTCGACAAACGTTCCCTAAGGGCGCTACGGTCTTTTAAAGGGGCTCCCCTGAAGATGGTTTTCCTTAATATTTCCGAAACGTGTTGAGATAAAGACATAAAATTTGGTATTCTAGCCTAGTTTTTCATGCTGGATTTAAAAATATTAACAATTTTAGACAGTTTTGTTTGGAAGCGTATGTAACAGGGACTATTTCAGCCCCAAAATTTTTGTGTGATTCTATTTTTGAAATTAAATTTTAGAATTTGAAAATTTAGGGTCTTCTACATAAAAAAGGTACTCTTATTGAATATCGATAAATTGTACCATTTTTAAATAAAATCAAACTAAAAAATTTGTCACATGATAGGAAATATACCGCGAATTTAAATGAATTGTTGAATAATTAGACATGGCAACGAAAAAACTAATTTAATAATTGGTAAATATTACATAAATACATATTTCTATTGCAACATAGCTAACATTTAGGCAAAAACAAAAGAAATAAATTTTATATATACAGGGTGACTTCGAAGTTGAGTCATTTATTTTAACAGTGAGTAGATCTGATCAAAAGAAATGTTTTTCTCCTTTACCATTTTTCTGGTAAAATTAAAGTAACAAAGTTATAGCCCTTTGGAAGTTTGAGTACCGCCCTGTCTCAATAATAATATCATGTGCTTGTGTTTGGCAACAACGGATATAATCCACCTTATCGGTTCATCGCATCGGAAACAAAAAAGCGAAAGAATTTGGAACGAGTTTTTTACAATTATTTCATTCAGTTCAGTTATACATACAGTCAGTGTCAGTCGCGTGTGAATAGTGTCTGTTGCGTGGCTCAAACGAAATAAAAAATGGCACATGTTTATGCGGATCGGTTTCCCAATCGAGTGCAACCAACCCCTCGTGCCTTTGTTAATGTAGTACAACGGGCTAGTGAATCAGGTGACTTAAGACCTCACAGGGGACCTCACGATCAAATACAGGTCCGCACTGAAATACTTGTCGGGAGGATACTTTATAAAACAAGGTAAACATTTTTTTTATTTTTTTTTAATTTTTACACACATATTTTGGTTTATCTTCCTTCTACAATCATTATCTGAAAATTAATGACTCAACTTCAAAGTCACCCTGTATAAACATGGATCAGGAAATCCTCCGTATCCGCGCTCCGTTTAAACTTTATGTTGTATCTCACTCTATATCACTGATTTTTGCAAAAAGAAGTGTCGTTTTCTCAAAGTCGTATAAATTTTATTCTACTTAACAGTGCCTGTGGAATTTTTACTTCCCGACCCTGCTGGCGATAAAGTATTATAATCGCCAAAATTTTCGTATGTTATATAAAATGTACATTACGAAAAACCATGTCACTCATTCTCGTCGGTCTGATGTCTGTCCGTTAATCCTTGGTCCGTCTATGACTTGGAAAGTACAGGTCTAAAAAGCTTTGTAGTTTTTGAAAATCGGACCAGGGGTGGCGAAGAGAAAGGCCAAAAACGAAAAAAATCAAAAATAGCTCAAACTCGTTCTGTGACGTATCAGAGAATCCTTATCATTTTTGGAAACATTTTAGGGGTAAAAAGGGGGAAGTGGAGGGCTCTCAATTTTTTCTGGTATGGGGAGGGGTGACGTTGCCAGATGGGTGGTACTACCGGTAGGGCAGCGAAAGAATGTCTATGGAGTAATTGTGTGGGCCGGTTTGACAGACTTGATCCGTTTAATTTCTCCGTTATACATGTTCGTAACTAACGTTTTTTTTTAATACATTATAACTTGTGCTGAACATAATCCTTTATCAACTGATGACGGCGTAGCGTGGAAAGTGCAGAGTCAATCTACTTGACGGCGTTTTTAAAAATATACTCTGATGGTGGTGGTTGATGAAATATATTTTTCATTTTGAGAACGGCAGGTCTAAGAGATATGCTCCAAAAAGCAGTATTAGGGAATCTGGCTTAAGATACTGGGTACCAATTTTTTGGAAAAACGAGTGCTGTACTGATTTCGCTAATCATAAAGATTTTCCAGTACTAACAGTTGTGTACGTGTTAATATGACCGTTTAAACAATCATTTCCGAAACTATGTTTATATGATAGACAGACAGATAGGCATATACGAGGGTGGTCCCAGAAGTACCCGACCCAACGAAGAAAACACAAAAATTTTGAAAAAAAAGTATTTATTTTTCAACATAATCTCCTTTGAGCTCTAAACACTTTTCCCAGCGATGTTCAATAAGTTCGATACCCTTTTTATAATAAGAACTGTCTTGCTCCTCAAAATAGCCATTAACTGCCGACATCACTTCTTCATCGTTGGAAAATCTTTGACCATTGAGCCATTTTTTCAAGTTTGGAAACAGAAAATAATCCGAGGGGGCTAAATCTGGTGAATAGGGTGCATGAGGTAGCAATTCAAACTTTATTTCGTTAATTTTGGTCATTGCAATAACGGATTTGTGGGCTGGTGCATTGTCTTGATGAAACAACACTTCCTTCTTCACCAAATGCGGCCGTGTTTGCTTGATTGCATCGGTCAAACGTTGCAATAAGTTCGCATAATACTCACCGTTTTACCTTTTTCAAGATAGTCAATGAAAATTATCACACGCGCATCCCAAAAAAACGACGCCATAACCTTGCCTGCAGATGACACGGTCTTCGCCTTCTTTGGAGCCGGTTGTCCCTTTTGAGTCCATTATTTTGATTGTTCTTTTGTCTTGGGTGTGAAGTGATGGACCCATGTTTCATTTATGGTTAAGCAACGACACAAAAATTCTGCTTTGTTGCTGTGAAACTTCCCTAAACACTCAATTGAAACATCTTCACGACACTGTTTTTGCTCGATTGTGAGCAATCCCGGCACCCATCTTGCACACAGCTTTCTCATGTCCAAATTTTCAGATAATATGCGATGAACCACACTTTTTGAAATGCCTACTATGTCTGCTAGCTCGCGCACTTTCAGTCGACGATCATTCAGTACCGCTATTCATTTCTGCAGTCGTCACCTCATTTGGTCGACCACTGGGATGCTCGTCTTGGCAGCTCATACGGCTGTTGTAAACGAAGGAGCAGACTCACCCAGAGTAGAATCCAATTCAGCTTTTATATTGGTTGGGCTGAGGCCTTTGAAATAAAAGTATTGTATCACATAACGATGACCAACTTTCTCAATTTTCACAAATTCACTGAAAACGTTCAGTATTGATGGCTGCCAGACAAATACTAAACAACGTGGCGTATTCAAACTTGACACATATGCTTTATAGGTTGCATACCTTCTAATACAATGATATTTTTCAAACAACCATCGCCATCTCTAGATTAGGCCGGGTACTTCTGGGACCACCCTCGTAGATAGTAACTTTATTCCAAAAGACCGTGTACAACAGAAACAAAACTTAAAAACTAACGGAGACATAGGAACAATAAATGGGGTAAAATTGATGACAAAGACTCGTCAAAAGTATGTATATAAAGAGCAGCAGCTTATGTAACGGTTTATTATGAATTGAGGAACTTGGGTATCGAATAATAAGCCTTTCTGGATTTTTTTTCATGTTGCTACTTGATAAATTTTTCATTCCTGGTAAAACTATGTAACTGTGAGCTTTAATTTTGTTTCATAAGTCTCAAGATACTTAAGGAGGAGCAAACACTGCAAAATTAACATGTATAACAATGTTTGTAAAAATATGTTCTTTCAGGAAACTATATGTATGTTATGTATTCGCAAAATATTCATTTACAGCATACTAGGACAGTAACTGTTGTTTGGGACAACAAATTAGTGACCAGGGAACCGTAACACTTTTAATTGACACAATAATAAGTGCTTAAAAAAATGATGACAAATATTTCGATACGATTTGTTAGGAATTCGTACTACTGGATTTAATCTCAATATTTTTTCCGCTTTGCTTCCTGGTCGTATAATTAAATGGGAGAATGCAAACACGTATTTATCATACAGGGTGTCCCAAAATAACATGTCAGACCCTCGTTTACAGAATAAAAAAAAATAAAGCACAAGTTCCAATGAAAGATATCATACTCACGCAGCATACGAGCCCCAGAGCAATAATATTCTACACTTTTTATAATAATAGCTCAAAGATAATATTTTTGAGAAGCCTCATCTTTGAGCTGAAAAACAATGCACTTTTGAAATCGAAGAAATTAACTGTTTTGAGAAACCCACCCCTGTTTCGGTTCTGTTCTATTATTTTTGGCACTGCATTTAGTATACTGATTGAGTACAGTAGTACCTTCCCGGTTGAGATGTAGGTATACTTTATCTGAAGTCACTTGAAACACTGTGAAATACCGGGTGCGTTTTATATATCTATATTTAACACGCTCTGTTGCTGCAAAAATCGCCAAATTTCGCAGCAAATATTCTTTCATAAAGATTTAGAGGAACAGACCCAATGAGTAATCCTAAATGTGTATGATTGTCTGAAAAACGAAAATCCAGATTCCTCGCAAAATCAAATTTTAAACAGAATTTGTATCCTGACAAAAATCAGTCGGTCTACCATTTATCGGGTTATAAAAAGGGGAGATGTAGTCAACCATTCCTTCCACAGAAAGCGCATAGGGCAAAAATTAAAAAGAATGGACGTGGGTTTTCAGGAAGATATTCGTCGTATAATATACGGATTTTACAAAGAAAATTTGGTGCCCACGTTGGAAATAATACGGGATAAATTAAAAGATTATCCTGAAGATTTTTATAATTACAAATGCTTAGACTCACTGCACTGTATTGTAAAACTGTGTGGTTTTCAATACAAAAAATCAGATAAAAGAATGGTGATTACGGAGTCGTCTCGAATCGTTGAATTGCGCCAAGAATTTTTGCACAAAGTTAAAATCTATAGAGAGCAGAAAACAAATATGATTTACCTGGATGAAACGTGGTATGATACCCATGATGTTGTGCTGGGTTGACGACAGCAACAAGTGCATTTTAAATGCACCATGCAACAGTGGAAAACGAATCATTATTCTCCATGCTGGCAGTGAAAATGGATTTATACCTAATGCCTTGCTGTTATCTGCCAAAAATATCAAAGAATCATGTGCCGACTATCATGAGGACATGACCTCCGACTTACTTGAAAAGTGGATAGAGCAGCAGTTAATACCAAACAATTCCCCAAATTCAGTGATTATTATGGACAATGCGCCATACCATTCCCGACAGAAAAACAAAATTCCGAATACAGGCACAAAAAAACAAGACATTATGGATTTTATGAAGGATAAGGGAATGGAAATACCACAAAAATCAACCAAAAGACAAAAATTTGAAAAAGAGTATGTTGTTGACAATCTGCTTCAGCAAAATGGCCATGAAGTATTACGTCTACCTCCCTATTACTGCATTTTTAACCCGATTGAGTTGGTCTGGGCTGCTTTAAAAAAAAAAAAGTAAGAAAACATAATCAGACCCCTCAATTAAGTGAATCGCTATTGGCCACAATAAGAGATGCAGTATCTCATATTGCTGCCACAGACCTATGGAAGCAGTGTTCTAGGCATATTATTGAAAAAGAAAATGAATATTGTGTTTTGCCTCCTGTAAATCCCGTTGTAATTCCTCTACAAGATGACTCTAGCGACAGCTCCGAAGGCGAGGATGATATATAAATACCTATAATGTAAGTCTTTATATACCTTTTTATATACCTACCTGCTATGTAAATATTTGCCTATGTCAAACGTTGGAATTCTGTAATTTTTCCATTTCTTAACTTTCAGTCAACATAAATCAAACTCCCAATATAAGTATTTTTTATCCCAAATCAAAAAAATAAGAAGATAGTAAAATCCATTTATTGTGATATAAAAACATTATTATTATCGTTCTAAATAAATGACCGCACGCCTATGATACGTCATGAAATTACAAAGGACGCGCCGACCAAAGGTTTTTATGCTATTTCAAGTGACTTCAGATAAACCATACATGATTTAAGTTGATAACAAGCTAAACAGACATATGATCATCCAATAGGTTTTCTAAACTCAGAACAAAAAAAATGATTGTTGAAATAAGTACGTTTCGGTATTCATTGTCTTTATTATTACCAGCCAGTATTTATTGCAACATTACTTTGCGCAAATATTGACCGTTGCGTTGACAATTGGCAATAAACAACTATGTTACATCTTTTAGACATACATATTTATGTGCTGTTTGAATATTGCAGTACATGGAATGTTTTAATATCATTGCGCTTATGCTTGAACAAAACGTATAGTCGCAATGAACAAAACTGACGTCAGATATATTTACTACAGTTTATACGTGATGCAACAATTTGGTTTGGATGGAAGTTATAGATTCTTCATGACTCAATAGAATAAAGATAAATGAAAATTAAATTATTATGAATTAAATATATAAACCTTTTGATTTTACACAGTTCTTGTATGTTCATTATAAAGTTGTCATTCATTACCTGAAAGATATAATCCCCCAATTCTCCATGGCAGCTTTCCCAAAGTTGGGTATGGCCATCATATCCAACTTTGGTAGCGGGTACTTTACGCCAAAATATTCTTCCATGAAGGGTACGATCTCTGCGGCCACTTCCAGAGCATACCTAGTCAAATGAAGATCAGCTCTTGGCGCCCATACCCTGATCATTGGTCCTCCGGTGGAGTTTTCGGCTGATATGCTCTCCATGTCGCTGATTGTGAAGGCTACTAGATATGTGGACATTGGTGGGGTTTGGTGGAAATGATCCCATACCCAATCTGGGTTGTCTTTCCTAAAGTGACAACGTAAAAATGTTCAGCGTCCAGGGTATATCCAACACACCGAGCAAAACTTCAAGTGATGATTCTACAGACTATTCTAAGACTGACAAATTGGTTAAGGCTTTCGCGGTCAGTTGATAAACTGCTGTCTTGATTCGGGTCTAAAGGCTGTCGTCGGTTGGAATTTCTTCCTAACGTTTCGCTAGCACGAGTGGCAAGCTTCTTCAGAGGTCCTTCCATTTCCGATACTGGATGTAGTCTACACGAAACGTTAGGAAGAAATGCCAACGGACGACCGCCTTTAGACCCGAATGAAGACAGCAGTTTATTCTAAGACTATTTAGTTTATTTACTCTGACGATTTTCGAAATACCACTTCTTTTGGGAGATAGATAGATATAATTTAGTGTCTGAAGAATGCAACGATTCTTAATGACAAAGGTAACTTTAAACTATACACATCTACATATAAGGTTCTTAAAAAAATGAATTGTAGAACGCACATATGGTATAATATGGTTTTCATATTAGAAAGTTTTTAAGTTCACGGCGGAATGTCTTTAAATTGTTCATTCTTTTGATAGCATCAGGAAGACTCATGTAATTATAAATTATTGAGTATTTCAAAAGTGTTGATTTAGGTATAGGTACTACTGATTTAAGATCTTGTTTTCGTCTAATATCGTAACTTATACGAGGGATGTCTTTTAATTTTTGCATATGGAAATATACTAAGTGACATATAAATCCGAACACCCAGTTTAAATGGTTTTATTTTAATAAAATTTGTATAAAGTACTTAATGAAGCATAATAAGTAAATGATAAAAATTTCAAAATGATTGCACTGCTTTAAAGCCCTTTGACCTTTAATAATGTGTGGATGCACCCTGATGTGCTACGCATTCTCCAACGCGCCTAGGCATGCTTCTGATCAGGTGGTCAATGTCCTCCTGTGGTATCTCATTCCAGGCAACCACCAACTCCTCTCGCAGTGCTTCTAGTGTCTGAGGAGGACGTTGCAAATTGAGCAATCTCCTACCCATCATATCCCACACGTGCTCAATTGGGGATAAGTCGGAAGATCTTGGTGGCTATGGTAACAATGTGACATCATTATGTTGAAAGAAGTCTATTGTGACTCTTGCAACATGTGGTCGGGCATTATCTTGTTGGAAAGTTCGATCTGCCAGGGTGTCAAGATAGGGTAAAAGATAGGGTTCTAGAACTTCGTGGATATAACGCTGCGCATTCATGTTACCTCTGATGAATATTAAAGGTGACCTCGAACCATAAGCTATAGCACCCCAAACCATAACTCCAACAGTATGATGAACATGTCTTTCAACAAAAAGCTGTTGATTCCTCCTTTCACCACGTCGCCTTCTAACCCTGGCACGACGATCGTGCATGCCTAAACAAAATCGAGAATCGTCACTAAAGACAATACTGTTCCATTCCTGATCCCAGAGTGACCGTTGTCTGCACCACTCAAGGCGATTACGTCGGTGTTCTCGAGTTAAAGGGAGGACCCAGTGTGGCCGGTATGAAAACAAGCCAAAACTTCTCATTCGTCGGTAAACACTTCGCATGCCAATAGGTCTTCCGTGTTCTGCAAACCATTCATTTGCAATGGACCTGGTAGTGGAGAAACGGTCCCTTAAGGCCAATAATCTTAGGCGGCGATCTTCACGGTCTGTTGTTCTACGGCGGCGTCCAGTGCCCCTTGCTCTTTGCGTACGGCGTTCTCGAAGCCATGCCTGACAACACCTAACCACAGTGTCTACACTTCTTTGCACTCTAACTGCAATTGCCCGAAAAGAAAGTCCAGCTTCCCGAAGTCCCACTATACGGCCCCTATCAAACTCACTAAGTTGACGAAATCGTACAGGTCTCCGTACTCTAGGCATCGTAACCGATCGTAAAGGATGTCAAGAACCAAAATCCGCCAACGTTGATTGTTTACTGCGGCGGAAATATTCATTTTTAGAGCGTTATTAAAATAAAACCATTTAAACTGGGTGTTCGGATTTATATGTCACTTAGTATAAAACAACACGGTAGGTAGTTTTAAATGACTTTATTCTTTTTCGAAGTATTCTCCACGAAGATTAATACACATCTGAATCCGCCCGAAAAAAATTTCGAAGCACTTACTCCACTCGTTTGCTGGCAGATCCAAAACGGCATTTTTGAATGCGTCAACTGCTTCTTCTTTGACCACGCAGTCTGTTTTTAATTTTTGGTAGTAAAGAAGTAAAGAAATCGTTAGGACTTAGATCGGGACTATATGGAGGATGGTGCAATAATTCCACGTTTTCTTCCGTTGTTTTTTGGGCTGTGTGCGAGCTTGCATTGTCTTGGTGGAGGATGATTCTTCTTTCGGGGTTGATTTTTCGAAGCTCGGTGATGACTTTTGGCAAATAAATGGTGGTATACCAATCCGCAGTAACAGTTCTTTGCTCATTAAGATTAATTGTTGCAATATGACCCGCTTTTGACACAAATGTCGCGACCATCTTTTCCGAAACACTTCGAGAAAGGATGACTTTTGTTGGCTTTTCTTCACCTTGGAACACCCAAACAGCCGACTGTCGTAAATTTTTTTGAATTGAGGTCTTTGAGATCTTGATGATGAGTTTGCGCAGGGCATCGACGTTTTCCTGGGTGACTGCCGTTTTTGGTGCACCCACCCAGGGATCGTCGCTAAGACTCACCCGTCCACGTTTGAATTCTCCATACCAACGGGAAATTGTCGACCGATGTGGCGCTTCGTTGCCGAAAACAGACAGTAACTCAGCAAGGCATTCTTGGCGCGAAAATGTTCTCGGTTGAGTTCCATTTTTCTAATGACTTGGTGACACTTAAAAATTCACTGTAGTGAGAACACTGCACGTATTTTTGTGAAACTTAGAATTTAAGTTTACTAAAGAGTGAGGTTAAGATTCAGTACGTTCGATCCGCGCGGCCTACTATGTTTCTATATGCAAAACTTAAAAGACATCCCTCGTATTTAATGTTTCAAACTTATTTTTAAAAATAAGACTTACTGTTTTTAAAATGAACAATGATACGACAGTCATTGTTTTAAGACTTGAAATAATGAGCTCCATGTGGCTTTGTGATTGCTTTTAGTTATGTATCTAATAGTTCGTTTTTTTAGAATAATGACTATTTTAAACAATTTTGGGAACAGACACATCAAAGGGGAATGTTTCACGTCAAACTACTTCCAAAATAAATCAAAGTACCTAATTGTTTAAGGCTGTGCTTTTCTCTACGTTCTCTACGTTAGTAAAATCTAATGTATGATCAATGTTTTGTGTATCAATTCTTTATTTGGATTTATAAAACCAAGGGAGCATTTATATATCGTAAATTTTGTCTTATTAACATTGAAGCTTAAGTAATCGTTTTTTGCACACCCTTCTTTGATTGACTGTATATCACTATCAATATTTGCCTTAATATCATTCATATCTGTGTCTTGTCAAAGTATTGTGGTATCGACAGCAAAAACTATGAATTTACGGACCTTATGCCAATCCTTGAGGTACCCCCCTGAACTGCGCCACTGGGCATAGGTTTTTCTCAATTACCTTTTGAACAACACTGAATAATACAGGGTCCGTCAGAAAGAACGCATGTTTTTTAAATGAGTAGTACAGTCAAAATAAGTGTGGGAAATAATACTTTATTATATCAAAATACTCAGAAATACATGCCATTTTTAAAAAACATGCGTTCTTTCTGACGGATCTTGTACAATGAAATTTTGACGCAGAGTAACCAAACGAGGCCTCACATGGTGGTGTCCAGTTGCGACCTCCAAGGACCAGAATAAAAAACAAAGAGTTTTTTTATTTCAAAAATCGTCAAACTACCGAATAGTCGAGGAATAGACCAAGTAATCACTGCTTGAAGCTTTGTTGTATGTTTTGGAAGCACTCTGTATTATCATCAATAATGTTTAGCTCTCTTCATTATACCATGTGGAGACTCATCTACTTTTATTAAATCCATGTATTTGAAAAAAAGTAGCATGTATATTTTGAATCAACAAATGTTTCAACTTTTATCACACTCTAATATTTCTGAGAGAGAATCCTATTTTTTTTTAATAATGTACTAGAAAGAATAAGATATTTTCCATCTAGACAAAATTACTTTAAAAAAAAAATTAAAATTCGTTAGTTGAAACAGAGTTTGTTTAGATTCACTGTATTTGCTACCGGAGGAATCAAATAAAAGGATGCTTTTATTTTGGATATAGGTACGTATATAACATAACCATACATTTCATATCAAGCTGTGTGTGTACATCAGATAATACAGGATCTGGCCAAAATCCTACCATGGTACAAGCTGGGTCACATTCTCAGAACAGGGCGTGAAAAAACTTATAATATACTTTTGGAGACAAAATATTCATATTCCATCGAAATGAAATCTTGAAAAATACCCTATTATCGCAAATAACTTACATAGGTTCGGTTTCTTTGAGAGGCATATTCGATAGTGCAGTCATATTAGTCATTCTAGCTATGCTTATTTCAAATGGTGCCTTAAAGCCAGGTTCATCAAAGCACGGAAACACTCTTCTTGCATAGACTGGTTGGAAATGTGTTGTGGCCAACCACCTGGTAATATGAAAAGAATAATTCATTTTCGAGGTATCAGGTTTTCTTAAGCTTGCTTGAAGAACTTTAAAATTTTCAGATTTTAGCTGGAAAAGATTCGATTGGAACCAAAAAATCAGATATATGAGTTACAGAAGACTCGCTGGAAGGATATAGCTTGGAAAGCAATCGCAGTTCATACTGATTGTAATAAGTAAGTGCAATCACTACGATGTTACGTTATCGAGACTACGAAGACTATGCAGTATATTCTCGTTTTTCAGCTTAAATTCGCACATTGAAAGAGAACTCAATTAAATCTTGTGTATTTTTCATCGATCAATCAGATATTCGGATTCTTATTTTATGTATCTACCTATAAAATCTTACAGTACAACCGATGTCAAACTGTCAACGTCAGAGAATGAATATTATTTTCGTCATATCCGTAGAAGTTTAAAATCCGTGTCAAAAGTAGAGTTACGGTTTAAAAACATACAAAATAAACCAAAACGCTCAGAATATACTTTTCAGGGCAAGAATTTTGAAAAATACTCCATACAAATTGCGATTCATCCTCAATAGGTAGAGAATGATTTTTATTGCAATTGATCTACCCCTTGGGTATGTCTATATTGTTGAACTTTGACCTCTCATTAACGCCTTCAACTTCCAGTGCTCCTTCTGTCAATCTTTTGATTTTTGGCACCAATTGAACCATTCAAATCTTACTTTGGTGTTCCATAAGCATCAACGTAATGTGTCTTGTACAATCCAACCAAGTTATCTAAGATCAACCCAGCAAACTTTATGTCCACAGTATAAGTGCTGCCTTGATTCAAAATATTCTTCATGATAATCGTCAACTTCGTATTTTTGTCATCTTTGAGTATTTCCTCTACAGGCAGAGCAACGACCTCACTCTTCACTAAGATTTTTTGTGTGGTTACTTCTATGATTGGAGGAGTGGTATCCATCTCAGTGGTAGCCTCGAATAGTGGTTCGGTTTGCAACGTGGTTGTATCATCTTGCTCTGTTGTAGGGAATTCATCGTCCTTTTTCGATTCCAGGATTGTTGGATTTTGGATGTCTCTTTTGGTCATATTGTGAGTTTCTGATGGTTGCGCTTCAGAGTCAATCTCCACCTAAAATATAAAGTAAATCTAGAAATAAGGAGATTGGTGAGATTTCTAGACGAAGCAATGTGCTCCAGTCAACGAAAAATTAGTACTCGGTATACAGGGTATTTCAGTTTATTGTTGCATAACTTTAAGATTCGATAGAACTTTTAAAATTAAAGTTTATATAAAAATGGGTCGAAAAATGCGTGGCCGCCGAAACGGCTGGTCCGAAGGGTGTTTAAATTTACTTTTTAAAATAGTTTTTTTTAAATATTTCGAACCATATTTTATGTATAACAGTGACAATTGGTATACAAGGGTTTTTTGGTACGACAAAACGAACCATGGGCATAGTTTTACTGTAGCCGCTAGAGGGCGCTCTCCACTGTACCTGTAGTGCATTTAAATGACCGAAAATATTTTCTTAGTGCAATTTTTTGCTTTTTGAATAAAAAAACTGATTCTTCGCACTTTTCTGCATAAAAAAGCTCTCCTGTGGGTTTTCGTTATAGTTAGCCGTTTATGAGATATTTCGATTTTTAAGGTTCGATGCATTTTTAATTATTTATGGGAAAATAATATTTTTTTTTACATTTTCGATTTGGGCATTACAAGTAATTAAGATGATCGTGTAGATTATGTTTTTCAACACAGCAATTATTCCTAACTCCAAATAAACACAAAAAAACAGAATATTAATTTGTTTAATTTTCCAATATTATTTTTAACAAATTAAATTAATTATTTACAAGTAAAATGCTATTGGATAGTTAGGGCAAACATACAAAATCTAAAGTAGTTGCTCGAAATGTAAACCCAATTGTTCAATACACAATTCACATCTACGAATGATCGAACGTGGTATAGCATTATTCAAATAAGGCCTTATTTCATCACATGCATTCCTGATTCTGTCTATTAGCATATCTGTTGTGGTTACGGGAGTCTGGTACACTTTTTCTTTTAGAAATCCCCACACAAATAAATCTAATGGATTTAGGTCAGGGGATCGTGGAGGCCAGGCGTCTGGTCCTCCACGGCCGATCCATCTTTCTGGATAATTTTCGTCCAGGCAGTTTCTAACTATTCTCGAATAATGAGCTGGACAACCATCAAGCTGGAACCAGGCCAATCTTCTTAAATCTAACATAACATCATCCCACATATTTGCATGTTCAGCCTTTAAAAATTCCAAGAAGGTCGCAGCATTTAACCTTGCAGGTCCAAATAGTCGATTACGGTAGATACGAATCCACACGTTCACACTAAATTCATGCTGAAAATTTCTTTCCCGAACTGCATGCGGATTTTCATGCGACCAACTATGTTGATTATGAAAATTTACCACTCCATGTCTAGTGGAGCATGACTCATCGGTCCATAAAACGTTACTTAAAAACTCCCTATTATTATTATCAGTTCTATCAAGAATCCACTAACAAAATGTGATTCTTCGTTCTCCGTCCCCTGGCTGTAGTCCTTGCACATTCCCAAGGCACCAGAAACTCTCCTAACACTTGTGGTCGGATCTCTATCCAACTCACGCAGAATCATACGGGTAAATGAGCGCTGACGAACATTTATGTTTTGATCCCTTTGGAGATTTCCAAAACCATTTTCAATTATTTGGCGATGCACTCTTACAAATACTGAGCGAGTTGGATGTCGTCTGTTTGGAAATCTTCGTGCGTATTCTCTGGCTGCTTCTGCTGCGTTTCCATTTTCAAAGCTATACACAAAATGAATAAACACTAACTCTTGATTGGAGAATAAAAATGGCATTTTTATAAAACTTACAAAAAAAAACAGGTAAAATAAACTAAATTTCGTGCATTCACAGTTGCAAAAAAACGTGTCAGGTTTTAACAGACAACAAAACTAACTGTCAACTAATTGACGTTAAACCTTATTCTGCTTTCAATTTCAAAAATATTTGCAGGCACAGCCTACTTCTAAAAATTATCGAGATACTGACTTTTTAACGTTATTTTATCATAGATAATTAAAAATGCATCGAACCTTAAAAATCGAAATATCTCAAAAACGGCTAACTATAACGAAAATTCACAAGAGAGTTTTTTTATGTTGAAAAGTGCGAAGAATCATTTTTTTTATTCAAAAAGCAAAAAATTGCACTAAGAAAATTTTTTCGGTCATTTTAATACACTACAGGTACAGTAGAGAGCGCCCTCTAGCGGCTACAGTAAAACTATGCCCATAGTACGTTTTGTCGTACCACAAAACCCTTGTATACCAATTTTCACTGTTATACATCAAATATTGTTCGAAATATTTAAAAAAAACTATTTTAGAAAGTAAATTTAAACACCCTGTATTTCGGAAGCCACGCATTTTTCGACCCATGTTTATATAGACTTTATGCATTAATTTTAAAGGTTCTATCGACCCTGTATACATAAGAATAAAATCTCGCGATCAATTATAATAATAATAGACGTCTTTATTTCCTTACAACATTGTAATACAGCTGAAGTAAGACTTAAATGGCGAAATTTAGTGATAGCTACTTTGAGACTTGACCATTAAAGTCACTAGCAGATCTTGATAATAATGAAACAACAAATTTAAATGTGTAGTAATAAATTGTTACAGTAAAGCGAGACCTGACATACTTCACAAAGCAAATTACATCAAGTACAAAAGCAAAAAAAAAGGTTAGACAAGTAAAAAAAGCATAATTGTGTAATCCGGTCATTGAAGTAATGATAATTTCACTTTTTGTCTGTATAGCATCGTAAAATGATTAGGAGGCTTGGAAACATTGCTGAAAAAATGCCCGAAATTGCATAAAAAATTCCTACGAGGCTTCCGTAAGGAAACACATATGTACGTCCAAAAGGCCCTATAGTCTAATCATATTAGAAAATTTCTCCAAAATAACTGTAACTTCTGGTTTTATTGGTGCAAGTCGTTCAAGGGGGTATTTAAAACATGGACGCATAAAATGAGTACACCAATTTATGTGGGAAAACTTTTTATTTGACAATGAAGAATGAGTTTTGACAAGAACGAAAAAACTTTTCGTATAAGATTTTTAGATATTTATGAGACTTACAAAATGAGACTACACGTGAAAAGATCCGACTAATAGCAAAAACGTTATGACCGGAAAACGAGACAAAATGCATCTTTTTGCACTTGTTGCTAATGAGACGATAATTTCACGCAACTACTTGAAATTCTTTAAATCCGTAGGATTCATACTTCTAAATAACAACAACAAAATTGGATTATATTGATCAAGTAGTTTTTTGAGAATTTCTAATCGCTTATCTCAAAACACCTGTTTTCCGGCCATCACTACTAGTTTATCGAGCAATATACAGAGTTCGTTCAAAGAGTATTTAATAGCAAAATACACTTGTTTACATTGCCGATATGAATCACAAACCATTCCGAAAGATAAATGTTATTTTTATGCGAAAGACCAAGGTTACGTTTTTTCTTCTAAACAAATTCAAACATTTCGTATATGTAATTGAACAAATGCGCTCCCATATTCGAAAAACATACATTATTATACACATTTTAAATCAAAGCGGATGTGTCTATCATCGTTTGTTGAGAATTACTCACAAATACGAAATGTTTGAATTTGTTTAGAAGAAAAAACGTAACCCATCCTTTTTTGCATAAACATATATCTTCCGGAATTTGTTTTTGATTCATATCAGCAAGGTAAACTAGTGTATTTAGCCCTTTGAACTCGATAAACTAGTAGTGATGGCCGGAAAACATGTATCTTGGGATAAACAATTAGAAATTCTCAAAAACTACTCAACGAATCTACTACAGTTTTGTTGTGGTTATTTAGAAGTACGAATCCTAATAATTTGAAGGATTTCAAATATCTGCGAGAAACCATCGTCGCATTACCAACAAGTGACAAAACCTGCAGTTTGTCTCGGTTTTCGGCCATAACTTTTTTGCTATTAGTCGGATCTTTTTACATGTAGTCTCATTTTGTAGGTCTCATAAATACCTAAAAATCTTATGTGAAGAGTTTTTCCGTATCTACCAACACTTTCGATTGAATCCCAAAAAAAACACGTTTTCTCATTCTTTGTTGTCGAATAAAAAGTTTTCCCACAAAAATTGGTGTAGCCATTTTATGCGTTCTTGTCTTAAATACCACCTTGAACAACTTGCAGCAATAAAACCAGACTTTACAAATATTTTGCAAACCAGGGGTATTTTTGTCTAATATGATTAGACTACCAGTAGGCTTTTCTTAAATAAACTTTAAGCTGCATTGTATAATTCAACGAAATTTTGACAGCATGGTAACCAGTTGATATCATACGTGAAGGTGTATACACTGTATACTTTATCTGAAGTCACTTGAAATAGCATAAAAACCTTTGGTCGGCGCGTCCTTTGTAATTTCATGACGTATCATAGGCGTGCGGCATTTATTTAGAACGATAATAATAATGTTTTTATATCACAATAAATGGATTTTACTATCTTCTTATTTTTTTTGATTTGGGATAAAAAATACTTATATTGGGAGTTTAATTTATGTTGACTGAAAGTTAAGAAATGGAAAAATTACAGAATTCCAACGTTTGACATAGGCAAATATTTACATAGCAGGTAGGTATATAAAAAAGTATATAAAGACTTACATTATAGGTATTTATATATCATCCTCGCCTTCGGAGCTGTCGCTAGAGTCATCTTGTAGAGGAATTACAACGGGATTTACAGGAGGCAAAACACAATATTCATTTTCTTTTTCAATAATATGCCTAGAACACTGCTTCCATAGGTCTGTGGCAGCCATATGAGATACTGCATCTCTTATTGTGGCCAATAGCGATTCACTTAATTAAGGGGTCTGATTATGTTTTCTTACTTTTTTTTTAAAGCAGCCCAGACCAACTCAATCGGGTTAAAAATGCAGTAATAGGGAGGTAGACGTAATACTTCATGGCCATTTTGCTGAAGCAGATTGTCAACAACATAATCTTTTTCAAATTTTTGTCTTTTAATAAGATCCAATAATATGGCTTTGGTTGATTTTTGTGGTATTTCCATTCCCTTATCCTTCATAAAATCAATAATGTCTTGTTTGTTTGTGCCTGTATTCGGAATTTTGTTTTTCTGTCGGAAATGGTATGGCGCATTGTCCATAATAATCACTGAATTTGGGGAAATGTTTGGAATTAACTGCTGCTCTATCCACTTTTCAAATAAGTCGGAGGTCATGTCCTCATGATAGTCGGCACATGATTCTTTGATATTTTTGGCAGATAACAGCAAGGCATTAGGTATAAATCCATTTTCACTGCCAGCATGGAGAATAATGATTCGTTTTCCACGGTTGCATGGTGCATTTAAAATGCACTTGTTGCTGTCGTCAACCCAGCCGTACTGCACAACATCATGGGTATCATACCACGTTTCATCCAGGCAAATCAGATTTCTTTTCTGCTCTCTATAGATTTCAACTTTGTGCAAAAATTCTTGGCGCAATTCAATTCTAATTTTTTGTGTTGAAAACCACACAGTTTTACAATACAGTGCAGTGAGTCTAAGCATTTGTAATTATAAAAATCTTCAGGATAATCTTTTAATTTATCCCGTATCATTTCCAACGTGGGCACCAAATTTTCTTTATAAAATCCGTATATTATACGACGAATATCTTCCTGAAAACCCACGTCTATTCTTTTTAATTTTTGCCCTATGCGCTTTCTGTGGAAGGAATGGTTGACTACATCTCCCCTTTTTATAACCCGATAAATGGTAGACCGACTGATTTTTGTCAGGATACAAATTCTGTTTAAAATTTGATTTTGCGAGGAATCTGGATTTTCGTTTTTCAATCATACATATTTAGGATTACTCTTTGGGTCTGTTCCTCTAAATCTTTATGAAAGAATTCTGCCTGCACAGGTTCATCAACCCTCCTCGTGGCTTGGAGCATTTTCCCAAGGTCTCCAAAGGGCCATATTTAGGACACACAAGAACAATCAACACAACAATTAAATCAACAAGTAAACTGAGTATTCAAAATTCAAAAACACACAAACTAATAAAATCTATGAAAAAACACGGACAGACTAAAGAAAACACGTTTATTCACCGCTACACGGCACTGGCTAAACTGTTTCAATTTTCAGTAGCCACCTGCACTTGTTCGGAGCTCTGAAATACACGCTTTCTCATTGGCTATGTCCACGCATAGGCGTGCTTTACTCCACGTGGACCGGTGAAACTGCCTTTGATCTTATACGGGGGATATTTGCTGCGTAATTTGGCGATTTTTGCAGCAACAGAGCGTGTTAAATATAGATATATAAAACGCACCCGGTATTTCACAGTGTTTCAAGTGACTTCAGATAAAGTATACATAGAAAACAATCAACCCATTTAGATCGCAAAGACAAATCAGACCCACCGTAATATTGCTAGTTTTGTTAGACTCTGTATAATAATATCTGAATAGCATTTTTTAAAAACTTGATTTTTATGCTGAAAAAAATGTAATTTTCTTTGACATAGACAAAATGACTCTTTAAAAAAACTGTTGTTTCAGTATAGCTCTATAAGTTTTGGTAACGAATTCTGAACATGGCCGCTCATTAGGGGGGCAGTGGGGCACATGTCCATCCTTGGATTCTGCTTAGTGTAAAATACATCTAATAGGGTACCCATTTCTTGAGCAACGAGTTTCCGTTTATGTTTTTTTTTTGTTATCAAAACATCTGTAAAGATGTCATTGTGAAAATGTGCCACCCCTTCCCCTCGGATTCTCATGCACATAAAAAAGAGACATGTACATTTTTCAAAAATACAAACTGACAAGGATGAAGAATCAATCGTGTTATCAAGACAAATCTAAGGACACGTCAAGTATTAAAATTTTGATTAAATTGAAAAGCACTCAATTTTGCAATACCCCTTCCGAGGAGGAAATCTTGCTGAACATGAATTCTAGGACCGCCAATGTGCTCCTCTTTGAATTTTATTATATGGGCGCCCACGATCCTGGATCCACCATTTTTAAAATATAATAATTCTGATAACAGTTGCCGGGATTTGAACTTTCAGATAATCTCGTCATGTTTTAGATTTTTGGCGAACTCTTTGGGGACCAGCTGCATTACAAATCAAAAACTATGATAGTACTAAAATCCTGTCTCTTACTCATTTTATCAAGTGAAAAAAGAATTACGCCCTTTTCATCCTAAGGATTAGGCTTCCCAAAAATATTATTCGTTAGCCATTATTAGAGTGTTGAAATATAAGTAATATTAGATTGGGGCTAGTCCGTCAATAGCAGTCTTAATGAATGGCTTTCATGTGAGGTCTCAAATGCTATCAAAATTTCTTTGAATTATACAGTGTCGAAATTTTATTTAAGACATCGATATTCAGCTGTGCCTTTTAGGGGTCGGTATATCTTATATAATCTTGAGGCTTTAGTTATTTGTGACCTATACCTATGTTTGTACCAGAGAGACTGCCATCTCATTCTAGAATCGCGTGTAGATCTCCATGCTGAACAGACTGACCGACAAACCGATATACAGACTGAAATTAGTAACATGAATGTTCATAATCTAAAGATCAAGGTCATAGAACATTCAAAACTCAGCTAAGCAAAACTTAAAGTCTTCACGATCACAATGCTTCACACATAAATGCGGTTAAATAAAAAACAGCCAAACAAATGTTGACATTCACTTTTCGATTAATTGATTAAGAAAATACTAAGTTGTACCTGTCTTGTAGTGTATACTCTAACATCAGTCTCAGTAATATTAAGGTCATCCCAATGTAAGACAATCTTGTTGGTCCCTCCAGTGCAGTTTATCTGGATCTTGACCGTCCCGGTGAAAGTGAAGTTCTTATCACTATTTTCGTCCAGCAAAGGATGAATCCACAGCCGGTAGTGAGTCGGATGAACGTTTTTGGGTAACCTCAGTTCAGTTTGGGACGCTACCTCTTCGCTTATCGTGTCGTTTATTAGTTTTTCTATGTCATTTGATTCATGGATTATCTGGAAAGAATCGATGCGTTAATGAACAATATGAATCTTTAGAATGAGGCGTCCATGGTGGAGCTGGCGGCAACGACCTTATCCTTAGCGTCGAAGCTCACTGGTACTCGGACCTTTGCAATATTAGCTTTTAACATGTTAAGAGGACCGATTTCAATCGACTCGACATGGTTGAAACAGAATTACTTGTCATGATCTTTGCGATCAAATAATCCACAAACGTCCCTCCTAATAACCCAAGTGCTGTGACACCAATTGTACTCCACACTGTAAGAAAGTGTTTATGAATTCCCCGTTCAATTTAAAACAAATGATCTCTCTTGAATTGTTCTCCTTCGATGCGTCATTTTTGAGTAAAAAAATAAAAACCGTTCTATTGTCTAACCTGCAAAATTATTATTAATCTTATTGAAAAAATTAAACAATTTAGGGGTAATGAATAACAACAAACATAACATTAAAACCAACGAAATGATTACAAAAATTGTTGAAAATGGCCCCTTCACTTAGTATGCATGCTTCCGCCCTCCTTCTCATGGAATTGCGCACTCCTTGAAATATCCCTGGAGTGTTTTTTGTTCTATCACAAGCTGCAACTATTCTTTCTCTTAATTCCTCTAAAGTGTTAATGGGACTTGTGTACACTAGTATCTTAAGATAGTCCCACAAAAAGAAATCTAAGTTGTTGAGGTCTGGGAACCTTGGTGCCCATTCTTGGGGCCCACCGCGGCCCATCCAACGATTTGGATAAACAGTTTGTAAATAATTACGAACCACTACACTGAAATGCGCTGGTACACCATCATGCATGTACCACATATTGTTTCTTATTGCTAACGGAACATCGTCAAGCAGCAAAAGCAACTGTTGTTGAATAAAATTGAGGTAAGTCTGTCCGTCAAGTCGTCCCGGCAAGAAGAATGTGCCAATAAAGTGGTCGCCAATAATTCCTGCCCATACGATAACCGAAAATTGGTGTTGGAAATGGGTTTCGGTTACGGCATAGGGATTTTCTTCTGTCCACAAATGATTATTGTGGACATTCTGAATGGCATTTCAAGAAAAATTAGCTTCGTCCATGAACAGAATCATCGATTCAAATTGCGGATTTTGTGTAATTTTTTGACGATACCACTGACAAAAGGTCACACGCCTTGGAAAATCAATGGGAAGTAATGCCTTTACCCTTAAAATATGGTAAGGATATAACAAAAAATCCACTAAAGATCTCCAAACAATTTGGTGGCAAATATTTAAGGCCCGTATCGTCAGTCGTCCCTACAATTGTAGGGCGCGTTTATGGCCTCCTTGATTGTCATATTCCTTTCTCTCCTTCAAAAATTTCTAGATTACACTTGTCACGTCAGCACTCTCCTTGTGAAGATATGTTTTCTTTTTAAATTGTAGGAAATTTCAGGCTGATAAAACATGATATAACTCAAAAGCAAGCACAATTTGATGGGAATAGATGTTTGTGACATAACCTCAAAATAGAGCGCTGACACGGAGAAGTAGAAAACCATGACAACCAAGGAGGCCATAAAGGCGCCCTACATACAATTGTAGGGACGACTGACGATACGGGCCTTAGTGTCTAGCGATCTTCCTCGTACTCGTATTTAAGGTGTTCTCGCACTTAGAGGTCTTACCTTCAGATGTTCTTTTTCGAACAAAACCAGTTTCAACAAGACAACGATGAATATTAGAAAAGGTTCGACTACCTGGCAAAGCACGATCGGGATATCTCTGGTGATAAATCCGTCCGGCTTGCTTACCATTACCGTCGGCAAGGCTATATACGTAATGCATTTCCGCCATATCTGCATTTGAATAATTCACCATTATTAAGACTGTGAAAACTAAATAATTGAAAAGATGCCACAGCGAACAGATTTGAATAACAGAGACTTGTCAGATGTCAAAAGCCAGTGACATATTCCAGAGAAACTAGATATTTATTGCTAAATTGCATTCTTCAATTATTACATTTTCTCGGACAATAGAACAATTCTTATTTTTTTACTCAAAAATGGCGCATCGAAGGAAAACAATTCAAGAGAGATCATTTGTTTTAAATTGAACGGGGGATTCAAAAATAATTTTTATTTAGCAAAAACTATTGGAGTACCATTTTTTTCTTAAAAAATATTGAAGTCAATACCCGCACGCACGCCACTGTTAAAGTTAAAAATTATTTTTGCATTGGAAAATATGCAACTTTATTAACTTTCACTACGTACTAAATATCAGTGAAATATCTGAAGCGGTTCTGAAAATATTAATTAATTTCCATTGTTGTCCTAAAACTTCAACACCCCGAGTTTTTGTAAGGAAACATTTTTGGACCATAGTTCATAAAGCAAACTAACATTAATTTTTCATGTAGATTCATATCCGTAAATATTCGCATATCATTAAGGATCACCCTGTATATTTTATATCAACATCTGTAGATCAACTGGATTGAATAAGCGAAATCAGTAATCTGAATTGTTTATACTAGACGAAGTCATTTATGAAAAATTTGCATTCTAGATACACGAAATTGCAATAAACTGTAACCTTTGCAAATACGTGTACACAAGCAAATTAACCACAGAATAATATCGAAAAATGCCTTGTTTATATTTGTATGGTTAACTTCTGGTTATATAATGAATTCAAAGACCGTGACACGATGGACCATCGTCCGGCCGCCGCGACGTGGTATTGAAATTGTTGTTTTGATAATGTGGGAGCTGATTCGAAAATCGCGGATTCGCATATCACATGCTTACTGGAAACATTCCAACTCGGGATCACATGAGCTGTCGAGGACGATGATATATATACACGGTGTTCCCTAATTAATGAACATAAAAGAATGAATAACGAAATTAGACGCATACCGGCCGCCATGAGGAGACTGCTCATAGGCAGCATAACAGACGCGGATCCAGGGGGGAGTCATGGGGGTCATGACCCCCCAGGCGAATTTATTTCGACCACCAATTTTTAAAGTTCCAAATCTCTTGAATAAATCTGTAATAGACGCATTTTAGGCGCCCAAAGATTCAGGGTCTGATTCAGTTTTTTATTTCCCACCCTCCAAGTTATGCTCTGAATTTATTGTTATTTTGCTGAAAAAAGAATTCATTATATAAATGAAAGGGACATTAATGTTATGCACCCTATATAGCTTTTTCATTATTTTTTATTGATTTAATCCTACCAACTGATGTTACACAAAACCCTTGAAATTTTGAGTTTTTGCTTAAAATAAAATATCTTAATAAATAAAAACTCCTAAATAAGAAAATAAAAGAGGCTCAAACAATGCATTAATTACTATTTTTTTATTGTTTTTTTTTCATTCAATATCCAAAGGTGTTGCGAACATGCGTTCACATGAAAAAAAATTGAGTGAAATCTTCAAAAATGAGTCAATTTTGGACAAAAATGCCAAAATTGCGAATGATGTGTTTCCAAAAAACAATCAAGTACTAAATTGAAAAAAATGTCGTTTAAAAATATACTAAGTGACATATAAATCCGAACACCCAGTTTAAATGGTTTTATTTTAATAAAATTTTGTATAAGTACTTAATGAAGCATAATAAGTAAATGATAAAAATTTCAAAATGATTGCACTGCTTTAAAGCCCTTTGACCTTTATTAATGTGTGGATGCACCCTGATGTGCTACGCATTCTCCAACGCGCCTAGACATGCTTCTGATCAGGTGGTCAATGTCCTCCTGTGGTATCTCATTCCAGGCAACCACCAACTCCTCTCGAAGTGCTTCTAGAGTCTGAGGACGACGTTGCAAATTGAGCAATCTCCTACCCATCATATCCCACACGTGCTCAATTGGGGATAAGTCGGGAGATCTTGGTGGCCATGGTAACAATGTGACATCATTATGTTGAAAGAAGTCTATTGTGACTCTTGCAACATGTGGTCGGGCATTATCTTGTTGGAAAGTTGGATCTGCCAGGGTGTCAAGATAGGGTAAAAGATGGGGTTCTAGAACTTCGTGGATATAACGCTGCGCGTTCATGTTACCTCTGATGAAGATTAAAGGTGACCTGGAATCATAAGCTATAGCACCCCAAACCATAACTCTAACAGTGTGATGAACATGTCTTTCAACAAAAAACTGTGGATTCCTCCTTTCACCACGTCGCCTTCTAACCCTGGCACGACCCTCGTGCATGCCTAAACAAAATCGAGACTCGTCACTAAAGACAATACTGTTCCATTCCTGATCCCAGAGTGACCGTTGTCTGCACCACTCAAGGCGATTACGTCGGTTTTCTCGAGTTAAAGGGAGGACCCAGTGTGGCCGGTATGAAAACAAGCCAAAACTTCTCATTCGTCGGTAAACACTTCGCATGCCAATAGGTCCTCCGTGTTCTGCAAACCATTCACTTGCAATGGATCTGGTAGTGGAGAAACGGTCCCTTGAAGCCAATAATCTTAGGCGGCGATCTTCACGGTCTGTTGTTCTACGGCGGCGTCCCGTGCCCCTTGCTCTTTGAGTAGGGCCTTCTCGAAGCCATGCCTGACAACACCTAACCACAGTGTCTACACTTCTTTGCACTCTAACTGCAATTGCCCGAAAAGAAAGTCCAGCTTCCCGAAGTCCCACTATACGGCCCCTATCAAACTCACTAAGTTGACGAAATCGTACAGGTCTCCGTACTCTAGGTATCGTAACCGATCGTAAAGGATGTCAAGAACCAAAATCCGCCAACGTTGATTCTTTACTGCGGCTGAAATATTCATTTTTAGAGCGTTAGTGAATTAAAAAAAAGCAGTATAAAAATCGGAATGTCCAACTGATAAGGCTGAAAATTTTTTCACTTGTTATTTACAGTAAGATAAATACATTCACCAACTTTTATTAAAATAAAACCATTTAAACTGGGTGTTCGGATTTATATGTCACTTAGTATATATACTTAGGGGAATATTTAAATTATTAAAAGTTTGATACGATACTTGAAATTTGATTTATTT